GAGGTGCCACAAGAATAGCTACTCAGGCTAATTTTGATTCCGGTAAATGTCTATGACCTGACACAGGAAATAACGCAATTTATATCTATTGTTTGCAAAACTGTGGGTGTTTACAGAGAGAGACGTTGATGCACTCCAGTCATGGTCGGAAAGATGGTTGCTTGAATTGAACCCAGATAAATGCACAAAATAAGAGCTGGGCAAGAATACCCGTGAAACAGGGCCAGGACACAAAGTTATACAACTTTAGAAACGCAGAAAGGACATTAATTTCTGGGAATAAACATCAAATCTGACTTGTTGACCAAACCACACACTATAAACTGACGGGACGACGACGTTTCGGTCTGTCCTGGACCATTCTCAAGTCGATTGAGAATGGTCCAGGACGGACCGAAACGTCGTCGTCCCTTCAGTTTCTAGTGTGTGATTTGGTCAACATATTTCAGCCACGTTATTGTGACTCCTCGTCTGCACCAAATCTGGCGCCTGATGAACGCATTATAATAATATCGTCTGAAGTATACGCCAAACTGGCAGGTGTCCCGAGTATGCAGCTCTAATATTAAGCCCACACACACACACACACAAAAGTAAAAATAAACTATGAAGCGTTTAGAGATATGCAACAAGATTTGGCCTAAGTGAAAACTCAACCTCACCATAATGCAACAGGTGCAACAGGGCTAGTTTAGGCGGGGAATGAAGAGCTAGAGCCGCACTTCTCCGTAATTACAGACAGGTAAGCACGTTGGGTAGTAAATGAACCTATATGAAAACAGCGTCTACTGTTTTCAACAAGAAAGAAGGAACTATCAGGAGAAAGCGCCAAGCCATTACGACTATATAGCGCTTGGAAGGGGTCAGGATAAGGATTATGGATGGGACGGGGGGAAGGAATGGTGCCCAACCACTTGGACGGTCTGGAATTGAACGCCGACCTGCATGAAGCGAGACCATCGCTCTACCGTCCACCCTAAGTGACTGGGTATGTTTTCAACAAGAGGAAACATTGAAAATTAGAAACTACAGGAGAGAGGGACACTAGTGGCAGCCAGAGACGCAGATGAGCCAGAGGGATGGCAGGAAACAAAACCCAGCGGGTTTTCTTCCTATTGGGGAGTGTTGTACATGCTGCTATGGCGGTGTGTCCACTCACAGGATGAGTGGCGCTGCCCAATACTGTCACTATGGCGGTGTGTCCACTTACAGGATGAGTGGCGCTGTCCAATACTGTCACTATGGCGGTGTGTCCACTTACAGGATGAGTGGCGCTGCCCAATACTGTCACTATGGCGGTGTGTCCACTCACAGGATGAGTGGCGCTGCCCAATAAACTCGCCCCTCGGGACAAAATAAGAAAAAATAAAAAAAATCTACATTTACGAAAAGAGGTCAAGGTGTTTCCGGTTTTGCTGGCAAGCACATTACTTTGCGGGCAAGAGTTGCCAGCAAACGAAATAATATGCAAGAAGAGCTTGTCGAAACGAGCGTAATTAGTAACTTCGACGGGAAGCACGAGGAATGAGAATCAGTGCATTAACTAATCAAAGGCAGGAAAGGTAGAACCAGGAGCTAATACGTCGCTCGCTCAGCAGGCCAGTAAGTGGCTGAGTGACCACTAGGAGACCCTCCATAAATATAGACATATTCTTCCTAACTTACTGTCTAGCACTGTTAATCTCTAGAAATACTGTAATACGTAGTATACTAATCTACTTATGGGTATGCTCACATCCTGTCACAGGAAGTGCATGACTTGTAGAGATCCATCTAGTCGAGGGGCTAGGCTGTGGCCACCCATCCAGTTACTGGTCTTAACCAAACCTAGACCCACTCTACGCCAATTACGTTTCTTGACCAGGATTCCGCAAGAGATTGTAATCAATGATGAAGATGTTGAAGAATAATTAAGCCACCACAAGAGGTGGCACGGGCAGGAGTAGCCCGCACAGGGGGGTAGATGTTTGGAGCGAATGTAATATTTGGTTGCCTAACATCTTGAAGTGTCTCTGGGGCTCTCTGTGTGCTCAATGAAACCCGTGGGTGAGTATCTAGCGTTCCATCCGGAATTAAGTATTTGTGTACAAGACTAACTCGGGGTTTCACATTAGAGAAGCAAATTTCATTATCTAAATTGGCTTCAAAAATTACATTGTCTTCACGGATACATTTGTTCATATTGCCTTGATTTAACTTATGCTTTTTTCAGCATTGTCAATGTTTATTTTTTGTGTTCACAAATGTGATTGATTTTTGTGATTAAAAATATATATATATATTTTTTAGATTTTTTTAGATTTTAGATTTAGATATATATATATTGGCATTCAGAGAAAAACTTGCCATTTAGCTCTGAAAACGTATGAGTGATGAGTATTCACTTCTCCTACCAACCCTTTTTTATGTTGTACACTTTATTATACAAGGTTATACAGTTACATGTCTGATTGTTTACAGAAAGAGAACATTAAGTGGAAATAAAGGGAAGTTTGTTTCTTAGAGGTTGTAAATTTCTTCTACTCCTCCGACGCCAGGCAGGAACCGAGGACGCAGCGAGCATTCCCCCTCTGGATCGCTACACTGAGGCGCTGGAAGAGAAAACTTGCCACTCTAGGGGTCTCTGGTAGTGTCAATGAGCCTGGAACCAAGATCCTTAAGAAACCTTGTTACGCTCTCTCCCCATGGGCCTAGGGTCTCAGATCCTATTGGAACGAAGTTGTACCGATGATCTATTTCCCTGTACTTGGTTGACTTGTCTCTTTATACAATTGTCTCTTTCTCTGTGTGTCGCTGCGGCTCCTTCTTGGCCGACAGAGAGGTTGATGTACGTGGTTGCCAGGGTGGATACGCAAGTATAGTCCCACGCCAACTGTCAGCCACCCTATAGATTTTATATAATATTTTTTTTATTCAGGGGTTCCTTAAGAAATGAAAATTATTTCAAAGGTTTCACAGTGGTAAAAAGGTTTAGAAATACTGTTATTGTTCTATTTTAATAGGACAGTAGGTCCTAAGCATTCAGGTTTTCAATCATTGTAATTAAAACCTTACAAGTAAAGAGTACGTATATATATATGTACTTCAAGGCATTCTTACTTCAAGAAACAGTTCAGTTGAGAAGTGGGACCTAAGAACCGAAGCCAACCCCCTTCCCCGCAAGCACAATTAGGTGAGCACAATTCACCAAAAAAGAACATAAGTATATACAATTATATACGCAAAGGGACATACAAAATACAAGATTATTATGGTAGTTGATAACTTCACACCATGACTATTTATTTATGTATTTATTGATATATTTATACATTTATTTATTAACTACAAAGTATGGCTTTTAAATATTTTTTTTTCATTTTGGTGTATAAATGGTATATGTATATTGTATTAGAATTTGTTGTTTTAGTTGTTAATGTTAATTAAGTTAAAACACTGTTGGTTGGCAACGTGGAGGAGAGAAGGTAGTGAAGCTGGCCTGGGGGACCAGTGACTCAGCAACCGTGGTCGAGGGCGGATGCTCGCCGCCACGCTCTCCTCTCTCTCTCTCTCTCTCCTGTGTGAGTGATCAACGTTGTGTGGTAACTTTAACTCCCATTGAGGTGCTTTAGCTGAGTGGGCGCCGCCACACACACACACAGGATGCTGATAAACATTTGTTCTTGTTCTAGGTGTTTTTAAGTTTCTTCAGTGGGTGAAGGGGAATATTTTTACATCTCAAGATTGTAAAGATTCTTTTATGTTTTTTTGTAGTTTATTATTATTGTTGAGAGTGATTATTTTGGAGGTTGTAGATCGAGGCATCATTAACCTTTGGTGGCATAGTTTGTTAACTCTAGGGCGTTACAAGTTAAGAAATTTTATATATATTGTTAAAAAGAAACACTAGATACATAGTATTTTTATTTGGAGGGGGGGGGGGGGCATTTGTAATTAAGTTTTTTCTCTAGGGTCAATAGGTTGCCTTTGAGGGAGACCTCGATACAGCTAATTATTATTTTTATTATTATTTATTATTATTTATTTATTATTATTTATTTATTATTATTAATTATTATTATTATTATAAAGCCACAGGATACACTCGGTGTTTTGGGCATTCGTACGTGTTAAGTTTTCTTACCAATTTATAGCAATGTGTAAATAAACACCGAGAATTGTTTAAGCAACGTATAGGCTGTGAACACAAGTATTGACTTAGAGACCAAAAGAAACCTTCCATATAGAAGTGGGCAGGCATGCTTAGTTTACAATCGTAAAGTCTCCGAGGGGCTTGAAAGACAAAAGTAGTCAATGTGAGACATGATTGTACAGTATATATATACTGTACTGGTTGTTTTGGGTTCAAAGAAGAGGTGGCGATTGTGTGATATGTTGATCGGAAAATACTGCATACAGATAGTCACAATAATGTGGTTGAAAATTAAGACGCCTAAGCCACATGTCTGAAAATAAAGGCAGTGACAACATTTTGGTCCAGTCTGGCCCATCATGAAATCAATGATGGACTAGGAGTGACTGCAACATCATTACGTCATTTATTTTTGGCTGTGTGGGTTGGGTGTCTAGTTAATACTGTAGTGTGTATGTGCTTCAGCCTACAGTTTAGACCTATTGTCTTGTGTATGACCCTCTGTCCTGTGTGACAGTGAATACTGTACCACCATTATTCTCACTTTAATAAGACTTAATTGAAATCCTCAGATTAGGCAAAATTGTAATTAAATTTTTGCAATAAAGATGTTAATAAATAATGTGTCACAAATTGACTGACCAGTATTGTAGTTAAATATAAATTGTTCCAAAAAACCTTGAATGCATTTCCTGAACCCTTTTGATGTCTGTAAGCTCAACTACCTCCCACAGCATGGGTTAAGGGGTCAATAATAGTGTGTACTGTACTGTAATTAAACTTTAATACATATATATATACACAAGCTTTATAACATTCAAATATTTGATGCCACTAAAAATATTAACGAGGTTTGTTTATTTTGCAGTTGTGAATCGAGGCTCCAAGAGGACTTGGTGAAATGTCTCCATTCTCACCAGTGAGGATTCGGCCAGCAGTAATGGATATAGTCACCAGAAGCAACTGTTTACCCAATTTATTACCTAGTAGAAAATAGCACATTTACTATGGAGAAAAATAATAGTGACGTCATTGGAATTTTGAAATCAAATATTGGAAAGTGTCGGTGATGAAATGTTGAAAAGGAAAAAGCGCTACGACTTCATTTATTATTATATGTAAGGCAAATTTTAGTTAAGAAGCTTCAGTGTGTGATGACAATTCAAATGGAAAATAAAATCTTTGTGATATGGACATATGATGCTGGGTGATTTAGTTTTTGAGCACCTAGTTTATTATTTAGGATTTTGGTGTTTTTTTTGCTAAGCAGCCAGTTTAATTTTTGGTGTTTATGGCATCAATGTACCAGTGATTATTTGTGGAGAGGAACCATGTACTTTAATGGTAATTTTGTGTAGCAGTATGGCCAGCTGGTATCCCGACATAGAAATGGAGGAAACGGGTGTGGGTGGACGAGGAAGAGGAAATGGCAATAATGGTACTGGGGCTCGGGGTTGTATCCGCACCCGCCATTATACCGGTGCTTCTTACAGAGACAGTGGTGAAATTAAGTTCTGCATATCCGAATACAAAAGTGATGCATTTCAGGTTAGTTTTTGGCCATTTTAAAATATGGTACAGTACTGTATAGTAATGTCAGATATTTAATTTTGTAATATACTGTATAGATCAATCTATTTTGGCAATTTTCATGGCAGGCATTTTTAGCTAGTGAATTACTTCATTTAAACTACTGTATTATCTTTTTAACTCTCCCAATTACATTTGCCAAATTATACAGTACTCTCTTTTTTTCTTTTTTTTTTAAGCTTTTCTGAGTATATATTTCATATACATATAGAGTACTGTAGTTTCACTTGGTCATTACTACTTTGTTTTCCAGAGTTCAGCCTTGAGGGAAATAGAGAAATATTGGGAAAGAGGGTTAAAAATACTGAGAGACCCCCATGCATTCACAATATAGGCTCTTCAACACTAAATGGCATTACATAGAATTAGTAGCATCACAATACTGATAATAGCAGAGTACTGTATCTACAGCAGTGTTCCAGTGCATCATACAACTAGGCATAAAATGCTTCCCTTGAATTTTCATCTAAAGGTATATTTAACATTCACTTAAATTTATCAGACTAATGCCACGAACCGTTATTTACACTCGTGTGCTGTTCATGCTCTATCCCCCCCCCCCGACTCTTTTTATTGACCATATTAAATCTTATTTTCTTGTTCTTCCCCTCCATCTACCTTCCCTTCTACCCACATTCATGTGAACATTGGTCATATCAAATCATATACAGTACTGTATATATCTTCACACTTCTCAGAGCACTTCTCAGTTGGTAATTTACCAACTTATGCACTCTACATCTTTGTGATGTAGAGTGCATAAGTACCCCCTCTCTATCCTCCCTCGTACCCCCCTCTATCCTCCTAACACCACAAATGCTTCTTAACTAGTCCATTTATACTGTACTTAAACTCTCTTTTTGTTTTTATTCTTGTGCCACCAGCATTTTGCATCATCCATAACCTACATTTGGGTTCTGTACAATAGTGGTCTGTCCTTTGGCTCACAAACACAGATATCTGGGTTCAGTCCCTGGTAAAATGGTTGGACATTTTTCGTTTCACCTAGTAACAAAATAGGTTCTCTAGTAGAAATTGTAGTTGTTACAGTTGAAATTGTTACTTTCTTGAGACAGGTTCAGTAACAGACCTAGGGGGGGACTTCAATAAGCCTAAGTACTGTACAGGCTTCCTGTCTGTGACAATGGGAATTATTAATTCACCTTTCATCTGCCTATCATACACTTGACTGCCATGCAGTAGGTGTCAGAGGGAAGGTTAATAATCTAGCTATAGTAGATAAAATTTGGATACTTGGCTAAGATATTTGGTAATCCAGCACAGTATCTAATTTTCAAATAAGTTCAGTACAGTAATTAATTTCGAGGTTTCATGAACAAGCCACAATTATTTTTTTTAACAACTTTCTTTCACATTTCATTATAGGCCTAGGGATGCACTGTGTGTGAATAGTTTTTCTTGGTAATTTGTATTTGGTCAAATCTACATCTGCGATGATGCAAATTCCCAGAGATATTTAAAGGCCAACCTTTCCAAAACTGAGTAGTAGTAATATTGAGGAGTCTGCTGATTTTGTTTTATGAACTATAGATATGTGGCTGCTGCTGCATTGTAGTGTGGTTATAGATGGAATAACTAATGTAGATCTCTCTCTCTCTCTGATCTATAAGTTTTATTTAAATTCTTGGTGTATTACTATTCTTGGGTTGCTTATGGTAATCCAAAATTCTAGTTTGTTTATATATTGTATATATAAGAAGGTACAATGGAATGGGAAAGTAGTTCTGTAGTTTCACTTTGCATTTTTAAAGCCTACCTTGAAGTGTTTCTGGGGCTTAGAGTCCCCACGGCCTAGTCATCGAACCAGGCCTCCAAGCATTCTCGAGTCACTGAAGCAAGTGGAAATTATTGACATTTTGACCATAGCCTTGGGAACTCTTAGCACCTCTATTGATGACCGAGATGAGAAGTGGATAGCCGAGGTCTTGTATCTAGAGACTGTTCTGATCTTATGAATTTTGGTTGGCAGACACTTTATACTACCCAAGTCCATCACGACCCAAACTAAACGGACAATGTGCTGGGGCATGATTGATCACTTGTGGTACAATGATGGTCAAGGCTTGTAGTACCAGATTTGGTGCAGTCATTTTTGTTCAGAAAAATTAGTGTCGTCCAAAAATGTCTTGTTACGTCTGAATTTTGTACTGTATTGTCCGCCATTCCAAAATAACTAAACTAAATGTGTTCTGACATGCTTTTAGTGCAAGTTGGAAAGATGTAAATGGTTAAGTATTGTTTTTAAGTACTTTTTATATTTAAGTGAATATAAAGATGATAAACACTTGCATTGTTTCAGATGATGTTGCTAATGAAAAGCAATCAGATGTTGACCGATGTTAAACTTGAAGTTGGTAGAGAAATCTTCCATGGACACAAAATTGTGCTTGCAGCTGCCAGCCCTTATTTCAAGGTTAGTGAAGTGTAGTTCAAGATGTGTGTGTGTGTGTGTGTGTGTGGTATGTACAGCTCACATTGGGAAATGGTGGGGAGAGTACACTTTTATCACTAATGAGGAAATACTAACTGTTTAAAGAACGGTACTGTATGTCTTAAAACTATTCTTTGGCAACTTTAGTTAAAAGTGAAACCTGTAGTGTTATATTACAGATGTGCTGGGATTTAATGCAGTTGCACTACAGTAATATTGAAAGACAAAGTTCTTGGAATATCAAAGCTGTTAATCAACCCCAATCAATGACTTGCATTACCATGCAAACTTGTGTAGAAATGAACTTTGATCACAGAATACTTGATATTAATACACAAGGAAACCCACACTAACTGCATAAAAAATGCACAACTTTACTGCATTTGTAAAGTGGGTGTGTCCCCCTCTTTTGAATGTCTAGATCCTCTGCTCTCGTGTGCAGCAGTATCTAAACCATTGGCTAAAGCTCTAAAGTACATACAGTATAGGAGATCTGTTTTCTGGGAGAGCAAGGAAGACATCTCCCGTCGCGCAGGGTGCAGTCGCACCTCCACAAATTTCCAATATCGTCTATTGATACTGGAAATAACTCAAAAGGGCCACCACTTACGGGCTATTCATGCCCGTGCCACCTTTTGGGTGGCCTAATCTTCATCAATTAATCAATTTGGGAGAGCTCTGTACTGCCTTGAACCAAATCTTGAGCAAATGTCCTCAAGCTCATGAACTGATGATTTGATGAGCTTGAGGACAACTTGGTTTTTGCCGCCTGGAGAGTGCTTGATTTATTCTGATTCTTATCTCATAGTTGCCCTGCCTGTTAAGTATAATACAGTAATACTGTACCTGTAATAGTAATTTATAAAAATAGAGGATCTGATTACAGTATTTGTATTTTTAATACAGCCAATAATAATAATGTGTAAATTAATGAGTAAAGTGCACCTAAACAAGTTTTGGATTCATTTTCCTGCATAGGATAAGGATTTAATAAGACCCACATTAATAAATATAATAATAATTATAATAATAATGTTTATTTAAATAAGAGTGCATACATTCAAAATGAGTTAAACAGAATGTTAGATTTTTAGATAGAGCTAGTACATACTATGCCTAAAGTCACAGATACGTACAGCATTTTGGGCAATGTGGGTTGGCCATGCTAAATATTTTCTCTTCATTTCCAATCTTCTTTCTTCTGGGTCCATCTGAACTCTGTGATCATCTCGATGGTGACCCGAGAAGACACAGCAGCTGGACAGTAGGGCTATGGTTTTGCTTCTTTAATCTCTGATAAATGAAAGTGTTCCTATATGATCTAAACTGTTCCAGTCAGGCAGTATGTTCCCATTTTATCTAATTGTGGTTATAATGGTTCTGAAAGTGTGAAAAAGGGAAGCAGGATAAGACTTACATTATATTTTGTATTTTGCAAGTACAGTGAGACCATGTTTGAATCCAAACTGGTTGGAAACTGCTGTAATATGGCTGATAGCATAAGTTTTGGCCGAGCAGGGTTACGTCCAGCTAATTGTTTGGATCATGGACAGGGCAGGTTAATTCCGGTCCTCTTCCCAGCTTGGTGCCGCCTTCTGGTAATTACCTGCTTGACTCTGGTCCATACTGGGGCTTAGGAGACACTGGAGACTTCTGAATCAAGTTCAGAACATAGCCTTTCAGAATGTTACTTAGCAGCATAGGGACTGCTGAACATGGGCCTTGGCTAACTATTGAATGGCCCACCAAGTCGTTATCTCAGCCGGGTGCTGGCAACAGACACCACTCTCTCTTAATCGAGCCTTGTTACATTCTTCCTAACCCCTTGGGTTGGACAGTTCAATCCCCGACAGCTCAAGTGTTTGGGCACCATTCTTTTCCACTCATCCCATCCCAAATCCTTATCCCGACCCCCTTGCAAGTGCTATAAAGATATAGTCGTAATGACTTTGCATGTTCCCCTGATGATTCCCTTCCCTTCCAGAGAACGTTTGTTGTCCTCGTACTTTTAAAACCCTTTATTATCTTTTTTTGGGTAGGGATATTTGTGTGGGGGGGGGCCCCTGACACTGGCAGGTATTACATTCTCATTTCGGGAAGTTTTTTTTTGGGTAGGGATATTTGTGTGGGGGGGGGGGGGGCCTGACACTGGCAGGTACAGTATTACATTCTCATTTCGGGAAGTTTTCATTAAATAATTGGCTTATTTGAAAATGAGTGAATTATTAAGGAGTTTTATGTTAGCTGATGTATTGTTTACATTGTTCCTGACTATATTGTTGTTCTTTCCCAGGCCATGTTCACCGGTGGACTACGGGAATGTGAAATGGATACGGTAAAGCTACAGGGAGTGTGTCCCACCGTCCTGGCTCACCTTCTGTGCTTTATGTACACTGGTGAGATTGTCATCAATGAGATGCTCGTGTGTCAGCTTCTTCCTGCAGCCACTATGCTCCAGGTTAGTTGATGGCGGTGAAACTGTAATGGGTATACTGTACTGTACATGAAGTTAATGGTGGTAGAGGAGGATGCCAGGGGGGGGGGTAGAAATAGCCTAAGCTACTCTATCCCTTTGAGATGTATTTATTGCTTATCTCAATAAACATACTTGAACTTGAACTTGAGGAGGATGCTTTCAAAACACGTTGAATGGAAATATTCTTGAAACTGTAAAGGTTAAAGTTTTGGGTTTGTGGTCGTTTAGTTTTGATGAGTGTGATTGACAAAAGAGAAGTAAGAAAGATAATAAAAGATTTAGTAAACATAGAAAGGTAAATGCAGAGACTGCAGAAAATAATTTGAAATTTGAAAATGGGGAAAGCTCTTGGTAGGAAGTTAGGAAGAGTAACTGGGAGCCTGGTTGATGGGTAAATGGGACACGAGAAAATTTTAAATGAAGGGATTAGAAGTATGTAGGTGTAAAGAATACTTTGAAAGTCTAATGAGTAGAAGTGATGAAAGATGTGCTAATGTAACCATAAATGGATTTGATGGGTTGAGAATTGTTGGTGTTTTAGATTCAGCTACTCCGAACAAAAAGTTCCTTGTAGCACAGGCTATAGTGAGCCCCTGGTGGACTTAACCTGGCACAGGAGCGGGGCTGTAACTGGGTTAAGTGTGCAACACCACAGGGTAAAGTAATCCTGCTCACTTGTGCACCATCCAACTCTGGCCTTGGACACGTGATGTGTAATCAGGTATTGCAGCACACAGCATGGTATTTTCAAGCAACCCTGCAGGCTCATAATATGATGAGGAAAGTAGTGAATAAATGAACAAAACTAGCCTTTTGTTACATGGCATCATAAGTGGAGTACTTTTTAGGCTAACCAGCTGGGCTACATGATCACTTTTAATTTTGCTGCCATCCGATGGCAATCATTATTCACTCCAAGGTCTACTGACCCGAGCCAGATTCAATGTCAAGTGTTTTCTTTAGTTGGGCAATATGGTACAGCACTGATGGCTGGGAGAATAATTCCTAGTGCAATACTGATGGTCACCTTATGTCCTGTTTAATGTGGTTGTGGACTTTTACTGCAAATCTAGACTGCAGGTTTTCATTCCTTAACCAGTTTTAAGTCTAGACAGTCTCTTCTTATACTCTGCTTTCTTTCTCTGCATTTGTTAATTTTTGGGCAAAAGTTGGTTTCGGAGGCCTGTTGTGCTTTTCAACCACTGACCCAGATCTTATGGTTATGTCAGGGCATTGCTTTTCTCAAGTGGGGTGGAGTATTATCGCCTGTCTGCTTTAAGGACTCTTGCTTAGAGGTATAGGTTCCGTGGCATTTATTATTGTTGCATTTCTTGCCCTCCTGTCTTCCTCGGAGGAAGGCCAGTGCCAGTCTGGTCATGCAAAGCCTGGTATATGGTGGTTGACTCGTCGTGCTCCCTTTCATGACAAGGCATTGGCATTGTGGGGAGTAAGACACTTCAGAGATTCTGGGCTGGGAAAGTGGTGTCTAGAGGTCTAGTGTGGAGTGGCCTCTTGAGGGGAACTGTTGGGGCTGAGGGCAGCAGTCTTATCTCTTCCCAGAAGGGCTCTTCCAAGATGAAAATGAACCTCAACTTGTAGAAATTTTATGACCTTATTCTTTGTCATACTTTCTGGAGGACCATCCTGTTGTATGTTTGCTAGGCATTGGTTCCCTAATGTCCAGGATCCTTATTGGCATGGTACAAATACATCAAAAGTTCATGAACTTCGTAGGGTTTTTGTCTAAAACATAAGTCACCACTTCAAGGCTCTGCTCTTTGAGCTGAACTTTGCTCACATGACTCACCAGACTTGGCAGGGTAATGGCCAAAAACTTTGCCTCTGAGTAATTCAAATGTTGTCTTACCTTGATGATTGGCTTATCTGGGCCCTTGGTGCCCGGTGATGTGTGGTAGTCAGAGGTCAAATTTTGGCCCTCCTGCAGAATTCGGCTTCCTTATCAGCTTACCAAAATCCCATCTCTAGCTTTCAGAGGTGTTGACATCTGGCTTTGTTGTTAGTTGCCACTTTTAGATTATATATCTTACTCATCAGGAATTCTAGCATCTTCTAGGCAGGTTAACCTTTTCCAATTGTGTTTATTTCCTAGACCAGCTGTGGATCTAAAATCTGTTCATGTGGTGTCTTGATATTCCAGAATCTTTGGGTAGCTTTCCCAGTATTTGTGAAGTGTGATTCGCCGATGATATTTGGGTCAGGCATATTGGGGTTCAGTTTAGAGGTGGCTTCCTTCTCGGTCTCGAGCTATTTACTAATGCATGTGGCTCTGGCTGGGGATTCCTTAGCTGTCTTCACGATGCAGGCCATGGGTGGTGACCAATGACATTAGTTTTCGATCACATCAGTGTTCTGGAGGTAGTAGCAGTTTGGATGGTATTGAAATATATAACTTTTTCCAGGTGAGCTCAGCTCTACTTTTTTATTCTTGACAATGTCTGGTGCAATGCCTTAACAGGGAAGCTCCTCTGTCTCTTTCTTCTGAGGCAAATAGGCGTTATCCACAGCCTCTTCAAACGTCCTAGATTTACTGTTGCCAACAGTTCACATTTACTGGGTGTCAAAAGTTGCCAGATGAGGCCTTCTCTCTGTATGCATGAGACAATCGGCATTCCTTGGGCGAACCTTTTATTATGTTTGCCTGGAACCATAAGCTCCCTTTGCATGTGATACATTTCTAGGATTGTGGTGCTGTTGCAGTAGATGTCTCGTCATTAATGGAAGTTTTGGAAAGATCTGTGTACAAAGGACCTTACCTTCAGTTGGGATGCTGTTGGCAGTCCTCACAAGTGAGAGGTGTTGGCTGCTTTATTTGATTTCAAAATTTTCCTAGGTATGCAGTTTCGTGTTTTTACTTTTCTCCCTGCTGTCATATTTACACAAACTTTTACACATTATTTTTCATTTAGAATCCATTTAACGTTCTCTGATTTAGCATTCCACTGAATTTAACAACCAGTTCTGAAACCAGTTTCTATTAATTTTCATTTCAGATGAATCACGTAATTGATGCATGTTGCACATTCCTGGAGCAGCAACTAGAAGCTGGAAATGCTATTGGTATTGCAAGCTTTGCTCATCAACATGGTTGCTTGGATTTGTATCGCAAGGCCAATACGTTCATAGAGCAGCATTTCTCAGAAGTAAGTTCATGAGTAAGATTTTGAATGGCTGTGATGAACCTAGCAAAATGCCCCCAGTAGGGAATATTCCTCATGGTTTTGCCATGCTTTTTGTAATGGATGTATGTGTGTTATCTTTAACATTTTGATATATTTACAGTTTCAAACTTCCTTTATATGCTCAAAGGAAGATTGCCTTTACAGTTGGGCCGTGTAGTTCTCTGGTGACAAATTTTAGAACCAAGTGCTCAATTGGAAGAGGTGTTACAGGTACCTAGAGAGAGATTGCAATCCTAAAAAAGAGCTCAACTGTACCAATTTTCTAGTCAGTGATGCCTAGTGTTTCCAGTAGCATAAACTATAACCCCCTATAAATTTTTCATCCATTTTTCTGCACGTCTTAAAAAACATGATGTAATAAAAAATTACCTAAAAAATTTTTTTTCAAAATTGGTGTGTGGAGTGACTTTGAATTAAGTCACATTGTATAGAAAGTTACCTCCATAAAGTATGCTTGATTTAGCATTCAAATTTTCATTTTAATTATTAATTGTTCAGTATTGATGTTTTTTCGTTTAGTTCCATGTCATTATTAGGTATCCTGCTTTTGGTTTAGTAGTCTGTGCATTCTCAATCGGTGGTGAGCCTTGGAAGTATTCATTTAAGACCAGGAGTTGATTGTCTGCAGAAGGGAAGGGGTGGATGAGGAAGGGTCAGGGCACCTGAAGAAAAGGGGTCTGTATTTTGGAGCTGAAATGGCCACATAAAAGCCATAAAAAAATTATGCTGTCCCCTACAACTCTTAAACTGACAGGATGGACACAGTTCTCAAACTGGCAGGATACTGTACATAAAAGCACCTGGACTAAAGGAAACGGGTAGGTCACTTCCACCGATTCCAGTACACTCGCAGAGCATCCATTACAACTGCATTGTGTTATTGAAATGGAACCCCACATCCACCATCTGGGGAATGCCAAATGCTAAGCATGTTGAAAATTCAAAGGAAGAAGGAATCGTTCAATTACCACTCCATCCACATTAGACAAAACAAAAGAGGCAGTTTGTGTTTCAGCTAAAGAAAAAACTGACTTTGATCTTATCACTGCTCTGGCAACATTCAGTTGCTGTTGAATGACTACTTTAATCTGTGTGAGCAAACATCACCTCACTTTCTTCCATCAAAAATATTGCCAAGTCCATTAATAAAGTACATATACTGTACTGTTCCCTGAGTATTTATACCTCAATAAACAATAAACCTCAATTTCAATATACAGTACTCCTTTGTTGATTTCTTCGTTAGCATACCCTTGTCCTCTTGGACATTCCTTTGTCAGGGAATGAAAACCTTTTGGGCTTATTGAGGTCTACCTAGGTCAGTGACTGACCTTTCCCAGGATTCAACCCACAATGGTTCCCCTAATTTCAATGTATTTATTTACTGTTAGGTGAACAGAGGCATAAGATGAAAAGAAAGATGCCTAAATCTGACTGTTATGCCACAGGAATAAAATCTGCAGCCTTTTGGTTATGAATTGCCTCTCCAGGCCACTGTGCTACAAGACCTTAAAATCACAACCATTTCATTGTACAGTATCTTGGATACCTGTTTCCTTTCAGGATGTTCACTTCCTTGATTGATCAGTATTATGTAGAATCTTGCATTACTCAAATGCATCAAGATCTAATCTTTATCCCCCAGGTTTCAATGGAGGAAGAATTTTTGCAATTATCTAGCTGCCAGTTAGTGGATCTTATACAACGAGATGAACTTAATGTACCTGATGAAAAGGATGTTTATAATGCTGTTCTAAAGTGGGTTATGCACGATGAAGATAACAGACAATCTAAAATGGAACTTATTCTGCAGGCTGTCAGGTAAGAATCAGTGTTTCACAGGATAATGTGTTTTCTGTAAAGTATTGTACAGTTATCTAGTATAAGATTAGAGTTATTGTCTGGAAGCCCTTGTACTTGTAAATTTATATAATTAATAGGATTAAGTTATTGAACAGATTTTTTTTTTATATATATACAAGAGTTCTTACACTCTTGGACAGCCACCAGCACACGTAGCATTTCGGGCAAGTCCTTAATCCTAATATTCCCCGGAATACAACCTGCCAAATCGTTTAACAACCAGGTACCCATTTTACTGTTGGGTTAAACAGAGGCTACAGTTAAGGATTTGCGCCCGGTAAAATTTCCCTGGCCAGGATATGAACGCAGGACAAAGGGCTCGTGAAACACCAGGTGAGCATCTTACCACTACGCCACAGGGACTGACAAGATTAACATTGATATTTGGGAAAAGATGAACATTGATTTTTGAAGATTAGGTTAAATAACTGAAGATATTTAAACCTGTTGCATTACTGGTGTTACCACCATACTGTGCCACCATTCTGATAAGTTTTAGTTGGCATGTGAAGAATTGCATTCAACTAGATTTGTTTTCTTTTATATGGTTGTTTTCTGTGGTTGCCTTCTTAAAACCTGTTGAGCGTTTTGGTGCAATTTTCCACATTTTGGTTTCCATTCTGTTTCCCTATTGCTACCCCTTAATATTCTTTCTTTGGCTTCTTCTCTTGCTTCCTTTATTAAGGTATTTACTTTATTTATGGTCCCATTCTTTATACAATTTGTATACCCTGAAGAATGCAGAATTGGTTTGGAAATGTAGTCTAGTATTTTGAGTGTTACCATTTGATCTTCGACTTACGAAGGAATAAAGGTAATATACAGTACAGGGAATTGTTTCTGGAGGCTCCAGTTCGGAACCTCCAAGACCTCCCAGAAAACTCTTACTGAGTTCTGGGTTGGTCGACTTTTTGTACCACCGTGGCCGAGTCGGTTAAGGCAGGTGTCTGGGAATTGCCAAAACGTGAGTTCAAGTCACTTCATTGCCTCAAAATGATTTTCATGTATCTATACGTATTTTCATGTATCTATACGTATTTTCATGTATCTATACGTATTTTCATGTATCTATACGTATTTTGATAAACCATATTGAACTACTAATTCGTAATTCAGGTGTGTGTGTGTGTGTGTAGGGGGGGGGTAATGAAATCTTAGCACAATATAGAGCTATATGCTACGACTAGCTGACTAGCAGCAGATGTCACTTGATGGAGCAAATTACCCAGAAATATATTACATACATTGCTACAGTATTATTACTAGGAACACTGCTATTATCATCAGGCTCCTGTCAATAAATCGTGACTTATGAATAATTTTTCACAAGATTATTTTCTAAATGAACATGTCATGTTGTATGATGCGTAGATTCACAAGCCTCGGCTATGTGCTGTGGATGTCCACCTCCTGCTGTGAACACCATACCCATCATTGTGTTCACTGATATCTGAACTGTGTACATAATTTTTATTAGTCACGATCGTCTAAGATACTAGCAACACAAAATAATTACAGATACTGTACTTATTTTATTCATGATTACCTATTTTATTTATGGTTATTAAGTGGTGATTTGCACAGCTGTGGTGTGAGCTGCAGCTGCATGTGCCAGCTTTGGTTGCCCTGGCAGTACCGAGACTCGCAGCCAGGAGGAATGCAGACGATTTTTTTTTTCTCAAGATTGTGTCTCATTACTAAAGTCCTGAGGAACAGGATGTGAGCACTGTGTACCCACCACAGGCGTTTTGAATCTTAAGATATACTGTACTAACAAATATCGTATGTAGGGCAGCACACCCCCTTTACCCATGATGTGAGCCCAGTACAGTGGTAAATAGCATTATTTTTCTTTTACAGGTGCCAATACTTATCTCCACGATTCTTGACCGAGCAGATGAAAAATTGCAAGTTATTAATGAATGCTCCTGCTTGTAGAGAGTATCTAGCAAAAATTTTTCAAGTGAGTGATTTTCTGTTTTTATCACAAAACTTTAGAGATTAGCAATAATTTTGTTCTATTGTTGTTTAAAGTACCGTACTGTACTACATAGGAAATAAAACCACCTTCAGACTAAAAACACCCAAAAGCTGACACTGAAATATCATAGATATGACCTCTGTAACAATGCAGAATGATTTTTAAAATATTATTGTTGTTATTTTGGCTTAATTGTTAAAGTTGTCTGGTATTCAGTTTATGCAAATATTAATAATTCATTGTCGTTTTAATACATTGTGTTGGGGGACAGGCAGTTAGTTTACAGTACTGTACATGTAAGTCACAGTACATGTACATGTAAGGCTTATGATGAGGCCAACACCTCCAACCCTGGAGGGGGGGGGGCACCAGGGTTGAATTACCAACCCCAGGATACATCCCCATAACAAGCTGATCAACAGTCCTGGGGTACCTATTTGCTGCTCAGTGGGTAAGGGCATTAGGTGATAGGAAATGCACCCAACCATTTCTGTCCCGCCGGGATTCAAATCCGGAATTCTAGATTGTGAGTCAAGAACGAACTTGACTGTACCACTAGGACCCTGTTAATGTGAAAGTAAAAAAAAAATTACATTTAATGATAAATGTTAGGTTTAATAATTATAGACACGCACACAAGAGTTCTTACATTCATGTATAGCCACTAACACGCAGAGTGTTTTGGGCAAGTCCTTAAGCTTATGTTTCCCAAAATATGACCTCGCCAAATAACAACCAGGTACCCATTTTACTGTTGGGTAAACAGAGGCTACAGTTAAGGATTGCTGCCCAGTAAATCCTCCCCGGCCAGGATACGAACTCGGGACAAAGTGCTCGCGAAATGCCAGGCGAGTGTCTTACCACTACACCACGGGGACGTATGTGTAAGGAAAATTTTGCCACAAAGAAAACAGTGAGGTAGCCTCATTCAATAAAATATTATCAAGTGAATATTTTCTTAATTTATTAGTGTTCCATAATTTACACTTGCCTATTTTTGCAGGACTTGACGTTGCACAAACCCCCTTGCCAAAAAGAACGAACCCCTAATGCGCCCTGTGTCATTTATCTTGTTGGCGGGTACTCTAACCGCCAGAGTTTGGACACTCTAGAGTGCTACGACGTGGAAGAATGTCAATGGACACAACTTTCTAGATTACCTGTTGCAAGGTTTGTAATTAAAGTTGTATGAGATTAGCTGAAATTCACCAGCAAGTTTGTTAAATGGAAGTAAAATAGTTATGGACCAGTTTTTATTGTCCCAATATTCTAGATGTTCTATTGTGCCAATATCTTAGATGTTCTATTGTCCCAGTATTCTAGATGTTCTATTGTCCCAGTATTCTAGATGTTCTATTGTGCCAATATCTTACATGCTCTATTGTCCCAGTATTCTAGATGTTCTATTGTCCCAGTATTCTAGATGTTCTATTGTCCCAGTATTCTAGATGTTCTATTGTCCCAGTATTCTAGATGTTCTATTGTCCCAGTATTCTAGATGTTCTATTGTCCCAGTATTCTAGATGTTCTATTGTCCCAGTATTCTAGATGTTCTATTGTCCCAGTATTCTAGATGTTCTATTGTCCCAGTATTCTAGATGTTCTATTGTCCCAATATTCTAGATGATTTGGTCAACTAATGAAGCACTACAGAAGAGAAAGTAAAGAGTTGCATATTTTTCCTCACTAATTGCACCTTGGATATTTACACACTATTGTGTGTAAATTGTGCGTAAAGTACACACTTTAGTGTAATGTAGCATTTGCTCATTCACCATATCCCTACTCACTGATGTTATTTAATTCACGGTTTTCCAGTATAGAGTATTATGCTTGTGCCTTGTCTCTGATTTAGTTTCCTTTTCTCAATTTTCAAAATCTAATCCTTATTAATTTTACATTTTTATTCTTTGCAGACTAGCAATGACTGCTAGTCTATTCATACTAGACTGCTAGTTCTATTTGTACTAAACTTTAAGACATTTTTGATGTAGCATACCTTGAGAAGGGACTATAGACTTGTAATTTGCAGTCAAAAGTTGAATATCTTATATTATTATTTGTTTCATTTAATGTGTATTTGATGTTTGGATATCTGTTATTACTTCATTTGTTTAGTGAGGTGATGGGTATGTCATATTTGATATATAATTACTGCATATCCTACTGGTAATTGCAATTTATTAGTAGACTTCGTTAATCAGTTTTATTGTTTATATATTTTTCTTTCAGATCAGGCTTAGGAGCAGCATATCTACGTGGAATATTTTATGCAGTGGGGGGAAGAAACATCCTGTCCAATGGTAATTTCCACGACAGCAACTGGGTAGACTCCTTTAACCCCATAACGAACACATGGAAACAGAGAGCTCGGATGCATTTCCCACGCAATAGACTTGGAGTGGCAGTGTTAGATGGTCAGCTGTATGCTGTTGGTGGGTCAAATGGTGCCGCCTTTCATAATACGGTTGAAAAGTACGAACCAGACGATGATCAGTGGACCTTAGTACAATCTATGTCCAAGGCAAGAATGGGTGTAGGTGTTGCAGTAGTAAACAGACTAATGTATGCTGTTGGTGGTTACAATGGTGAAAACAGGTTGAACTCCGTGGAGTGCTACCATCCTGAAAACAATCAGTGGACATTTGTGTCGCCTATAAAAATTCCAAGAAGTGGTGCTGGTGTGTGCGCTGTTGGAAATAATATATACGTGATTGGGGGTTATGATGGGCAGCATCAGCTGTGCTCGGTTGAAAAATATGATACGGAAGCGGACACCTGGTCATCTGTGGCTCCCATCAAAATCCCCCGCTCTGCCATGACTGTGTCTGTTTGGGATGGAAAGATCTTTGTGATGGGTAAGTTTTCTTTAACATGCAGTTCTTTTTATCCACGTAAAATATTGAGGACGTGGTAGACATATGTCTACCACGAAGTCCAGCACATAGCATTGCAATTTGTGTGCATTTCAAAGAAGCATCAGTATTGGCTGTGTAACTATTGTGTATCGGTGGGTATAGTTGGTCACATTGCCATTTTTCATTTATGAATGCCATGCCATGTAATAATGGCTTATTTTCTACACACAGGAGGTTATGATGGTGGCCAGTTCCTCTCATCGGTGGAGATCTATGACTTCCGTCGGAATGAATGGTCAGAATGTAAGCCCCTGCCATGGGGCAGATCAGGTCATGCTTCTGCCTCGTCATTTCACCCTTGTCTCTTGCACTCTGATGCAAGATAGCAAAGGCTCTATAGTTTTAGAGAAATATATCAGAGAATCCATGATTCTGCCATGAGGCAGGATGCTTTCTGATCTTCAGTCACCATGCTGCAAGGTTTTTCATATTACACTGAGAGTTCTTCTATTCCAACTTTTGATATTAGATTTGTCTGAAAATTAGTTTATGAAGTTGATTATTACCTTTATTATAAGCCATTTGTTTAAGAATATTTTCCATTTCTTGGTTTTGTTTTCAATACATTAATGCCAAATTAGTGATCATAAATTTATACAGTTGGTTAGGTGCAATTTACATCAATGATTCGACAAACATTTTTTTGTTTTTAACTAAGATTATTACTAATGTTAAAGAATCATTAGAGAGTACTGTATGTGATAATACATTAATTGCATTATTACGTAAAGCATTAGTATTGCTGTTTATTGATCTCAAATATTTTAAGTTTATTTATGTTTATTAATGAGTGCTTCTCGCAAAATTATGAAGAATTCAACTTACATTGTTTCATATGGTTTTCTCTCAGTTAGAAGATATACTTTCCTTTGAAACAAGGTTGAACAAAATCTCTTCCCCCCCCCCCCCACCTCCACCAAGCTGTTTTGGCTATAAGGCCTTAATGTTCAGTTCATAGTAGCCAAATGTTATTTATCGTATACAGTATTGGCAAATTAAGCCCCCTTTTAGTAACATGTTTTTAAAGTTATTGCAGTTAAAGAACCCATTTTCATTTTCCAAAATTAATATTTTGTTTTTAAGGCTGTGACTGGAGTAGTATTTCTTCTTACTTTTACTGTGTAACTCACTTGTATACTCAGGTCATACATGCATATATTAAACTGTGATGACATTTTATTTAACACTGCACTACACAGACAAATCACATTATCGTGATACATCAATCAACAGAAAAAGAAGTCCACTACGGGCTCACCATAGCCCGTGCTACTTGGAAGTTTTTGTACCAGGTAGCGAATTTTAAACAACAAAAAATCCACAGGAGCCGTGATGAGGGTTCGGACCTATGTGCTGTGTGTTCCCACATGCATGCTCTAGTCAACTGCGCCACAACATGGTAAAAGAATTGCAACCTGGAGTACTACTGCACCCACTAGTATTCCCGAGGCTTCCACTGAAGCCGAACCAGGGTTTCACGCAATTCCCCCCCATGCACTCTGGTTCTGTCAAGTAATTCTACCTCTGACGCCCCCCTTTCAATACAGACTATTGAAAGAGGAGCGTCAGAGTTAGAACTACTGGACGACAGAGCCTGAGTGCATGGGGGAATTTTGTGAAACCCTGGTTCGGCTTCAGTGTAAGCCTCGGGAATCTTGTGGGTTCAGTAGTGCCCCAGGTTGCAATTCTTTTGACAAATGTTGTGACAGTTGAGTAGAGCGTGCATCTGGGAACACAGCACATAGGTTCATACCCTCATCACAGCTGTGGATTTGTTCTTTAATACTGCAATTAACCCTGGTTTAGTGGTCTATCATGAGTATTCGTGTGCACTGGGCTAGCATATTGGGGTTTATCTGATTATTACAATTTAAGAAATAGCCATCATACCTCCACTTACTAACAGTAATCCATTTTTCCCAATGTTAAAATCTAAAAATTTTCTCCTGTAAGGTACTCCATATTGCCATGAATATATGATGTAGGACTCACATTTGAGGATAATTTTACTTAAACAAACCTTTTGGCAAAATAAATGTGTAATTCCGACTTAAACTGTATGAGCAATTAAAATTTAAAAGTGCGGAGACATGTTCTAAGACCTAAATTTGTGAGAAATATTGTTATCCAGTAGTTTATGCAATTAACATTGGGGGTCTGGCCTATCCGTACATTTCCAAGTGTAAACGTTCTGGGAGACCTGCACTCAGGGAGGGTGCTCAGTGAAAGTTTTTTTTTTTTTAATAATTGTTTCAAGTTCTCAATTATTTGTTGGGTTATAGCTATACATTTGGTGTCAAAATGTTTGCAAATAATTTGCCTTGGATAATATGAAAAAAAAAGCATTTATAATAGTTTACATAATTCTGTGTTCCCAAATGTTGGGATGCAATTGCATCCCAACATTTGGGATGTAATTAGATGCGTTTTAGCATCATCGGAAAGCAAAAGTTAATTTTATAATCTACAAATTTGTTGTTAAATCATAAATTTAGGTCCTACTAGTGATTAACACTAGCATTCGTTAACACGCTTTAGCATTGCACAGTGAAACGTGGTGTATCTGAGAAAATCGGTAAGAGCCGTGAGGATGATTCGAACCTGCACACTGGGTACTCCCAAGCACATGCCCATGTGCGTGGGAGTGCCAGGTATGCAGGTTCAAATCCTCGTGGCTCCTACCAATTTTCTCATTTTGCATTATTGGTGATTTACAGTATCATTGGAATGTTTATGGCATGTCATCTCATCTTTGAATTTCCGCAAAATATTTCCTTACCTTTGAAAATTTTGGGCACAAATAGGTCTTAATTGTTTAATAGACTATCCAGCTACAACATTAAAGTGTTATTGGTAATCCTTTGAAGTACATTTTAGTCTGTCCTAAGTTGAACATTGCTAGAAAAAAAATTACAATCATTATATATAATATATATATATATTATAAGCTCTTTCTCTCCCTCCTTTAGGCCATTCTTTACAAAGCCTCAGTACATCATACAGTACCATTCTTTAAATTCACTTTGTTTCTTAAATTACAAGATCTTTACTTTTATTTCATTTTCATTTATATAAAATATATATCATTAAATAAGGTCAACAAACTTCACTAAACAAAAATTCCTTGGCACTGTTAAGTACAGTGTACATTTGCTTTTCTTGGTTTTACATCTGGTTAAATATTGTATCATTTCTGCCATTATTACCTTTTGTGTGCTAAAAGGTTTCCTTTTTGTATATTTTCCCTTTTTGCACTTTATTGCAGTACTGTATGTAAAAGTTTATTTTATTTTAAACTCATTTGTGCCTTGAACTTTGAATTTAATTAACTCCCTTAAGTTTTCTAATTTTAAATTTGCAGCATTTACATCAAAAAGCTAATAGACGTAACAAAAATACTGTACTGTACAGTAAGTGGCAGACTTTAAAAACTGATCTTTTCTGAAAAGCTTAGTTTTGCTTTAGGGGAGAAAATAATGCTAAACAATGACAGGTTATGCTTCTGACCTTTGTACAGTAAGTTTTAAGTATATTATCTGTGATATGTGAAGTTTCTATGATACTTCACTTATTTAGCATTTTTATAAAATGCACGTTATCTAGAAGCACCTTTACTGATCGAAAAGTGTATACTGTATATATATATATATATTAGGTGCATGTGTGTGATGGGTCTTTTGCTTTTATATTAAATTTTTTACCACAGTATATTCATATGCTGTTTTTTTTTCTTATGTCTGACAGTTTCGATGGAAGTTCATCTTGCCTGGTAATAAAAGATGAACACAATAACAGCTGCTAGACTGAATATTTTGTAAAGTGCCATTTTGTAAACATTTCATCATATTTGGTCAAATTCATGGCTTCGATTCTATTTTTGTTAATTATACATAAAAGGCCACTTCGTGTCACAACTTTAAGAAAAATGTGATTTAGTGTGCATTTTGAATCTGTTAGTTATGCATTAACTTAATTTTTGTATTGATAAATTTATTTTTTGTATTGATAAATTTATTAATCCTGAAATTAGTGTTTTACATCGCATTTGTATAATTTAGAACACTAGTATACAATACTGTATTTCTATTCTGTATACATACACACTTTTTTTATACCAGATTTGTTGATTGGACTATTAATATCATTTGAAAGATATCAAATTTTACTTTACCAGTTTACAAAAGCTCACAAGAATAATAGTGCTCAGTTATGTTACACAATAGATATTGACAGACTTATCAAAGGGAATATGCAAAAGCGTTTTAAGTAGATTGTCATACAAGTGTGTACTAAAGAATTTGTGACATCGAAATCCAGACAGGAAAGTAGGTGCTGAAGCATTAATATTATCTATGTATATAAAACATTGTATACAAATTGAAAATTTTATGCTCCTAGACAGTATTAAGAGGGTAATCTTCCTTAAGAATATTTCTAGTCTGTATGCAAATGATGTGACAGACACTGTTTGCAGCATCAAGAAAACTAATACCAAGATAGTGACATACTGAGGTAGATTTTTTTTTTTTATAGAAATATGCACCAGCTGAGAAATTGTATGGAATCTTTACTTTTTGGTTAAATGCTAAATATGTATATAATCTTTATACAAGTTTTAAACATTCTGAAAATGAAAGTTTTTGAAACTTGTGAATACTTTTTATGTGTAGTTTACATTTTGATAAATAATCTCAATCATAATCAGGTTCCTTAAACTCAAATCTGATTTGTATTTATAAAAATAAATTGACTTAATAATGCTTGTAAATATTATTCCTATTTTCAGTATGTAAACAAAGTGAGAAATGTTGATTTTCAGTAAAGTGCAGCCAATTTGTTTGCATCCCACTCCAATAGGGAATTAAATTTAATTAATAGCTTATGATTGATCTTCAAACATTTTAATGATTACAAAATGTTCACATTAAGCAGACATCATTGGGAACGTATTTAGCATTCAAACATGCAATTCATGAAAACGGATATTTAGGCAGTCTGCAAGATGAGGTATATTTTATAAAGGCAACAAAATAATGGGACAAACCTGCCTTAACACACTCGTCCAATTGAACTGGTCGGTACAGTAATGGCTGCTTGTATGGTTGACAATCCTAGATGTCGCAAGTGGCTGGCAACTTCCTTCACTTCATCCTCGAATCCCTTCCAAGAACACCCTGCTGAAGATTGAGACAGCTACAGCAGCTTATATTCAGCAATTGATATAAAACTTTATACAGTACTGTATGTACTTGGTAGACCATATGGTTTTAGTAATGATAAACTAAACTGGAAGGTCTTTCTTTTTGTGCAAAAATATAAAAAACCCATTTACAAAGTTAATGAAAATATGAAGAGGAACACCCAAAACCATGTGCACTAGACACCCCTGGTGTAATAATTAGCACACCTACCTCAAATGCAAAAATTGGTAGGATGGCACTACTACCACAATGGGCAGAGTTTTTCACCCTGATGCCCATCTTACCTAGCAGTAAATAGGTACCTGGGAGTTAGTCAGCTGTCATGGGCTGCTTCCTAGGGGGTGGAGGCCTGGTTGAAGACCGGGCCGCGGGGACACTAAGCCCCAAAATCATCTCAAGATAACCACTCAAAATTGTATGTGGGAGCCGGGGTGTCAAATGCTTGGTAAATCATGTTCTTTGAATAACATGCGAATGAATAGGCAAACTATTTCCAGTAAGTTATGTGGCCTGAGGTCTAAATCCGAACAAAATAGTAACCCGACTAAATTATATTCATATAATAAATTTTGTCGGAGGACAGGAAGCCTGAGTATATTCATAAACATTTTGGCTTTTATTGAGGTCCCCCCCCCTTCCCCCCCCGGCAGAATGGTAGATATTAAGAGGCTTGGAGGCAAACACCATACATTAATTTAGGTATGTTAGGGAGGTTTCACAAACAATGAGGGGTTTAGAGGTGGGACCTTAAAGCTGGAGCTCATTCTATTTATATACCTAGGCGAGTGTACACACTTTCATGAATAATGAATCATTTAAATGGTGCAGACGAGGAGTCACAGTAACGTGGCTGAAATATGTTCACCAAACAACACACTAGAAAGTGAAGGGACGACGACGTTTCGGTCGTCGCAATCGACTTGAGAATGGTTCAGGACGGACCGAAACGTCGTCGTCCCTTCACTTAATAGTGTGTGTTTGGTCAACAAACTGCAGCAACATGGTGCTAGATATGGCTAACATCACTCACAGCTTCAAGTGCATGTATAAGAACACAGGATGGCAGGGAGTCGAGTGCACTGAACTACTACTGTCTGAAAGGTGGGGTCCAGGAGCAGCAGTTCATCCCATCAAAACAAATGGAGAGGAACAAGAAACGTACAAATCACTTCCATCCCTTGGCTGCTTTCGCTCCTCCCCCTCCCACCCCCCTCCCCCACCCCCCTCCTCTAGGGAACTGCCTCGCACAAGTTTAACAAGGATGCAGAAATTCTTAAATTATTGTGTGTGACATTTTCGTTGCAACAATTGTGAAAAATTTGGAAGGTGTGGGTCAAGTGGCATGGGGGAAGCCTGGAAGAACAAGGGGGCCTGATGTAATGGGTCCTGAGGGGATAGGGGGAAATGGTTTGGTTGGGTAAAGTGCGAGGATAGAATAGTACGGCCCAGAGGAAAGAACCTGGGAAGGGAATGGCGAGGCCCAGAGGGGAGATACCTAGGGGCTTGTGAGGAAGGGAAGAGAAGGAACGTGTGAATGGTCGGGCTCGTGTGGGGGAGAAAGTACTTCTGGGTGGGGGGTGTAATCGAAAGGGCCTATAGGAATAGTGGGTCCCGGGGTTGAAATATGGGAAAATGCCTTGACTTGTGATTACGGGTTGTGATTATGGGTGGCTTAATTTTCATCCATCAGTCAATCAATCTGAACCTGGGAGCATGAAGACGGAACCTGAGGGAAGGATGATATAATTGTAGGGTCTGCTGGGAGATGTTGCAGGGATACGTTGGACTTGTGATCCTGTGGTCCTGGGTTCGATCCCAGGCGCCGGCGAGAAACAATGGGCAGAGTTTCTTTCACCCTATGCCCCTGTTACCTAGCAGTAAAATAGGTACCTGGGTGTTAGTCAGCTGTCACGGGCTGCTTCCTGGGGGTGGAGGCCTGGTCTAGGACCGGGCCGCGGGAACACTAAAAAGCCCCGAAATCATCTCATGATAACCTCAAGATGTGAATGCTACACATTATTCATTTATAGACCCCCCATATATGCTGAAATACACGTGAAGACCCGCTCGCACACTCACAGCTCCTGGGCAAGAGAGAGCAAGCTTAGCTTAGCTTAGCTTAGCTGCCGACACTCGCACAGACCTTGCAGCCGAGGTGGTGGGGAGGTGTTAAGGGACCTCGCGGCTGAGTAGACAGCGCTCGGGGGTCGTAGTCCTAATATATGGCCCAGCGGAGGCGGAAACAAATGGGCAGTTTCTTTCACCCTGATGCCCCTTGTTCACTTAGCAGTAAATAGGTACCTGGGAGTTAGACAGCTGCTACGGGCTGCATCCTGGGGGTGGGGGGGGTGTTAGAGAGAAATATATGTAGTAGATATAATAGAGGACAAATAGATTAGTTAGAAAGGAGGGTCCAAGAACTAAATAGCTCGATTCTGAAGACACAAATAGTAAATACATACACACACACACACAAAGTTAGAGAAGATTCAGCGGTATGCCACCAGACTCGTTCCGGAACTGAGAGGTATGAGCTACGAGGAAAGGCTAAAGGAGCTGAAAATCACGTCCCTGGAAGCCAGAAGAGTAAGGAGAGACATGATAACCACCTACAAAATTCTCAGGGGAATTGACAGGGCGGACAAAGACAAACTCTAGCACGGGTCGAACACGAACAAGGGGATAGAGGTGGAAACTTAGTACCCAGATGAGCCACATAGACATTAGAAAGAACTTTTTCAGTGTCAGAGTGGTTAGTAAATGGAATGCACTATTAAGTGATTTGGTGGAGGCTGACTTCATACACAGTTTCAAATGTAGATATGATAGGCTCAGGAATCTGTACAACAGTTGATTGACAGTTGAGAGGCGGGACCAAGGAGTCAAAGCTCAACCCCCACAAGCACAAATAGGCGAATACACACACAACATGTCAGCAGACAGCTTCATAACTCGCACTATTTCCCCATTTCCAAACTTTTCCCTTCGACTCCCCCCCCCCTCCCCTCTTCTTCCTCTCACAAAAAAAGTCTATTAGGAAACAATGCTAGGGACGCGGAAGGATCCTATACGTGCGGCATAAGAGAAAGGTCGGGTGAACAGTTATATGCAGCCCGGGAAGAATATATCCTGATATCCTGTATTTAGGATAGGAGAGGAACAGGCATGTAGGCCACCAGACATTTAAGCGGGTACGCCTCACTAGCTACTCTAGCCCAGAGCTCCCTCAGTATTCTGTATCCATGTCTCGGAAGACCCCACCGTCTTTCCTCCTTGAGGTTACCTCGAGATGATTTCGGGGCCTTAGCGTCCCCGCGGCCCGGTCGTCGACCAGGCCTCCTCTGGCAAAAACCAAACAAAAGAACAACAGGGAGAGTCTCCACCACTTTCAGCTTCACCTTATATAAATATGTGCTAGAAATCAACAAGAAGCCCTAAACAAAGCCTGTCTCCCGATTTTGTATTTATCTATTTTTATCATATAAAAGGGACCCTGAGTGGCAGCGATTGACGTCCTGAGGCTACGATTGACGTCCTGAGGCTACGATTGACGTCCTGAGGCTACGATTGACGTCCCGAGGCTACGATTGACGTCCTGAGGCTACGATTGACGTCCCGAGGCTACGATTGACGTCCCGAGGCTACGATTGACGTCCTGAGGCTACGATTGACGTCCTGAGGCTACAGGTGATCACCTTACAGGAGCAGAGAGTGAGGGGGGCGGGCGACGAGCGTGGGTGGTTGTTGCATCAGTAGTTGGCCTGGAGAGGCTCTGGATAAACCTAACAGGCTCCCTGACCTCGCTTAAGGGAAACCATAAGGTGAACCGCTGTTTGGGCAAAGGTCACATTCAGTATGTGTGTGTGTGTGTGCAGCGCTGCTTTATATCATTACCGAAGGCGAGCAAGTCTTCCCGTTATCCCGCTGGAGGGGACACTCGCTGTACGATAACAACAAGTTATACACACGTTATACACGGTCTACACACACACACACGTTATACACAGGCTACACATACACACACACGTTATAAATAGGCTGCATACACACGTGCACATACATTGAGCTGAATAACACCCCCCCCCCAACCAGTTTTCAGTCCCCAACCAGTTTTCAGTAACTAGACCCGAGGCCTAAACTTAATCAAAACCTATATATGGCATAATGTCAGAGGTTGGAACCCATATGCTTGGGGGATGGCCTCATCCAACTTCTCAGGATGACACTTGGGTGGTAGGGGACTCGCAAGGTGGTTACGGTCGACCCAACTCCCCCCCCCCTCCCCCTCCACTTTAAGAACTATCAGTTATTGAAATTGAAATGTGAAATTGAAACAATCAATCATCAATACAACCTGTCCTCTAGAAATAAGTGCACTTGCCCCAGCCACAGGTCAAACGTAAACAAATTATGACAAATTTTTTTTTATTTATTTTCCAGCTAACAAGAGAACGAAGGCTTTTTATTTATTTTCCAGCTAACAAGAGAACGAAGGTTTTTTATTTATTTTCCAGCTAACAAGAGAACGAAGGTTTTTTATTTATTTTCCAGCTAACAAGAGAACGAAGGCTTTTTATTTATTTTCCAGCTAACAAGAGAACGAAGGTTTTTTATTTATTTTCCAGCTAACAAGAGAACAAAGGCAAGAATCGTAAATACTCTCCTACCTCTAACCGCAAGTGTGTGCACTGAACTTGGCTTAAGATGGCGTATATTAAGACCTAGGATTGCTTATTTAGGGTTGGAACAGGTTGGGTAGTATTGTATTCTGTTCAGGATGTTGGCGTGCCATACCGGGCATTCACCACTTCAAAAATAAAACATTTATTGGGTACAACAGTTTATTTTTGTACGCTCGTCTAACAGTTGTTATAGGCACTTTATTCTTGGAGAATGGCTTGCAGTATGAGTAGAAGGGGTTGGGGGCAAGAATATACAGCTCACAAGTATAGGGGGGGGGCAAGAATATACAGCTCACAAGTATAGGGGGGGGGGCAAGAATTTACAGCTCACAAGTATAGGGGGGGCAGGAATTTACAGCTCACAGGTATAGGGGGGGGGGGCAAGAATATACAGCTCACAAGTATAGGGGGGGCAAGAATTTACAGCTTACAAGTATAGGGGGGGGGGGCAGGAATTTACAGCTTACAAGTATAGGGGGGGGGGCAAGAATATACAGCTCACAAGTATAGGGGGGGCAGGAATTTACAGCTCACAAGTATAGGGGGAGGCAGGAATTTACAGCTCACAAGTATAGGGGGGGGGCAGGAATTTACAGCTTACAAGTATAGGGGGGGGGCAAGAATATACAGCTCACAAGTATAGGGGGGGCAGGAATTTACAGCTCACAAGTATAGGGGGAGGCAGGAATTTACAGCTCACAAGTATAGGGGGGGGCAAGAATATACAGCTCACAAGTATAGGGGGGGGGCAAGAATATACAGCTTACAAGTATAGGGGGGGGGGCAAGAATATACAGCTCACAAGTATAGGGGGAGGCAGGAATTTACAGCTCACAAGTATAGGGGGGGGCAAGAATATACAGCTCACAAGTATAGGGGGGGGCAGGAATTTACAGCTTACAAGTATAGGGGGGGGCAGGAATTTACAGCTTACAAGTATAGGGGGGGGGGGCAGAAATTTACAGCTTACAAGTATAGGGGGGGGGGCAAGAATATACAGCTCACAAGTATAGGGGGGGGGGCAGAAATTTACAGCTCACAAGTATAGGGGGAGGCAGGAATTTACAGCTCACAAGTATAGGGGGGGGCAGGAATTTACAGCTCACAAGTATGGGGGGGGCAAGAATATACAGCTCACAAGTATGGGGGGGGGCAGGAATTTACAGCTCACAAGTATAGGGGGGGGCAAGAATATACAGCTCACAAGTATGGGGGAGGCAGGAATTTACAGCTCACAAGTATAGGGGGGGGGCAGGAATTTACAGCTCACAAGTATAGGGGGGCAAGAATATACAGCTCACAAGTATGGGGGGGGCAAGAATATACAGCTCACAAGTATAGGGGGGGGGCAGGAATTTACAGCTCACAAGTATAGGGGGGGGGGGCAAGAATATACAGCTCACAAGTATGGGGGGGGGCAGGAATTTACAGCTCACAAGTATAGGGGGGGGGGCAGGAATTTACAGTTCACAAGTATAGGGGGGGGCAGGAATTTACAGCTCACAAGTATGGGGGGGGGCAGGAATTTACAGCTCACAAGTATAGGGGGGGGCAGGAATTTACAGTTCACAAGTATAGGGGGGGCAAGAATATACAGCTCATAAGTATAGGGAGGGGGGGGGGAAGGCAAGAATATACAGCTCATAAGTATAGGGAGGGGGGGGGGCAAGAATATACAGCTCATAAGTATAGAGGGGGCAGGAATATACAGCCCACAAGATGAGTATTGGATGCACTGATGACAGGAGAGAAAAAAAACTAAGGGAGGGGAACAAGTGTCTTCAAATTCTATTTTAAGATTAAACCACCTGAAGACATCGGATATTTAGTGTACGGAAAACTGGGTCCTCAGGACGAGGAACCCAAAATTCGCGTAGCGAAGTTACACCACTGATAAGCTAGTAAACAAAGTTTACAAATATACAGACTTAAGCTACAAATCTACCCCCGTCTACTCACGCCTGTGAATGACGTATTTCCCAACCGTCTTGGTGCTTCGCCATGTTAGCCCGCTCCTGCTACCCTTGTCCGGGTCACGGGTGAAGGTGGGCAGCCTCATCTCCTCCCGCGGGGGCCAAGATTCCACTCGACTCTCTCACCTCGGATGAATAACCCGGTCATGATGAGCCCTGCAACGAATAAATTATTTGAATATGGGGAGCAAAAGTTCAAACCGGTATTATGAAATGTTGTCCTGGGTTAAGTCACCTGCGGGAATTTTGCGGTGTGTGGAAATGATTAAATATAAGATGAAAAGGCAGGCGATATAGTGTGCTGTGAGGGTGAGGGAGGTCCAGTTGGGTCGACGCCTTCGTACAGGACACAGCTACTTACTTACCGCTGCTGTTCTTCTCCTGCTGGTGCCATCTCTATTTGATCATCTACATTTGCCATGTTTAAAGTCACCTGTGAGTATCAGAGGTGTATTTAGTATTTTGTAGGCTGCTTATTCGTGTGCAAGCGTGTGAGGGTGTACACATGTGTACACTAACATGGTGAGTTTACATGTTGCCTTCACGAAAGGAAAGGAAATTATGTAAAGGTGTTAAGCCAGCATGACTATAGCATATGGAAGAGATACGAGGACAGGATAGGTGGATGGAACTATCATGAGAAAGCCCCAAGCAATTACGACTATATAACACTGGGAAGGGGGCCCAGGATAAGGATTTGGGGATGGAACGGTGGGAAGGAATGGTTGCCCAACCACTTGTGGACGGTCTGGGATTGAACGCCTACCTGCATGAAACGACACCCGCATCGCTCTACCGTCCAGCCCAAGTGGTTAGGTGAACGGAGTGGAGGAAGGGTGACCAACAACTTGACCATCGGGGATCAAACGCCGACCTGCTGTACAATTACTTCTTTCAATACATGCATATACTTACGTATATTTACTATGCACACCGGCTGGACTTCGCAAAGACAGGGACGGTAAGGTTGTGCTTTCTCTCGCCAACCTCTGCTAATTTACCGCCTTTTCCCCCCATACATCCAGCTGTGCCTGCCTCCACGTCGGCCTGATCAATCTGCTGACGTTTTCAGGCCAATGCGTCCAACGTTCTCATGACATGACTCTAGACGTGACCATTCTTTTTGGTCGACGTTGTTAGTAACCTGACAGATTGGTCACGTCCGCGCCCCATGCGTCAGGGATGTGTGTAGATGAGTAAATATAAGATGAAAAGACAGCTTATATTTGATGCAGCCCATCAATGACTGTAGGAAAGCGAGGCTGGTCCACTCTACTTCGTCTACTAATCTTGTTGAACTTGTTTTGATAAAATGTAACTTTCTGACGTTCGACTTCTTCTTTGTTGAATCTGGCCTTGTACTTGGCTTCCACAACTTCAGTGTATTCCACTTGTTGACTACCCCCGTGCTGGGTACGAGAATTTTCTTGCATTTCTTCGACACATTTGTGTTTAAGGCTTCTGTGGCCTCTCTTCCTACTTTCAATTTAATGAGGTTGTCCTTGTCCACTTTGTTTCCACCAGTGGTGGGGGGGGGGGGGAGATGGGAGTAGTATACACACCTAGTTGTGCTTGTTGGAGTTGAGCTTTGGCTCTTTGGTCCCGCCTCTCAACTGTTAGTCAACTGGTGTACAGATTCCTGAGCCTATTGGGCTCTATCATATCTACATTTGAAACTGTGTATGGAGTCAGCCTCCACCACATCACTGCCTAATGCATTCCTCTGTTAACTACTCTGACACTGAAAAAAAATCTTTCTAACGTCTCTGTGGCTTATCTGGGTATCAAGTTTCCACCTGTGTCCCCTTGTTCGTGTTCAACCCGAGCTAAAGAGTTTGTCTTTGTCCCCCTTTGTCAATTCCCCTGAGAATTTCGTAGGTGGTTATCATGTCTCCCCTTACTCTTTTGCTTTCCAGGGACGTGAGGTTCAGCTCCTTTAGCCTTTCCTCGTAGCTCATACCTCTCAGTTCCGGGATGAGCCTGGTGGCATACCGCTGAATCTTCTCTAACTTTGTCTTGTGTTTAACTAGGTATGGACTCCAGGCTGGAGCTGCATATTCCAGGATTGGTCTGACATAAGTGGTATACAGGGTCCTGAACTTATTCCTTACACAAGCTTCTAAAGGATGTTCTTATGTTGGCCAACCTAGCATATGCCGCTGAGGATATCCTTTTGATGTGGGCCTCTGGGAACAGGTGTGATATCAATCCCCAGATGATTGATTGATGAAGATTAAGCCACCCAAAAGGTGGCACGGACATGAATAGCCCATAAGTGGTGGCCCTTTTGAGCCATTACCAGTATGAAGAGTTGATACTGGAGATCTGTGGAGGTGCGACTGCACCCTGCGTGAAGGGAGATGTCTCCCGTGTACCCCCAAATCTTTCTCTCTGACTCTTGCAGTGTGGCGTGGGAGGGTGTGGTGAAGATGGGAGAAGTGTGGCGTTGGGGGGGGGGCAGTGATGTGGTGAGAGGTGGGGGGAGTAATGTGGTGGTGGTGAGGGGTGGGAGATGGGAGTAGTGTGGCCTGCGCCTCCACGTGAAAGTTCTGGGCAAGCACTGGGCAAGCTAAGTGGGGTACGTCAAACTACGCTGCATTCTGATTATATTTACAGCGTCAGCTTGTAATAATTACCCATATACCTGGAGTACACCTGTAGTGGCTTCGGTGTTGTTCTAATTCGTGCCAGGCTTGAGGGAGTCAAGTTTGTTTTGTGATGACTTACCTAGCAGGCTTGGAGCGGCTCATTACAGGTTTGTAATGAGCCATTACAAGCCAGGTTTGTAATGAGCCAGGTTTGTAAATCCATTACAGGTTTGGTCCGGCATTTCCTGCAGGAACTCTCCTAATTGTTCTTGACAGCAGGAACATTATAACCTTTACGTACACACTATACAGAGAATGACGAGCTAACATAGACGTTCCTATAACGGTGCGTATACGCTTGATTATAGGGTCAGTTCGTCCTCATAGGGGGGCTGGAAGGGGGACGCGTGACGTCATATGGCCAAGGGGTCCACATGCCATAATCGCGATAATCCCACGGCCCGATTATGCCCAGAAATATTGATATATAAAAAATGTCGGGGAAATATATGCGTACAAGTTGAACGTTCTCCGGGAGAAAGCAAAAGTGCAGTTACGAAGCCAAGGCCACCACCTTCCTCGTCCGAGTGTGGCGTGGGGCGCGCACCCTGGAAATGAGGCTCCCATGTCCAGAGTGAGATGAGGCAGCATAGGGTCGAGTTGCCCATCGTTGGGATGTTGAGAAGGCGTGTCCGACTTGGCGAGATCCGTCTAGGCCAGTGACCAGATGGAACCTACCAAGTCGCACTCCTCCCAGATAACCTGTTTACTGCTAGGTAAACAGAGGCATCAGAGAAACTTGCCCCCCCCCCCCAATGCCTCCCGTTTTGCTTTTGGGGATATCTAACCCAGGACATTTCGGGTGTGAGCCGTATATGGTCACCTCCAGCTTGAGAAGAGACTATCGCACTGGCTTATCAACCCCAAACCACATACCATCCACTCAATTCAGAACATTTAAGCACGCACACTCTTAAATAATTCTCTATATTCACGATATATATACTTGTATACAAGTGAATTCTTACATTTGTTGAATATTTCGGGACAAGATGTACATGTGTGTGTGTGGACACTACGCCAGGTGTGTGTGTGTGTGTGTGTGTGTGTGTGTGTGTGTGTGTGTGTGTGTGTGTGTGTGTGTGTGTGTGTGTGTGTGTGTGTGTGTGTGTGTGTGTGTGTGTGTGTGTGTGTGTGTGTGTGTGTGTGTGTGTGTGTGTGTGTGTGTGTGTGTGTGTGTGTGTGTGTGTGTGTGTGTGTGTGTGTGTGTGTGTGTGTGTGTGTGTGTGTGTGTGTGTGTGTGTGTGTGTGTGTGTGTGTGTGTGTGTGTGTGTGTGTGTGTGTGTGTGTGTGTGTGTGTGTGTGTGTGTGTGTGTGTGTGTGTGTGTGTGTGTGTGTGTGTGTGTGTGTGTGTGTGTGTGTGTGTGTGTGTGTGTGTGTGTGTGTGTGTGTGTGTGTGTGTGTGTGTGTGTGTGTGTGTGTGTGTGTGTGTGTGTGTGTGTGTGTGTGTGTGTGTGTGTGTGTGTGTGTGTGTGTGTGTGTGTGTGTGTGTGTGTGTGTGTGTGGACACTACGCCAGGTGTGTGTGTGTGTGGACACTACGCCAGGTGTGTGTACACCTAAGACGACCCCCACCACAGACATCCTTACTCAAGGAGAGTGTTAGGTGCCAGGAGTGGATGGTAGCGTCTCTGGCACTACTGTGGGTTGACGGGGCACTCCTGTGGGTTGACGCCTACATAAGGAAGACTGCCAACGCCCACCACCACTCCTACACCTCTCGCAAGAAACTGCTCCATCTCGAGAAAATATTTTTCCACGTCGAATGAAATAGTTTATTTGTATGTCTGATCAGCGTCGCCGGTATCAGGCCGCGAGAGTTTCAGGGGATTGATTTTTTAGTTTTTTTTTTTAACAACGCTGCAAACTGACGATATTTAATTTAATAGTCATAGTTATAGTCCTGCTCCTGTGCCAGGTAAGTCCACCACGGGCTCGCCATAGTCCGTGCTACTTGCAACTTTTTGTTTCCAGTAGCTCACTCAAAATCTAAAATTCTAAAATCATTTCTAAAATCTAAATCAATCAATCTAAAATCATTTCATTACAAAATTTCTACCATTTTTAACACTGACCGATAGTACTTCATTTTAAAATTTTTATACTTATTTTCTGTTTAATATTTATACCTCAAATTTAGCCTAAACAGTTTCCGAATGACCATACAATGTGTTAAAAAAAAGTAGTTTCTTGGAAAATATTAAATCCCTTCTAATGGCAGGTTGTGTGTTGGGCGTGATGGTGGCGGCGATGGCCCAGCATCCCTCCAGCTTCCCAGGTAAGTCCCTCCTTCCACTGTTTGTGGTTTTAGATTCAGCTACTGGGAACAAAGAGTTCCAAGTAGCACGGGATATGGCGAGCCCCGTTCAGCCCCGTTCCTGTGCCTACATGGCACAGGAACGGGGCTGTAGCTGTGTACTACCACTCTCTGCACTCACATTAACTATAGAAATCCTGAACAACGAATGGCCCGAAAGAAATGGCTACTTGAGTAACTAGTAAGCACAAATTAATGTAATTATGCTGGAAACCAGAGGTCGGACATAAGGTACCATATGAGACATTAAATTTCCAGTGACAGAAAAACCTGTGGGTTGAACAGTACATTAGTCAACGTCCTCTACCACCAATCAAGGTTTCCAGGGTTCGATCCCCGGACGGGACAGAAATGACTGGGCTCATTTTTTCCACCTGGTGCGTCCGTTCACCTAGCAGTAAATAGGTATTCGGGAGTTAGGCAACTGTTGTGGGGTTGCATCCTGGGGAGGGTCCACAGATGGCCTAGGGTGGACCTCGATAAGCTTAAATAAAGCCTACAGAATTACAATACAGCCTACAGAATTACAATACAGCCCACAGAATTACAATACAGCCTACAGAGTTACAATACAGCCTACAGAGTTACAATACAGCCCACAGAATTACAATACAGCCTACAGAGTTACAATACAGCCCACAGAATTACAATACAGCCCACAGAGTTACAATACAGCCTACAGAGTTACAATACAGCCCACAGAGTTACAATACAGCCCACAGAGTTACAATACAGCCCACAGAGTTACAATACAGCCCACAGAGTTACAATACAGCCCACAGAATTACAATACAGCCCACAGAATTACAATACAGCCCACAGAATTACAATACAGCCTACAGAGTTACAATACAGCCCACAGAATTACAATACAGCCCACAGAGTTACAATACAGCCCACAGAATTACAATACAGCCCACAGAATTACAATACAGCCCACAGAATTACAATACAGCCCACAGAATTACAATACAGCCCACAGAATTACAATACAGCCCACAGAATTACAATACAGCCCACAGAATTACAATACAGCCCACAGAATTACAATACAGCCCACAGAATTACAATACAGCCCACAGAATTACAATACAGCCCACAGAATTACAATACAGCCTACAGAATTGCAATACAGCCCACAGAATTGCAATACAGCCCACAGAATTACAATACAGCCCACAGAATTACAATACAGCCTACAGAATTACAATACAGCGCACAGAATTACAATACAGCCCACAGAATTACAATACAGCCCACAGAATTACAATACAGCCCACAGAATTACAATACAGCCCACAGAATTACAATACAGCCTACAGAATTACAATACAGCCCACAGAATTACAATACAGCCCACAGAATTACAATACAGCCCACAGAATTACAATTCAGACTTCCTCTATCGGGCAACGTGAACCCATATCACAGTGAACCTGTTCATGGAAGCCTACATTAAATGCATACCAGCGGCATATATTAGGTTGGTCAAAATGAGAACCATCTTTGGAATTCTAAGCAAGAACTCGTTCAGGATTATCTCTATATCACTCATCAGACCCATCTTTGAATATGCGACTCTAGTATGTACTCCTTATCTAGTCTAAAACAAAGACTGAGAACTACCATAGATATATGCCACCAGACAAGTACCAGAATAGAGGTATGAGTTACAAAGACAGACTCAAGGAATTTAATCCAGTCAGTGGAACAGACTAGTAAAGGGAGACATGATTACCCCATACAAAATTCGCAGGGAAATTTGTAAGGCAAACAAAGACATTTGGGATGGTTGTCCATGATCAAGGGGATGCGGATGGAAATGTAATATTGAAATAAGTTACGGGTTCACCCTAGCCCGTGCTACATGGACACTTCGTTCTGAGTAGCTAAATCTGAAACAACAACAACATTGAAATAAGCCACAGAGTTATTAGAAAACCTTCAGGGGTTGGTAGTGAACAAATGGAACTTACCCAAAAGTGGAGTGGATGAGATACAACACATTTTCTATTTTAAGCAGGTTGAGAGGAGGAGGAGGGGGGGGGGACCAAAGAGCCAAAAAGTTCACACATTCCCTAACACAATTAGGAGAGTGTTGACGAACCACACACTAGAAATTGAAGAGCTGACGACGTTTCGGTCCGTTCTGGACCATTATCAAGTCGATAGTAGTGGTCCAGGACGGACCGAAAACGTCGTCAATTCAATTTCTAGTATATGGTTTGGCCAACATTTTTGAACCACGTTATTGGACTTATCTGCAATCAGGAGAGTATAAACAAAAAAAACACGTACCATTTAATCTACCTTTATCATGTTCCAATACACTGTTAATGACACTAATGCCTCGCGTGCAGGAAACGTGGCGGACGGCTCCTACCCTACCTACAGCGAGGTGCCAGCTACGTCTTTCAACTGTGAAGGACGTTGGGGCATCTTCCCGGACACCGAAGCTGGCTGTCAGGTAAGAGGCACCAGTGCCAGATGAAATATATGTAACTTGAGGTATACCAGCTAAGTAAACCAACTGACTGATACAATGCATGGATAATCATGCAGCCATACGAAATTAATCACCGGTCTTATGAAATAGCCCATTCAAAGCGATGTCATGTAAAGATAACTAGACAACAGGAGGGATAACTAGCTATCAGACGAGGTAAACAATGCTGCTAGAACACACACACTAGCTGTGAGGCAAGATACACTAGGTACCAAACTAGCTGCGAGGCAAATTAGGTACCAGGCGAGGCAACACCTGCTTCGAGACCTAACTTATCAAACTAAGTCGACCAGGTACCAGGGGAAATAGAGCTGGGCGAGAAAGTGGGGAATTATTCTTTTGTTGCTGGATAATGTGACTAGAACTAAACTATCAGGAGAATGTGCTAAGCTAGTATGGTACCAAGAACTTTATGGTACCAAGGTATGGTACCAAGTTCTATGGTTATAGAACTTAGAGAATACGAGGCCAAGGAGCTGGGGAATGAGTGATGGGAAGGAAGGACGGAATGAATTATCAGAAGCACCAGGCCATTGCTACTATATATCTCTGGCAAGGGGTCAGGATAAGGATTTGGGATGGGACGGGGAAAAGGAATGGTGCCTAACCACTAGGACAGTCAGGAATTGAACGCCGACCTGCATGAAGTGAGACCGTCGCTCTACCGTCCAGCCCAAGTGGTTGAGCGGGCAATGAGGGAGGAGTGAAGACACAGAGATGGTTGCTAACACTGAGACGAAAGGAATGAGTGAAACTGATTAAAGTGATTCATTAAATGTGTGTAGAGAAGAAGCAAAAATAATGCAAAGTGTGTCAATGGAATGTGTGCGAGGTCGGATTTATTCAGTGTTGTGGAAAATTGTAAGTGTTGTCAGAGCCACAGACAGCCAGATATACCCAAATATACATAGTACTGTACTTTAAAACAAGTATACAAATTGCAATAAAGTTCATGGCGACACACTGGTACCTATTATGGTGCCTGCAAGTGACATTTTAGTATTCATTTTCAAACGTGTTAAAACATCAAATGGTTGTCAAACGTCAAGTGGGAATAGATATCTGAACTACAATTAACCTGTATGTGATAGCAGACACTTAAATAGGGCAGTGTACGCTTGTAAATTGCCGTGCTGCAATCTGTCTATTGCAGATTGTGTTGAAAAAAAGATCACTCAACGCCAACTATGCTTCTCTCTTTCCAGGTGTTCCACATCTGTCACGGGCGCTTCATGTATAGTTTCCTGTGCCCGAATGCCACCCTCTTCAGTAGCAACTACCGCATCTGTGATCACTATTATAACGTCCGCTGCTGATCCATCAAGCCGAACGACCCACCACCACCACCAGACCCATATATCTTCGCCCAGGACATAACCTATTGAGGAAGGTAGAAATAGCCTAAGCTATTCTATCCCCCTTGATATGTATTTTATTGTCTCAATAAACGTACATATCCTACCACCTCGTTGGGAATACAATCAATTCGGCAGGAATTAACCATGAAACGTCCAGCATTTTTTGTTTTTAGAACAATATATAAACTTCTCACGTTCATTGTAACGGGTAAAATTATTCAGAATGCTCCCATGTTCACATTTAAAAGCTGTATCAAACATTAAGAAGCCTTAGTTCTATATATTTTCTAACTTTTAACTATTCTGGACAATGCAAAAATTTAATAAACTAGAACCATTATGTTTTAGAGTTTTTCTTTATACCAATTCAGTGTTACGAGGCTACTGCCGCCTTGTTCTACGAGCCCCACACGTGGTTACAACCTAATTAACCTCTACTGGGCCTAGTTATACAAGGTACATTAGACCAAGATTACGTATATTGGGCCTTTGAATGATTATTAGACCTGAGACGTTAGTTTTTTTTGGCTCATACGTCCGTTAGTGTACCAGTGGTACAAATGATACTAGTTTGATTTTTTGTGGATGCAACAATATATATTTTCCGAAATCCTTATAGTATTCGAGCCCCCCCCACTTCCTACCCCCATATCTACAATCCCTGTACCGAATCCATACAATCCCAATCCAAGATCTGTATCGAATTTCTTACAGTTACAAACCCATTAAGATTTCAACTTAGATTCAACAGAGCAGAAGTTGTTAAACACATATGGCAAAATCTTACTGAAGCGACCATACGAGTCATAAATACTCATACTCCGCCCAAGTAAAACAGAAACAAGCAACACTTAGTGGGCCAGCCAGAGGCTTAGGGCCCGCGCAGGAATATCCCTGCAAAAAAAATGTATCGAATTCAACTCCTGGCCCTCAAAAATACATTTTGGCAACATTTATGCGCCTTGAAACATTACCAATACAAATAGAGGAATGTGGATGATATCTGGATGCTTGTAGAGCGATCCTCCACGTGGTTCCCTATAACTTATCGATGACGGGAGGCAATTTAGACGGGTAAAGTGAACACACACACAAGACAACGTAGTTCGTCTTCCTCCCTCGACGGACGACAGCCAACTGAAGCAGAGTTGCCAGATCTAAATTGCTGAAAGTAGCGAGCTGACGGTTTAAAAGTACCGAATTTGTAATTAGAGTAGCCCAATTTTTTTAGTGAATGATATGGGTTTCAAAGTAATATATTTTGATATATAGAGTACACTACACGATGTTAATTGTTTTATTAATATTATTTCTGCACCGACCAGCTGTGTAAGCGAACCCCGACCAGTGGTGTAACTGCAAGCCTAGCATGAACGAACCGACAATAAACATACATGAACTTGAAGTGGACTTTAATGTTTTTTTCGGCAGCTTTATTTCCTTAGTTTCCGAGCTGTTTTCTTTACCGTTCATGTTGTAATAAACTATTCCTATATTTACAGTTGGTTCTCTCTGTGAAGATTATTAAACAATTGTGATTATAAGGGCGCGGAAGTTCAGCCTGGCCAGGGCCGCCAGCAGCCCTTGGGCCCGCCCGACAGCTCCTAGTCTTTAATTTGGCACCTTTGTGGCACCTTTGTGGGACCTTGGTATAAGTCTAAAATGTATATATACACTGGCTGCCTGTCCCCCTACACAATGATTTATTATTACCTATTATTTTATCATTTAATTTAAATATTAAATAAAATCATTTATTTAATTATTATAGTAAGTACTTAATAATTTAATAATAAGTAGTAAGTACATAAAAATAATTAAAAAGTACAGTTTAGTCATAGGAGATTCCTAGATGGAATTCACTACCAAATTTCGATATATCCAAGTATTTTTAGTGTGAAATGCTGTTATTATATGCATAAATTGTTGTTTTAATAATATTACGCTTAACCACTTGGGCTGGACGGTAGAGCGACGGTCTCGTTTCCTACAGGTCGGCTTCCTTTCCCCCGTTCCATCCCAAATCCTTATCCTGACCCCTTCCGAGTGCTATATAGTCGTAATGGCTTGGCGCTTTCACTTGATACCCCTACCCCCTACCCTCCTGAATAATATTATGAGAGCAGTATTTACGGGCTATTCATGCCCGTGCCACCTCTTGGGTGGCTTAATCTTCATCAATCGAGAGCAGTACGTCCTAACCAGACGTTATATGATGATATCTTGAACAGTTGATAAATAAAAGTAATTGCGGAACTCCAGTTATCTAATACTTATCATAAATGGTATAAAACCTTATCATAAGCCAAGGGATTTATAGATCAGTGTTTAAAGGGAATTCGGAAGTAATAATAACACAGCTCATGCCATCTGTCGGCAAAAGAGAACACTATCAAGTGGCTGGTCAACAGTGGCCAAAAGATACAGCTTACGCCATCTGTTGACATCAAATTACACTTATAACAAATTACCCTACAAAATACAACTAGCGCCATCTCTTTTTTTTCCAACGCACTATAAATAGCCAAACAGCAACCCATAAGGCGGGTTGTTGTGCTCGGGTAGGAGGTTCCAAGCTCCGCCCCAAGATGGTATGGGGTGCATAATAAATGGCATATCATTGTTGATATTCTTTGTTGACATTCACACAACAGCCAATCACAGGAAGGGATCAGCTAAAGGCTCCATCCACTTAATAAATCATCTTTATTCAGCACACCATCCTTGCTTATGACATTCTGCTTCAACTTTAATCTACCTAAAAAGTGAAATGTTAAGTATTTAAAAGTATTAATAAAGTGATAATTAAATACTGCAGGATGTAACGAGTGTTACAGAAACATGGGCTGGCTACCTAACTTGTGACGTTATTATTGGGGGTTGCCTTGACACAAATAATGATACGCTGCTCTGCCCTCTTATTCAAGTAAATTATTCAGTTAGATGGAGATTTCTGTCAGATGCAAAACAGAAATTGTTGTTCTTTTTCACAACCATCTTGTTGTTGTGCACAAGGACCTATTTCTTAGTTTAAATTTTATTCATAAAAGAGTGTTGATATTCCCCGCAACAGCCAATCACAGGAAGGTATTTCTGGAAGCTCGGCCTCCTTATGGACTCAGCACATCGATCTAGCTCATGGCTCTCTGTTTCATCTCTTGTATATACAAACTATGATTTTTTCGATTACTGATATAATTAATAATATGAGATATAAAAGTTTTTACACAAAATGACTAAATTCTGCCATTAAATAGACTTTGTCTGGTATACATACAAACATACACCAATTTATTACCATTCATTCATTATTAATTTCAAATGTAATGTATACTATCTAGTTTTTTCCTCTCGCCATTACTTGGTGCAATATTTGAAAGTTGTCTATTTATTTATCGATCTATCTATTATCTTGTATTTATATTTACAAGTTTCTGTGCTTGGAAGAAAACTCTGCATTGAATTGGGACTAATTTATTAAATAATATTATTTAGCATTAAATAATATTATTTAGTATTAATTAATATTTACAATCATTATTAATTACAATTATTTATAGCTTAGTTACTTTCATGTAACTCGCAATCGTACATTCTTAACATTAATAGCCCAAATTAGCACATCTTGCTTTTAAATTAGCCCAAAAAGTAGCAAGTAGCGAAATTAAAAATTTGGGAGCGCGGGGCTCTCAAAAGTAGCCCAATTCGCTATTTGTAGCCCAATCTGGCAACACTGTTGTTGTGTTGATTTAGGCGCGACGACGATCATGGGATCGGATGCGCCCCTGGCAACACTGGAGTGAAGTGATAACGCTCGTTTTCCCGAGCCTTTGACTATGTAAACAACTTGTTCGGGGCCCCCTCTCCCTTGTGACCACCAAACCTAACAAAACTCTCCATTCACAAACGGTTGCACATCTGTAATTAGGAAAGCTTACCTACAAAATTACAGTACGTTAGTTACATTTGTGTTACGAACAACAGCCCGGCACGCAGACATTGTCATTTATCAGAATCAAAATCTTTTATTCGTAGTAACTTAGATAAATCATTATAAAACTGGCTAGACTTTCCAGGTGTATGACAATACACTCTCCAGGTGTATAGCTTAATTTAATAAAATAATATTAATCGAGATAAACCAAATTGAAAAATAAATATTTGGAAATAACGGAAATCAGGCTACCTGTTTCCTGCAAGACCAGATTTGGTCTTGCAGGAAACAGTCTTGGAAAACTGTTTCTTGATCTTGAAACTTTGGTCTTGAAAATCACTCTGCTAAGAAGCAGAGTGATTTTCGTTAACAATAATCTAATTGGTTTATTTTAATTATTATTATTATTATATTATATTAAGAACATCATTTACTGACTTAGTTAGGATAGGTTAGGTTAGGTTAGGTTAGGTTAGGATAGGTTAGGTTAGGTTTCGTCATATTTCTACGTTAGTTTTAACTCAAATTAAAAAAATTAAATCATACATAATATAATAGAAAACTTTATCATTCCATTAGGATTTTGTATTTTCGAAAAATGTATAATTTCAGGAAAACTGTATACAACTCCTGAATTTCGAGGACTTGGTTATACAAATCAAAACAATGATGTATTAAGTATGAGGACAGGTTTGGAATCTCGTGTCATCGGCCGAGAGCTGTCCAGGTGTGTAGTATACTGTCCAGGTGTGTAGTATAGTGTAGTCTACTGTCCAGGTGTGTAGTATACTGTCCCAGGTGTGTAGTATACTGTCCCAGGTGTGTAGTATACTGTCCCAGGTGTGTAGTCTACTGTCCAGGTGTGTAGTATACTGTCCAGGTGTACGTGGTATACTGTCTAGATTTGTGGTGTGGTATGATATCCAGGTATATGTGTGTTATGTTATCCAGGTATATGTGTGGTATGTTATCCAGGTATGTGTGGTATGTTATCCAGGTATGTGTGGTATGTTATCCAGGTATGTGTGGTATGCTGCTCAATTGTTCCTGAATATCACTTAAGATGTCAATACGGGTTGAGGAGAACACCAAACAAGTGATGTCAAAGGAATTAGATTCGCCGAGGAGTATATCCATAGACCAGAGATTCATAAGGAACAGTGGGGAGTCACAAACAGGTGTGTGGGTGTAAATTGTTCAGATGTGTGGGTGTAAATTGTCCAGGTATGTGGGTGTAAAATTGTCCAGGTATGTGGGTGTATGCTCTCTAGGTATGGGGGTATATATTCTCCAAACATCTGAATTGTATAACACGGGAGACATCTCCCGTCACGCAGGGTGCAGTCGCACCTCCACAGATCTCCACAGATCTCCAATATCAGCTTAATCTTCATCAATCAATCAATCGAATTGTATAATACTTCAGCATGTGGGTATACTGCCCATGCTCAAAGGGGGGTATATATACTTTCCACGCATATTGGCAAGGTGTGGCATCCACAATTTGAAGATATATATTGTTAAATGACACACAAAAGCAGTTTTCGACAAATTTTTATTCCACAAGAGTCCATGAGAGTTATGCGTTGATGTACCATCAAATAGAGAGCGGGACTTGCCTGGACTTAAATGGTATTTCGCTACAAATATACTTGGCATTCACATCAGGGTTCGAAAGGTGCCAGGAGTGGGAAAGAGGGAGGGACCAGCATCAGTGCCAAAGGGGGTGTCAGGATAATGGCCGCGATGCCCTGCAACTTGGGGGATGAAATCCCAGATGTGAGATTTTATTTCTTCACGTTTGGCGGAGGGAATCTCTGCTGGCGCTTACGGAGTGCCGCCGGTGGACGACGGAGTGCCAGGGTCACCAGATGGGAGAGTGCCGTGTCCTCTACCGCGCCTCCGTCACCACCTGACGAGGTCAGGAAGTCATCTTCGACCTCCTGCTCCTCGCTCGAGTCCTGTACTGGCGTGGAGAGGTAAGGCGTGTGCTCCAAGTAACGGCCGTCCACCTCGGAGGCCTCCAGCGAGCGGGAGAGGGACCGTAGGACCTTAGCCAAGTGGCGGTCCCTGGCACCGCCTCCTCCAAGCCTCACCAGGCCCTGGAGGGCCAGGGTATCCGACTCGTCTGCCACCGTGCTGCTGCTGCTGGGGGAGAAACCATAGTGGCATTAGTGCCATTGTCATTTGTTAAAATGTTCAATAGGTCTGTAGGACCTATTGAACATAGCCCCCCCCCTCTCCACATATGAACAGTAATGACTTGGTGAAGAGAAACTTCATAAAAATCTCCCATAAGTCTTCTGAAGCAAGCCAGGATCTGTGTGACCTTCCAAGTAGCATGGGCTATGGTGAGCCCATAGTGAACTTACCCGGCACAGGAGCGGGGCTATAAATGAGCCTTCCACACTCTCAAGAGCTATATCCCCTCACCAGCCGTCAAGGGGGGTTAAGGGGGGGGCGACATTCCCCTCTACGCCCGTCCTCACCTGTGAGCGAGGGGGTCGGCCCGTCGGCGCCTCTGGAAGTTGAAGCAGCAGGCGCGGAAGTTCCTGGTGCCGCAGGCAGCCTGGCACTCTGAGCCGCAGGAGGCGCAGGACACTTCACTGCTGCTCCACGCCCAGCTCCCGCCCACCACCACCGCCCACACTGCCGAGGAAATGCATGAATTATAATATAAAACGTAATTATATATAAAATATAATCTATTATCACATTAATTAGGGTTAAGAGTAGTCCAGTAAATGTTTCGGTTCGTTGGAATAGCGAATCACCTGGCCTGAATAGGGAATAGGGAATTCCTGGATTATTAAACTGTCTTCCAGCAGTCCAGCATTCATTGGTATGCCTCAAGCATGAAAGACAAGCGTGTGTTACATCAGGAACGAAACGACTTGCGAAACCTGTACATCTTTGAACAATCATAGCGGCTTCGCTTACATTTATTAAATGGTTTACGACCTTTCGAAACCTCATCACACTGCGATAAACAACCTCGTGGTGGTCCAGAGCTCATAAACTCCGAGCTACAGGATAGGGGGACACCTCGCACCGCTCCTATGCCAGGTAAGTCCGCTACGGGCTCACCATAGCCCGTGCTACTTGGAACTTGTTCCGAGTAGCTGAATCTATAACAACAATAACAGGAAGAACAACAATAACAGGAGGGGGGGGGGGAAGCTGGAAGCCAGCTAATAGGAGTCACAAGTCGGCTGTTCCCGTACCTACTGTTATGTGTTCAGTGTCCAGTCTGAAGCCTAACCACTTCAGACTGGATACGCTGAAGTCATACCTGTAAGTGTCAAGGTACCTCTAATACAATGTAATCCATACTGCGGTATTTGAAGTATCATTATATACATGTGTGTTCTACTGTGTTGTATTATTATGTTATATTCATGTGTTTGTATGTGAGTGTAACTGCCAGTGTCGTTGGCCGGCCGCTGCTACTGGCATTAACACCCCCCCCCCCTTTCCTTGGCCTGTGTGTACTCACCTAGTTGTACTTGCGGGGGTTGAGCTCTGGCTCTTTGGTCCCGCCTCTCAACCGTCAATCAACTGATGTACAGATTCCTGAGCCTATTGGGCTCTATCATATCTACACTTGAAGCTGTGCATGGAGTCAGCTTCCACCACATCACTGCCTAATGCATTCCATTTTTCTACTACTCTTGCACTGAAAAAGTTCTTTCTAACGTCTCTATGGCTCATTTGGGCACTCAGTTTCCACCTGTGTCCCCTTGTGCGTGTGCCCCTTGTGTTAAATAGTCTGTCTTTATCTACTTTATCAATTCCTCTGAGAATCTTGTATGTGGTGATCATGTCCCCCCTAACTCTTCTGTCTCCCAGTGATGTGAAGTTTAATTCCCGTAGTCTCTCCTCGTAGCTCATACTCCTCAGTTCGGGTACTAGTCTGGTGGCACATCAACATAGTCGGGTCGTGTGGGTGCACAACACACACGCACCATAGGGACCTGGTAGCTGAGTGGACAGGACTCTGGACTCGTAATCCTAGAGTCCAGGTTCGATCCTCAGTGATGGCTGAGCGGACAGAACACTGGACGCGTGATCCTGTGGTCCCGGGTTCGATCCAGGGCGCCGGTGAGAAATAATGGTGCAGAGTTTCTTTCACCCTGATGATCCTGTTACCTTGCAGTAAATAGGTACCTGGGAGTTAGTCAACTGTTACAGGCTGCTACCTGGGGGTGGAGGCCTGGTCGAGGACCGGGCCGCGGGGACACTAAGCCCCGAAATCATCTCAAGACAGATGGCAGAAACAAAATGGGCAGAGCTTCTTTCACCCTGATGCCCCTGTTACCTAGCAGTAAATAGGTACCTGGGAGTTAGTCAGCTGTTACAGGCTGCTTCCTGTGTGTGTGGGGGGGGGGGGAATAGTTAGTAGTTAGTAACAGTTGATTGATTGACAGTTGAGAGGCGGGCCGAAAGAACAGAGGTCAACCCCTGCAAGCACAACTAGGTAAATACACACACACACACACACACACGCACACACACACACACACACACACGCACACACACACACACACACACGCACACACACACACACACACTGCTCCAACCAACCAACCAGCTACTACAGGAAACTTCAATTGCCTAACAATTATAGAACAGTTTGAAGACAGTGAGTGGGGGTCCCGGCCATCATGAAGGTACAGAGAGTTTGAAAAGTAACCCAGATAAAACATATATACAAAAGTAAGTGAAATTGTTTTGGCTTAGAAAAGTTGCGGTTCAAAGCGAAAAGTGTCAACAACAAAGATGGCCGCCACCACAGGGAAGGATCACACAATAACAAAGATGGCCGCCACCACAGGGAAGGACCACACAACAACAAAGATGGCCGCCACCACAGGGAAGGACCACACAACAACAAAGATGGCCGCCACCACAGGGAAGGACCACACAACAACAAAGATGGCCGCCACCACAGGGAAGGACCACACAACAACAAAGATGGCCGCCACCACAGGGAAGGACCACACAACAACAAAGATGGCCGCCATTACAGGGCAAAATCCCACAACAGATGGGTATTTCAAGGGCCTGAACCTTGGCATCTTTGTCGTGATTGACGAGTTGCTAGAGAATTAAACGGCCTGAGATGAGGAACAAGTTGCAGTAGTCAACTGCATCACTCAACCGAACAACGGTGGTAATTACAGTCGTTTCTATATACTTAATTCGTATCTTCACACAGCCTGGGCTATAGAAAGATTGTTTACCTCTATCGTACTTAGTTCAAGTACGTTTATTGAGACAATAAAATACATCTCAAAGGGATAGAGTAGCTTAGGCTATTTCTACCCCCCTATCGTGCTTAGTCTTTCCTTCGTCGATATTAGAATTTGTTTTAAGCTTAAATGCCTACCCAGTAGGCGAAGTATTAATGAGTGACGTACGTTCTTCGACGTTGAATCTGCATTGATGTCTTTGAATCTGCGTTGAATTTACGTTGCTCTTGGATATCGTGCCCACTGGGCAGCGGGAAAAGCTATAGTGGGAGACAGTATCCACAAATAACGCTAACTCAACATTAAATAAACGTTAACTCTGCGTTAAATCAACGTTGATTCAAAAGTACATCACGTCGTTTGTTCAACGTTGTAATTACCACGTCACGTGTACTAACATGAGCTTGTGGAAAAGTACCGAGAAGACACCTCCCAGTACTTCTCCACACAGAGAAGTTGACACAACCACATTGACGGTTGAGAGGCGGGACCAAAGAGCCAGAGCTCAACCCCCGCAAACACAACTAGGTGAGAACTAGGTGAGTACAGATGATCAAGCATGGCTGTATCACATCAACATACCATACGCGCGAACTAATTACACCAGACATGGTTGCACCCAATTACTTACCCAGAAATATAGGAAGGTAATGCATGTCGAGTAGTTGATGTGAGTGCTCTGGTGGTTGAAGGAGATGTGGACTCTGCTGCTTGCGTGGGTATCTACCAAGACATCGTGGGTCAGTTGGTTCGGCGGTGTGGCGTGGCCCGGCTTCTGAGATCGACTGAGATCCCATTTGAACCGCCAGTCTCTTATAAGGCGAGGGTTGGCCAGCTGCGCAAGCCTTGCCGGCCGGTGATTGGCTCTTGGCTCATCCTCGATCGGAGATTGGCTCTTGGCTCATCCCCCGACCGGGGATTGGCTCTTGGCTCTTCCCAGCCTCAGAGGTCACAGATAATTTACATAAACATTCTTGATTTTTAGAGATGCTGAAAAACCAACATATGAATGGAACATAAAAATACCTCTTTTGCTATAAAATCCCTCTCCAGCTTAATCAATATAAATTATTAGTGAAACTATAATTTTGGTCTATGCTTACATGTAAACATCTCGACCAATCAAAATCAGGTATAATGATGACGTCCCTGCGACAAGAGCCAATCAGCGCTCGGAGACGCCTGACGTGGAGATGGACTCTGTTTACAACACGCAGGAGGCCGGCGCCACCCAGAAAAAACGCGGGAAACAGAATTCTTTGCTAACCTTCGTTTATTCTGTCCAGAGGAAGACTATCTGCGGCTTCCCCCCCCCCCCCCCCCCCCCCCCCAAGGACACGGTGACTTCACCTCCTGCGCACATATGCTAATTGTTTGTCACATCGGATAAAAATAATTTATGCAGAAGGCAGGGTTCAAAGTCGTTTACGTTGATTCAACGTTTCTTGCGGGTGCTGTACCCACTGGACGTGTTCAATGAAGTAGTTTACAGATGAAAAGTTTCGGGTTAGATTCCCGCGGCGGGACATGTTCTAACAGGTGACGGGGAGCTAGGCAACTGTTGCGGGTTGCATGCATCTCAGGGAAAAATGTCATCTCAGGCAAAATGTGTAATTTCAAGGCAAAATAATAATATTTCTCATAGTTATAAGAAGTTATACGTTATAGACAGTTATAAGGTACCTCATACATTAGGACGGTATGACTTTATACCACTTGGACATGAAGCTGGGATATGAGGACAAGGAGATAGGATATGAGGGAAAGGAGCTGGGATATGAGGACAATGAGCTAGGATATGAGGACAAGGAGATGGGATATGAGGACAAGAAGCTGGGATATGAGGACAAGGAGCTAGGATATGAGGACAAGGGGATGGGATATGAGGACAAGGGGCTGGATATGAGGAATGACATAAAATTCTATTAAGCCTCTGTGTGTGTGTGTGTGCGTGCGTAGGGCCAATTTAGCCAACAAAACAACAGGATTACCGGCCGTACGTGACGAGGGCGCCCCCCCCCCCCACCGACACCTCACCTGGCCTCTCTCATCCCAAACGTCGCATTTTTTACGGAATATACAAATTCGTTATAAATGTGACGTATTTGTAAATAATGAAAGCACCGTAAAGTTGACGCTTTCTCTATCCCTCGGCCTCGATAGGTTAGGTGGGTGGCTTGGGTTGAGAATCTTATCCTCCCTGCGTCATGTACATCCACTTTTTATCCTTCCTGCGTCATGTACATCCACTTTTTATCCTCCCTGCGTCATGTACATCCACTTTTTATCCTCCCTGCGTCATGCACATCCCCTTTTTATCCTTCCTGCGTCATGTACATCCACTTTTTATCCTTCCTGCGTCATGCTCATCCACTTTTTATCCTCCCTGCGTCATACACATCCACTTTTTGTCCTACCTGCGTCATGTACATCCACTTTTTATCCTCCCTGCGTCATGCACATCCACTTATTATCCTCCTTGCGTTATGTACATCCACTTTTTATCCTCCCTGCGTCGGGTACATCCACTTATTATCCTCCCTGCATCAGGTACATCCACTTTTTATCCTCCCTGCGTCATAGACATCTACTTTTTATCCTCCCTGCGTTATACACATCCACTTTTTATCCTCCCTGCGTCATGTACATCCACTTTTTATCCTCCCTGCGTCAGGTACATCCACTTTTTATCCTCCCTGCGTCATAGACATCTACTTTTTATCCTCCCTGCGTCATACACATCCACTTTTATCCTCCCTGCGTCATGTACATCCACTTTTTATCCTCCCTGCGTCATGCACATTCCACTTTTTATCCTTCCTGCGTCATATACATCCACTTTTTATCCTCCCTGCGTCATGTACATCTACTTTTTATCCTTCCTGCGCCATGTACATCTACCTTTTATCCTTCCTGCGTCATGTACATCCACTTTTTATCCTCCCTGCGTCATGCACATCCACTTTTTATCCTTCTTGCGTCATGTACATCCACTTATTATCCTCCCTGCGTCATGCACATCCACGTTTTATCCTCCCTGCATGAACATATATGTCCCAAGTCAGGTGAGATATAGACTTTCATATTACTGTGTTAAGCATTTATATTCATATATTAGACTTTAATGTTCATATTTTATTCTTTTATATTACTAATTTACATTTTTATATTGTTAATTTAGACTTTAATATCGTTAAACTTTTATATTGCTAATTTAGACTTTTATATGGCTAATTTAGACTTTTGTATAGCTTATTTAGACTTATATTGCTAATTTAGACTTTAATATTGCTCACATAGACTTTATTATATTGCTATTGATGTGATTTACAGCAGTAATTTTTTTAAGAGATAAATATATATAAATACGTAATTTAATGTGAAATAAAATTTGGGTGTGTAAGATAGCAATTGTATGCCTAAAAGGATCTGGGTCATTTATATTCTCCGCAAATACCTGGAAATCTAATTTTCCAAAAGGCGACTCCGAGAGTTTGAAGGCAATAGGTCAGATGTCGCGCGGGAGTGATATTTATGGGGTATTATGAGGTATTTTCGGACTCATTTCTGTTCAGATTTTGGTCAAATTTGGATAAGTAGGCCTAGGAGAGGGTGGTGGGAGATGCTAAGGGGGTGTGTGGTAAGGACATGGGGTGCTGGTTGGTGATCTAGAGTCACAAGGTTAGTGGTTAGTAGTTAGTGATGATTGATCGGTAGTCACTAGGTTAGTGCTCACTAGGTCACGGGTCAGTGGACTAAAAGACAATTCATTTGAACTAATCTTCCGGTGATTCTGTGATGTTCAGTAGAGGTCGCGACGGCATAGGTGCCGGATGGGTCCCGGTGTTCCCTTCAAGGGTAAAATGCAAAGTCTGAGGACATGATTAACGTCGCCTGTCGGTGGAAACGAACGCGTCTTGTATCCTATAAACACACTGATGGGCAGATGTTTGTGGGAGCCCCCAGGACTCACTCAGGGAGCCAGGCGCCGGCCCCCACACCTAGCACACTGGGTAGGCAACGTCCAGCTCCCTCTCTTAAACTCGTACCCTAATGGGCAGAAACGGAAAAGGAGTTCCAGCGACCTTGGGCCGAGCAGGAACCAGTCGCCCACCGCGGCCTGAGGGCACACTTGGAGCACATCAAGACCCGCCACTCCCCGCACCTCTCGGCCAAGCCGGCATCGGACGCCATCTTCTCGGCCGAAGAACCAGCCAGACAACGGGAAAAATCTAACTTACCTGTGACCGAAGGCGGTAAGTGGGCCAGGTGTCGGGACACTCCTGACCGTTGAACAGGTGCGTCTGACGGCAGTATGGAGAACCAAAAGGAACACGTTCGATCCCGACACGTGTTCCAGCGACCCCCAGGCGGAGCAGGTGTCCAGATCTCTTCGTCAAGGTCGAACCAGGAAGTGATTGTCTTTATATTTTGTGATTAAGTAGATGTAAACATTGTATGCGAAGCCTTCCCTTGACTCTGACTACGGCTTGCGACCATCCAACAAATACGTCATATTATAACCCTTGCAAATATGTAGTGCAGCCACGTAGTCTCAACGTGGTCGTGTGGACAGGTGCGACACGTGACCACGAGGTGACGTGGAAATAATGATGATTAATGAATAACAAATTTAAAATAATATAAATTTATATAGTTTCTAAAAATTCGTCGAAACTAGGTAAATTAGAATATAAATTAGGCTGAATTTTATTAAAGGCCAAGCATTACGTCAATATCGATATACTGTATATATATATATATATATATATATATATATATATATATATATATATATATATATATATATATATATATATATATATATATATATATATATATATATATATATACATATATGATTTTACGTTTTACGATATTTAAAAGGATACACAAATTTACAACGATTTGAGTTCTATGTGAAATAAATGGTCTTAAAAACTGGTATAGGCGCCATTTAAGGCACAAGGAACAAATAGCAATTTCAGCAGACGATACTTTTCTTTTAAATTTTGAGATGAAATGATTTGAAATTTGTAAGATTACGATGAAAATTGACATGTGTACATCAGGGTAGGTTTATCACTGCTGTCTAGTGTCTCAAATATCCTACTTCACATAATTTCTAAGATGCTGGTGTGAGGGAAGATTTATACTACAATGATGGTGTGAGGAAGATGGTGCACGTATAAGGCCTCATTATATCCATGCTTATTCTAATCTGTTATAGATCATGTCACTACGTTTGAGCTACACATCTTGTTTACATGTCGCATCATAACAATTGTTTACGCATAAATAGAACACTGCTTGAGCTGTATTCTCTTTCTCGTTATTTATAATTTGGTCTATGTTATTCCATTGGTCATTCGGGCAACGGGACACTGTGATAGTACCGAGGAGAAGTATCGACCCTCAGTAAGAAAGATTCATGATGTCCTCCTCTTCCTCAATATCAGCGAAGGAGTTAGGATGCTTGAGGAGGACCTTGTCTCTGAGGAACTGCTCCGTGTGTGGCTCGAGGTGCAGCTTCTTCTTCAAGATATCGAGGGACATCTCCGTGTACTGAAGCTCCCGATTGGCATCCGGTTTGGTCACGCCTTCCTTAAACTTGTGGCCATCCGGCAGCATCTTGAAGATCAGTTCGTTGACGTGGTGATCGTTGACCGGATAGGTGACCTCGTTATTGGTGATTGGGGGCTGGTTGCTCCTGGAGGGGTTGCAGGGGGAGCACGAGCAGTTGGTGATCATCTGCAGGCTCTTGGTGACCTGGTAGGCGTTGCCGTACTCCTCGCAGTCCAGCTGGATCTGAGTGAGGAATACACCAGTGGTAAACAAATGAACCAATCCACAAGGGCCGTGACGAGGATTTTTGAACCTGCGTCCGACAGCATCCCAGACGCTGCCTTAATCGACTGAGCTACGATACCAGTGGTAACCTTTGTTGTTGTCGTCTTGTGTGTGTGTGTGTGTGTGTGTGTGTGTGTGTGTGTGTGTGTGTGTGAATGAGTGCATGTATGTGTGCACCTATGTATTTGTGTGTTTCCTTTCAGAAGTATGCAAAACAACATTCAAAATTATTTTAACTTCTAATCCCAGCATCATTTCCCCCCCACCCTCATAATCATTATTATCATCATCGTCCCTTCTCCCCCCTTTACCCTGCTCTCTGCCATCTACCTATACTCTCTCCTAACTCAACCTCCCGCCAAACCCACGTCGTTCCCCCGTCCTACTCACCGTGGTCCAGTGAGACTCCGAGGCCTGACAGGAGTCGCAGTAGTCGAGGAGTTCGTCGCCAGGGGTCTCTGGCTCCGTCTGGGGCACGGTGTAACTGAAGCAGGTCCCCACACAAACGAAGTTCTCCATCTCCTGCGGCCACGCGGGTAAACAATCAGGATCAAAACATCAACACGTGCTTTAGTCAACAGTTAGTCTAGGGGGGGGGGTGTCCTTGGATGTATCAAGCATTTACGAAACCTCTACATCTTCCAACAAACAGGTTGTGAGCGCCGAGGCGCTACGGGGTTGTTTATAACAATAATAACTATGGTTTAATAACAATATTTTTTTTTAAGAACGTGTGGGGATGAGGGTGGCCAGGTTGAGGTCAACTCTATTTCCACAAAGGACCACAAAATGAAGTCTAAATTTGTTTTGCAACCCACCAGCAGCAGCACACACACACACACACACACACACACACACACACACACACACACACACACACACACACACACACACACACACAAGTGTAGAAATGATAAATCCAAATAGGCTCAGGAACCTGTATACCTGTTGATTGACGGTTGAGAGGCGAGACCAAAGCGCCAGAGCTCAACCCCCACAAGCACAATTAGGTTAGTACACACACACACACTCGGGCAAATCTGGGAAAAAACCGACGTTAATGCAACATTGAATTGACGTCACTCCTACGTCGATTTAACGTTCATCTGTCATTACTCGAGCATATCTTGCCCGCTGGGACAGTCACACACACAACGAATCAGGGAAAAGGTTGTAGGCATGGGAGAAAGTTTGTAAAGAAGCGTAGAGAGAATTAATGTAGGGGCGGAGAAGTAGTGGGGGAGAGAGGAAGAGGAAGAAGAGAAGTAGTGTGGAATAGAGAAGTAGTGGGGGGGGGGGGATGGGGTGTGGAAGACCCACCTTAGAAGTGCACTGGGCGTGAGTGACGATCTGCCGGATAGGCTTCAGCTCGCAGAGAGAGTGCTGCTCTGGGTTCAGCAACAGGTTGTGTACCTGTGGAATACAAGCACAGGTGTCAGGCGGCCTGTAAATGGGTTGTGTACTATTGGAATACAAGCACAGGCGTCCTAGACTGTAAACATTTAACTGGGCGTTCAGAAATGTTTTGGCGTATCTTATTAATTAATTATATATCTTACTAATTAACTGGCATACCTTATTAATGAATTATATAATTAATATCTTATGAATTAATCTTATTAATGAATTATGGCTTTTCATAACATGGCGATTATGAGTGTGCAACAAAAGTGTAACGATACATCGGCCTTCTCTATTTAGAATCGGATAATCAAACGTAACCTAACTAAACACAAGGTAACCAAAGGCAGACGAGGAGTCACAATAACGTGGCTGAAATATGTTGACCAGACCACACACTAGACAGTGAAGGGACGACGACGTTTCAGTCCGTCCTGGACCATTCTCAAGTCGATTCTCACAATCGACTTGAGAATGGTCCAGGACGGACCGAAACGTCGTCGTCCCTTCATTTTCTAGAGTGTGTGGTTTGGTCAACAAGGTAACCAAACACTGGATAACCAAACACCGGGTAACCAAACACAGGGTAAACAAACACAGGGTAAACAAACACAGGGTAACTAAACACAGGATAACCAAACATAATTGACCAAGCATAATTGACCTCGCCTCACCAAACTCGGAGCATTAGCCTCGTGTGGCGGCGTCAGTCAGAAGGCGGGTTTTCTAACCGACATTATCCCCTGCATCCTAGGCGGCGTTGTATGGACTTCCCGGTATCCAACTGGCTTCCCAGCTATATAGCTAATGGAGTTGAGCCATTGTTCGCCGTGCCTGTACTCTCTCCTACACCTGCTGACGCCAGTATTAATTGGATTTATGGTCAGGGGGCTCCCATCCGTGCTTGGACTCTATCACTGTTACTCACTGTATCCGTGGCACTGACTGTACTCGAATCACAAGCTCGTCCTCCTAAGGTTTCTCAACGTTAATAAACTGTCGTACTAAAATGTCCTTATCCCAACCTACCAGAGGACCCAGAACAGAAAACGGGACAGTATATGTCAATTCCGCGAGCCGCTATCATGTTTTAATACGACAGTTTTTGACCTTAGAGTATACTTGAAAATACAACGTGCTATTAGGATAAAGGGTTGCATAAAGACAGCAAATGCTCTTGAAGCCGCAACCGCTAAATACTTTGTTAATGAACAGAAAACTCCTTTACACATGACTCGTAATGATGACATTCGAACATATATCGAACTGTGGTGCTTCGCTGACGTCCTGTTCGAATGACTGCTCATCAGCTGTCCCATACCAGCCCAGCCTCCTAAAATGAAAGTACTCACAGTAACTACTCGGTGGAAAGTACCACTATGTAGTGATGGACCAGCAGGAAGTACCACTATGTAGTGATGGACCAGCAGGAAGTACCACTATGTAGTGATGGACCAGCAGGAAGTACCACTATGTAGTGATGGACCAGCAGGAAGTACCACTATGTAGTGATGGACCAGCAGGAAGTACCACTATGTAGTGATGGACCAGCAGGAAGTACCACTATGTAGTGATGGACCAGCAGGAAGTACCACTATGTAGTGATGGACCAGCAGGAAGTTGACTTTTGTGTTACTGACTTGGAACCCAAAAACTATTTTTTTTTTTTACCGCCTCCTAAATATAAGGCTTACCCTAACCTAGCGATCTTAGGTCTAATATAATACATATATAGCTTATAATAGGCCTAGGAATGTTTAAATTTGGGTTTTAACTTTATTTTTTTCCCGAACTATAAAAGTAATAATACACAAAGTAGTTTGACGGAGGTCCATCACTACATACTTGTACTTTTGACCAGTTCCTTAATGTAAGTACTATCATTTCGGGAAGATGGGCTGTCCATCTGTGTTCTGTACTACACAAATAAATATTATCAACAGAACCTAACCTAACCTAATACTGGCCTATCTATACAACAAATTCTATTATATATATATATATATATATATATATAATATATATATATATATATATATATATATATATATATATATATATATTAATTTATACGAGAACATACCTGGTTTGAATAGTGCATTAAAATTGTTGAATTTTTATAGGGGTCGAATGCTGCTTGGATAAGCACAACTTGGGAACGACGGATTGGTGGAGGATGGTGTGTGTGTGTGGTGTGTGCGTGTGTGTGTGTGTGTGTGTGTGTGTGTGTGTGTGTGTGTGTGTGTGTGTGTGTGTGTGTGTGTGTTGTGTGTGTGTGTGTGTGTGTGTGTGTGTGTGTGTGTGTGTGTGTGTGTGTGTGTGTGTGTGTGTGTGTGTGTGTGTGTGTGTGGGCGGTGTGTGTATGTGGGCGGTGTGTGTATGTGGGCGGTGTGTGTATGTGGGCGGTGTGTGTATGTGGGCGGTGTGTGTATGTGGGCGGTGTGTGTATGTGGGCGGTGTGTGTGTGTATGTGGGCGGTGTGTGTGTGTGTGTGGGCGGTATGGGCGTAACAAACCACTCACCCTGTGGTCTTCGGAAGGTCTCCGTCGGTGGTGTCGGGCGAGAGAGGCAGGGTCGACCTCGGGAGGATCAGGGTGGGGAAAGACGTCATTGATGGCCTGTACACCAGCCACCACCACCACCACCAGCGCCACCACCAGCCTCAACCACCACATCTGTGGACATCAACGTCACTCAGCCGCTGTCATGCAAGCACCAGTGCTCATCAAACAATGCTAAATAATAATAATAATTGTAATTCTTATCAGGCGTCACTTCTTAAACATTCAGATAAAAATCAGCATAATTAGCCTAGTCCAATATGGTCTTTAACGAAATACCATTAAAACCACATATTAAAAATAGTAATTTAACAAAGCAAACACAAACACGGGCACACACATACGCACTCACACACACACACACACAGGCACGCACGCACGCACGCACGCACTCACGCACAAATCAATGTTTTGCAGTTACACTTCTAAAGAATGTACACAGAAAACGGAAATCGTTCAGCCTAGCAACTTTTTACATGTACACAAAAAGATTGCCAAAAATTATCCCGCGATAGGCAGGGTGCGCGTGTGTGTGTGTGTGTGTGTGTGTGTGTGTGTGTGTGTGTGTGTGTGTGTGTGTGTGTGTGTGTGTGTGTGTGTGTGTGTGTGTGTGTGTGTGTGTGTGTGTGTGTGTGTGTGTGTGTGTGTGTGTGTGTGTGTGTGTGTGTGTGTGTGTGTGTGTGTGTGTGTGTGTGTGTGTGTGTGTGTGTGTGTGTTCAGGGATGGACATGCCATTCACAGGCGCCCTAAGAGAGCAGACGATTAAAATAAAACATAGATAAATCTCCCGAATGTCGATAGCATTTTGTGTATCAAATTTCACACTTCAGTAGGCTTCGTGATAACGTCCAACACACACTCACACACACACACACACTCACACTCACACTCACACACACACACACACACACACACACACACACACACACACACACACACACACACAGGTCCTCGAAGCCGAGTGGACAGCGTTCTGGAGTCGTACTCCAACGGATCCGGGTTCGAGGCAGAAACAACTGGGCAGTTTCACCTGATGCGTCTGTTCGCCTAGCAGTGAAAGGTAGCTGGGAGTTAAGACAGCTGCTGCGGGCTTCAGCCTAGCTGGGGATATGTGTGTATGTGAGAAAGAAATAAGTAGTAGATATGATAAAATAAAAATAGATCGAAGTCAGTACAATAGACGGTTATATATATATATATATATATATATATATATATATATATATATATATATATATATATATATATATATATATATATATATATATATATATATATATATTATAAAATGTCGAATCTTACAGGGACACTGTAATCAACAGTATTCAATTCTATATGAACATCTATCCTCTTTCCTTTCTATATCTCATTCAATATTCTGTCTCTCCACGTGTGGTGAGGTTCGACTCCCACAGCCTCTCATAAATTTCAGTGGACGTGTCAGCTGTGGCACGTGCCTCTTTGCGTGTCTTTGGACTTACTCGCATCTGACTATATGGCCTTGAGGTTTGGGGTTCCATGTCAGGGCTCCATACTCTGGAAGGGGCCTCATGTTGTGATCTGAACAGTGATCTCTGTATGCGTGAGTGCGTGTGCGTGTGCGTGTGTGTGTGTGTGTGTGTGTGTGTGCGTGCGTGCGTGCGTGCGCGTGTGTGTGTGTGTGTGTGTGTGTGTGTGTGTGTGTGTGTGTGTGTGTGTGTGTGTGTGTGTGTGTGTGTGTGTGTGTGTGTGTGTGTGTGTGTGTGTGTACTCACCTAATTGTGCTTGCGGGGGTTGAGCTTTGGCTCTTTGGTCCCGCCTCTCAACTGGTGTACAGATTCCTGAGCCTACTGGGCTCTATCATATCTACATTTAAAACTGTGTATGGAGTCAGCCTCCACCACATCACTGCCTAATGCATTCCATCTGTTAATTACTCTGACGCTAAAAAAGTTCTTTCTAACGTCCCTGTGGCTCATTTGGGTACTCAGTTTCCATCTGTGTCCCCTTGTTCGCGTACCATCAGTGTTGAATAGTTTATCCTTGTCTACCCTGTAAATACCCTGAGAATTTTGTAGGTAATGATCATGTCTCCCCTTACTCTTCTGTCTTCCAGTGTCGTAAGGTGCATCTCCCGCAGCCTTTCCTCATAACTCATGCCTCTTAGCTCCGGGACTAGTCTAGTGGCATACCTCTGATCTTTTTCCAGCTTCGTCTTGTGCTTGACAAGGTACGGGCTCCATGCTGTGTGTGTGTGTGTGTGTGTGTGTGTGTGTGTGTGTGTGTGTGTGTGTGTGTGTGTGTGTGTGTGTGTGTGTGTGTGTGTGTTTAATATAATAACATTAATTCAAATAAACCAATTTTAAAAGAAATATTTGAAAATAACTAAAATCACTACTTGTTATGCAAATCGGGCAAGGGTGTTCTGGATATTAGGAACGATATATATATATATATATATATATATATATATATATATATATATATATATATATATATATATATATATATATATATATATATATATATATAATTTTTTATGTATATATATATATATATATATATATATATATATATATATATATATATATATATATGCAATTGACGATCACAAAACACTGATCATTTTTATGCGGAAAATCCAGTGAAATGTGAAAGGAAGATGAACGTTTCGGCCTGATTAAAGCCGTTGTCAACACCAGAGCACTGGGAATCTGTAGCCCTCAGCGGTTAGACACTGAAATCAACAAAATATACAATCAACTCAATGAAGTAGGATACCCTAATTGGTTCCTGGGCGAAGCTTGTCAAGTTGTCAAAAGGAAATTTCTACCAGATAATTGACACAACTATTGGCTATTATAGCATACGTGCAAATTATTATGCATGCCTGGAAGCCCCCCCCCCCCCCCCCCATCCTTCCCTACTTGTGTAAAGGAGGAAATGTATATGTTTATCTCTCAAAATGTTTGGTAATATGTTTATTGTTTGTGATGTGTGTCTATGTATGTATGAACACGTTGTACTGAACGGGGTGAGAATAGCTTGAGGTACCTCATCCCTTTGTGTGTATTTTATCTCAATAAACTTATTTCAATTTCAATTTCAATCCTTCCCACCATCACAGCTCCCTCCCTCTAGTATCAACAAACTAATGAAACGTATTACAGGTATCTGAAGACTGATGCTCCAGCTTGCACAAGCAGGGCATATTCGACGCCCGTATCATCTTAAATAATGCCTTAGAGTTTGAAACTTGTTGTAACAGTACTCTGGCGCTAATACAAATAGTACACTGTGTTAAATAATACTATTCATAGCCCAGTTGATAGAGCGTCGGCTTCACAGGCGTGGGAGTAAAGAGTTCGAGACCCATACGGCCCAGGAGTCAGATTCACGAAGCCGTTAAGCAAGTACTTACGAACGTGTACATCTTTCCTCAATCTTTGACGGCTTTGGTTACATTTATTAAACAGTTTGCAAGCATATAAACTTACCAATCAACTGTTGTTACCGTTATAAACAGCCTCCTGTTGCTTCGGAGCTCATAAACTGTTTAATAATTGTAAACAAAGCCGCCAAGGATTGATAAAAGATGTACAGGTTCGTAAGTGTTTGCGTAACTGCTTCATGAATCTGACCCCAGGTGAATGGAACGCATTATGCTGATTTGGTCCAGTAGCCACAGATCAGACACGTGGCTTGTGTGGCGCACTCCAGCTAAGACAAACCATTCCAGTTAATTAACAAGTGCTAACTAAATAAATGACACCCAGACCGGACCGCGAAAGAAGATCTACCGGAAATCGCAACATCAAATTTCCTAACCGTTTATAACACCTTAATATAATGGTCTGCAGAGTTAGTTCTGTGTGTAGTAAATAGTCGTTTTCGGGATAAATATTTATCCTCAAAATAATAGAATTATTTACAATGCTTCATTTTCAAATTTGTGAGGATAAAAAATTATCGAGAGATTTCAACGCTGTGGGATGTAGGTATCCTAACTCGGTAGGCGTTTCTGTTTCCTAATGACAATACATTTGAAAAAGTCAAATATCTCGAAGAACAATATATAACCAATAAATTTAACAATGAATAATTACATACAACAACAACAACAATGATTAGAAACAATATATATGCTATTAAACAACTATTCTGCTTTGTACGACAGATTTGAAACCAAATATTGTATTGACATATGGTAACTGTCGCGTCCCTGAGTGAGTGAAGCCAGGCTGAGGCTACGAGACAAGGCCGCCAGGAAGACCCATGAGGAGTGAGGGAGGGAGAGATGAGAGACCTAGGGAGAGATGAGGGAGGGAGAGAGGATAGACCGAGGGAGAGGGATGGGAGGGAGCGAGGTGAGATAGTGAGAGTGGGTTTAGCTACCCGCTGAGGAGGGGGAGGCGGAGGAGGAATCTGACCTTGATGACTTGTGGATGGAGTGAGGAAGATGTTGTAGCGCTTACCTCTGCTCTCTTGATGAAGTCTTCTCCGCAAGCGCTTGCACAGGAAGTCTCACTGCAAAGTAAAGGTTTAGAATTTAATTATTCTCGCTGCAGTTTGCATTATTGGAACATTTGATTATTCATAATGCGATCTAGATTCTTTCGATTTTGTATTCTTTTCCAGGTATTCAATAATTGGTGGGAAACTATTTTTTTTTTTAAATTATAAGCGTGAAATAGTTTGCTATTTACTGTAAGCTAATTATCGGAACACTTGCTTATTCTTCGTGGGGAAATATTATTGGAACACCTTGATGCGGTTTTCACCAACTAATTCTTAAAAAATTGGAACAGCAATTTTGGGGAAAATAATGTAAGTATCTATTTATTAACTAATAATTTGTTTAACTTCTTAAGATACATTAGTAACTATCACGATTTGTGACGACATAAATTACGGGAATAAATCCTCGTATGTCTGTATATTAGCGCTTGCTCTATGATGCAGCGGCAGCCTAATGCATCAAATACAAAATAAATATTTTGTATTTTATGCATTATGCGTTACTGTGCGTAATGAGTGTCGCCAGCAGCGATTATAATATATATACAATCGCTGCTATATATATATATATATAATATAAAAATATAAAATATTTATATATTTTAAAATATCAAAATATTTTATAATATATAAAATATTTCTTGCGATGCAGTAGTTATTGTCATGACGGGAGTAGGCATCCCCCCTTGAGTTGGGACATATCCACACTTGCCAAGTATTGATATATTCACACTTCCGTTGTCACTGTCCTCACACATAGATATACCAGCCGTCACAATATCCACTAATGTTCCAGCAAAGTGACGGTGCTATTCAGTACTAGATATGTGGACAAGTCCAGGCTTGTGGCAGCCAGTGCAGCTTAGAGTCATCACGCCTGCGCACTCACACGCTCCGAGCACTGTCAACACTACCATATAACCTTTCCCCAAGGCCACGAGGCTATTATGTTGGCAAGGAGCGACTATTCCTTTCCCCGTAGGCTAGAGGAGACGGGAGGAGGACATAGCTTCCCTGATGTGCAGTACAGGCAGGCGCAGACGCCAAGATCCTGACGTTTAAGGAGATGGAAGCTGTTCCTGGTGCGAGTCTAACTGGAATCTCTGGCAGTGCGCGATGCTTCCAGATAACATTTTATACAAGTGTGGAGTAGTGAGGAATGGTACGTGGGTCGTCACGGGGCGAGGGGGTGTTAAAAGGTGGCGAGGCTCTTAATGGTGGTCGAGGAGAACGTTGTACGTGTTTATATATCTGATGAAACCGTTTGCATTCCGAGCCCCCTGGCGAGAGGTGCATGGAATAGCGGGTGAAATCTGGTCGACCATTGCTGCCCAGAGTAAGTAGCTCCTGGGAACAGAATCGTAAAATAATGGCGGCGTTAATAAACGAATTTCTCCTGAAGTCTCTTTTTTTTTCTTAAGAAGAAAAGCACGATGTGCATTTAACAAGTAGAAGAGCTGACGAAGACTGTGGACACCGTGGAAGCGACAGGAGCCAGGCCCCTGTCCACCACCACCACCCGGGACCTCAGAAGCCAGGCCCCCAACCACCACCACCACCCAGGACCTCAGGAGCCAGGCCCCCAACCACCACCACCACCCAGGACCTCAGGAGCCAGGCCCCCAACCACCACCACCACCACCCGGGACCTCAGGAGCCAGGCCCCCAACCACCACCACCACCCGGGACCTCAGGAGCCAGGGCCCCCAACCACCACCCGGGACCTCAGGAGCCAGGCCCCCACCCACCACCACCACCACCCGGGACCTCAGGAGCCAGGGCCCCCAACCACCACCACCCGGGACTTCAGGAGCCAGGCCCCCAACCACCACCACCCGGGACCTCAGGAGCCAGGCCCCCAACCACCACCACCACCCGGAACCTCAGGAGCCAGGGCCCCCAACCACCACCCGGGACCTCAGGAGCCAGTCCCCCAACCACCACCACCACCCAGGACCTTAGGAGCCAGGCCCCCAACCACCACCACCCGGGACCTCAGGAGCCAGGCCCCAACCACCACCACCACCACCCAGGACCTCAGGAGCCAGGGCCCCCAACCACCACCCGGGACCTCAGGAGCCAGGGCCCCCAACCACCACCCGGGACCTCAGGAGCCAGGCCCCCACCCACCACCACCACCACCCGGGACCTCAGGAGCCAGGGCCCCCAACCACCACCCGGGACCTCAGGAGCCAGGCCCCCAACCACCACCACCACCACCCGGGACCTCAGGAGCCAGGGCCCCCAACCACCACCCGGGACCTCAGGAGCCAGGCCCCCAACCACCACCACCCGGGACCTCAGGAGCCAGGCCCCCAACCACCACCACCCGGGACCTCAGGAGCCAGGGCCCCCAACCACCACCCGGGACCTCAGGAGCCAGGCCCCAACCACCACCACCCGGGACCTCAGGAGCCAGGCCCCCAACCACCACCACCCGGGACCTCAGGAGCCAGGGCCCCCAACCACCACCCGGGACCTCAGGAGCCAGGCCCCCAACCACCACCACCACCACCCGGGACCTCAGGAGCCAGGGCCCCCAACCACCACCCGGGACCTCAGGAGCCAGGCCCCCACCCACCACCACCACCCGGGACTTCCAGCTCAAGACATCCACATTCATGTCACACTTTTACCCAGGCTGGGTGCCGCCGCCAGAGAGCTCACCGCTGCCCACGCCTCGTATTCTACTCCATTTCATAAATAACAGCCACGGAAGGCCTTTCTATAAGAGCTTGTCTCTCTCCCTCAGCAAAAATTACCCCTTTGTAATGGTTGAAAAATGGACTGGAATACAGATCACCTAATACAAATTAATCTAATGCAAAGGATTTGCTCAAGCAATGTTTTAACACAACAGATATGGTAATTATTACAGCCCATTATTTGGTATTTGACAGCCAAAAATTCGGGACCAGTCATGCAGGAACAGGATGATCGTATGACAACTTCCCATCAAGGACGTCATTTTTTCAAGCTTCTTTATGTATATAAGGCACAACCTGTTCTACGCTGCTGCATGCATTGTGTCATATTAACTGTTGGACTTAGCTGGTTACCATATTATAAAACAGATTATGTTTCAAAATAAGTCCAGTACTAACAAGTAACTTAATGTTGAACGTATTTAGTGAGGACTATTGTGGAGTAACGTATTTTGTAATGAGATGACACTCAAATGTGGACTAGTGCGGGACCCAGCACACAAACACACACACACACACACACACACACACACACACACACACACACACACACACACACACACACACACACACACACACACACACACACACACACACACACACACAGCGTTATATGACAAAGAGTGCTGGGAAGACGGGACACCACGAGCGTAGCTCTCATCCTGTAACTACACTTAGGTAATTACACTTAGGTAATTACACACACGCACGCACGCACACACACTCGTTCCCAGAAACACACACATGTACACACTCGCTTTCAGAAACACACACACATACGTGCATACATACACGCACTCATACCTCCACTGATGCCAAGACTTTTACGAAAACTAAATTTGCAGAAATCACCGGAAAACCAAGATCTCCAACATGGCTCAATGTTTGTTGACATTTGACTGGCCACAAATCTCTGGGCTAAACGACACAGCAGACACCTCTTATAAAATAAAGTAAAGAGGAACACATTAAACATGAGAAAGTGTCCACTGAGGTCCACTTGTGAGTGGCTGCTTGAGTCGGGTGGACAGCGTCGACTCAGCCCATCACGTGACGCCAATATATTCTATTCCTTCATATTTCAACACTTGCAACTTTCACTGCTTGAGATATCACTGCGTCTCAAAGGCAACTTATAAATCCTTCACTGCGTATCATAATGTTTGCGAAGGGGTAGGCGTATAGTTACAGTGGGAGGTTGTATCATCACAATTCGATATGTTTCAGTAGTTAAATCTGCAGAAGAGATTTTTGTGCATCACGGCTCTTGGTGACGATGGTAAGGAACCTCACGACAGCAGCCAGAGAGGCGGAAGGAAGCAAGGAGAAGATGGGAGGAAAGAGGAGGTGACAGTATGGGGGGCACACGTTACCTGGGCACGTCTGTGGCCACACTGATGCCCCGCCATCATCAACACCACCACCACCTGCCCCGCCCCGCCTCCACCGCCTCCTCCCTCCACCCCCTTCACCCTTCTCACACTAGCTGATATATATATATATAATACACACACACACTACTTGGGGTATCCAGCGGTGCCCGGGTCTATCGCTTCCCATTTACAGCATGTTCTGCTCTCCCCCAAGCACTCACACAACCTCTCCCCCTTGTTTCAAGTTAAGTTAGGTTAGGCTAGTCCCATCTGGCTTAATTCGCATACATAGACGCGGTGGTGTAGAGCAGTGTGGTTGCTCTTCGCATGATTCCCTATACTCTTTCCTTAGCCACTATACCTCTCCTTTAGCGCTAATTAGGCACGAATAACTTACGAATAGCCCAAATAAAAGCAGATAATAAACCTCAAAACTACAATTGATGAATGTCGACCCGACCACACACTAGAAGGTGAAGGGACGACGACGTTTCGGTCCGTCCTGGACCATTCTCAAGTCGATTCTCACAATCGACTTAAGATTGATCCAGGACGGAACGAAACGTCGTCGTCCCTTCACCTTCTAGTGTGTGGTCTGGTCAACATACTTTAGCCACGTTATTGTGACTCATCGCCTGCATTGATGAATGTCCTTTGGATTCATTGCATTAACTGGCATTTATGGCGGTAAAGGTTATCGCCGTTGGGCAGCCTTTAGGAAGATATGATTGGGTAAGAGGATTAAATGAAGCCACGCTATTGGTTGGCTACATATGACGTTGAGATCCAGATGGTGACGAAGGGCAGTGGCGCTGAGATGTGCCAGCTCTTCCACTCCCACCTTCGCAACTCACCAGGTGGCAATTCACCACCTGGTGCATTCGCTACATTTTCCTTAATATTCCAATTTAAAATTTTCAGTTTAAATGTTGCAACCATAAATATATCAACGAAATTGACAACTCGCTTTATTCGGGAAACGACACAGATAACCATGCATACGTGTGCAACAAAATACAGATTCTAACAAAAATGCTGCATAAACACGGTCGAATACGCCAGGTTTCATCAGAGAATACAAATGTTTCATGCAGACTTCCTAGTCAAGCCTCCTAACCTGGAAAAGCGACCCTACCCCCTGCAGTCCTATTGTCATTTCCCTACCAAGTTCTGCTGCCTGGAAAGCTTATATGAACGTTGAATCTTTCTTTCACATGGCCGTTTTGCCGGGGAAGTTTGAGGGAGCCACGAAACGTTCCCCAACAAAGCTCTCCAGCCGGGGAAGTATATAGGAGCGAGGAAACTTTTCGTTACCAAGTTCTGCTTCCGGAAAAGTTTAAAGGAGGGTTGAGCCCTTCCCAACCTCTCAAACAGAGCCCCAGCTCATCCTAGGCCACTTGTAAAGGCTTCGTGTAACCCTTCTGCAGGTCTTCTAAGTATGTTGGCCTTTTAAACTGTATTGAGTTTCTTTACACACACATACTGTCTATACATACCCCTTCGCATGCCGAATTGAGCACATCATTTTTGCGATGTTATGACAACTCCAGAGGACGGGCTGGGTACAAGATGGCTGGCGGAAGCAAAAAAAAAAAAAAAATGGATTCCTGCCCAAATACACATGAAATAGACTCCGATAGTACCATTAATAAATCTATTACATGTACCTCAATCTAGATGTGTTTGTTACAATAATTTCTTAAGTAATTTAACGTTGGAGATATATAGGCTATAGATTAGAATGCATTTCCAGCAGCACCAGTTGGGTGATGTAACTTTGGAACCATCAGTGTATATGGCTTGGGAAAGCTCTATTTTTTTAATGAACAGAATGGATTTGGTTAGGCCAACATCAGCAGGTAATATAAACTCTCAGATACTGTACATGTAACCGAATCGAAGCCTAGCAGCAGCGGCATACATCCATTATATATATATATATATATATATATATATATATATATATATATATATATATATATATATATATATATATATATATGTCGTACCTAGTAGCCAGAACGCACTTCTCAGCCTACTATGCAAGGCCCGTTTTGCCTAATAATCCAAGTTTTCGTGAATTAATTGTTTTTCGACTACCTAACCTACCTAACCTAACCTAACCTAACTTTTTCGGCTACCTAACCTAACCTAACCTATAAAGATAGGTTAGGTTAGGTTAGGTAGGGTTGGTTAGGTTCGGTCATATATCTACCTTAATTTTAACTCCAATAAAATAAAACTGACCTCATACATAATGAAATGGGTAGCTTTATCATTTCATAAGGAAAAAATTAGGGAAAATATATTAATTCATGAAAACTTGGCTTATTAGGCAAAACGGGCCTTGCATAGTAGGCTGAGAAGTGAGTTCTGGCTACTAGGTACGACATATATATATATATATATATATATATATATATATATATATATATATATATATATATATATATATATATATATATATATATATATATATATATATAATATATATATATATATATATATATATATATATATATATATATATATATATATATATATATATATATATATATATATTGTTAAATATGACCAATATGATTTAAAACTTTGACCCAAATATCACAGTAATGCGGTTATCGTGAATAACCGAATATAATACAAAGAGCCAAAGCTTCCTTTTATGAGAATAGCTTTAAAGAAGCAAAAGGAAATATGAACATTACATGGAAAGCCGTCTCTAACACCCTACGATCTAAACAACAATCACATAACAAGCAGATAAAACTCTCCAAAGATGGTTACACATTTGCAACAGACTTAGATATTGCAACTGAATTCAATAGCTTCTTTTCGCCAATTGGTGTTAACCATGCCAGAAAAAATCCCAGAGACCCAAACACGTTACTATATATCTCACAGGCAGCTATCCTAACTCTCTACTCCTTTTACCAGTCAGCCCGACAGACATTATATCCATAATTCAATCACTTATAACCAAAGCTGGGAACATTAATGAAATATCATCTATGATATATGAGAGTGCTGCCTCTGCTCATACACTACTCATAGCTCTGCTGTTCAACAAATCTCTAGTGTCATATTTTTCCTGATATCCTTAAAAAAATAAAGAGTGATGCCAGTTCATAAAGGAGGCGAGACAGCTGACATGAATAATTGCAGAACAATATCAAATCTACCTATAATTTCAAAAATATTTGAAATTTTATTTATAAACAGCTCTATTCCTACTTTGTAAAACTCAGCATGTTAAGTCCCTGCCAGTTTGGCTTCCGTTCTCCAAAAAAGTACCACCGATGCAATTATTAGTCTTCTTGATATAATCAACAGCCCTTTAACAAAAATGAGTTCTCTATTGGCCTCTTCATTGACCTGAGAAAGGCCTTTGATACTGTAAACTATAACTACCTCTTACTTAAACTTCACCACTATGGTATTCGAGGCCTTGCTCTAGTTCATATTCGTCCCTATCTCAGTGACATACACCAATACGTAGTCATCAATAGCATAACCTTCCTCACTCTACCATTGACAATAGGGGTGCCACAGGGCATCATCTTAGGACCTCTTATTTCTTATATACATCAATGATTTGCACAATGTTTCTAACATTCTTAAACCTATACTATTTGCTGACGATACTACCTTCATCTGTTCTGACCCCAACTCCCACACAGTAAATAATACTGTCAACAGTGAATTAAAAAAAAGTTCACTCATTGATGTCAACCAACAAACTTACACTAAACTTAGAAAAGACCTACATTTTATTTGGTAGTAAATCATCAAATCAGATTCACTTTCAGATAGACAATGTTAACATTACCGATGAAAATGAGGGAAAGTCTCCTTGCCCTATACATAGACAAGAGACTGAACTTCAACACCCACATAAACACATAGCCAAAGAAAGTACCAAAAACTGTCGGTATATTGTCTAAAATCAGATATTATGTTCCCCACTCTGCTCTCCTCTCATTATACTACACACTAATCTATCCCTATCTTACACACCGCATTCTGTGCATGGAGTTTCAACACACTGCAAATTACCTTACATATTAAATGACATACATATAAAAAGTTACAAACAGAATATTAGATTTGTAGGTAGAGCTTGCATATACTATGCCTAAAACAACTAAATACGCATAGCGTTTCGGTTTCTTAAAACCGTGTATGGTTTTATATCTAATAAATATATCTTTGCTATGCAAAGATATATTAGCTTAGGTTTGACTATTTCGCTCGGTTGGGTTAGATTAGGTTGAGTTGGGTTACATTAACCCAAAATCCGTTGGCGAATCGTCATGTGTACGATGTGACTTAATCTGTTTAAACACTGTTTAAATGCAAATAAAGGGACCTAGTCTATGGAACTCATTCCCTAATGAATTGAAAAGCTGTCCAACTTTTGCCTCATTCAAAAACACCACCAAAAAGTACCTAATTTCATCTTCATAGTTTCCTATTCTGTGCTTTAAAATTGCACTGTATCTAGTGCTACCCAATCTTTATGTACCTAATCTAAACAACTTTACCATTGTGATCATTGCTGTCTTCTTATATGTGCTATCAATATGCTGTATTGTGCCTATTAATCTTTGTTAAATTATCAATCAAGCAGTTCAATGCAATCAATCAGAGCTACCGATGTGCTTTAATATACCTACTAATCTCTCTCATCTCATTTTTTCTTGCAATGTATCTGTTATCATTTTATAAATTCTGCTAGAATTTATCTACTTAATTTAAAATTATCTGTTAGATCAAAGACCTGCCCGAAACGCTGCGCGTACTAGTGACTTTACAAGATTGTAAACCCCATGCTATGTATCCTCACAAACCCAATGTATCTTCTTGTATATATATATAAATAAAATAAACTTGTATCCTGCAAAAAAAAAAAAAAAGACAGGGTGATGACGTCACACCCTACGAGGCTTAGGAACAAGCATCACAATACTTACCTAACAGTACCTGTGTTTACTCACCCACTCACTGTTTACCCATCAATCAACAATAAATCGGTTGCAGAATATGAACCACATACAACAATAATACAAGTGAGCAATATCTGAGCTCAAATAAGGCAAAAGTTTAAATAGCTGGGTTGAGAGAATTGGAGGGAGTTGATGACGTCACATCCCCTTGTCGCTCAGGAACAAGCATCAGAGTGTCTGTGTTTACTCACTCACGCACTGTTTACTCACCTCCAAGTCTTCATTCACCCCCAAGCTCCTTTCAACCACAATCCAACACTCACCAACAAGTAGTTAACCCTCGTTACACCACATTAGACTTCAGGAAGAGGAAGAGAAATCCCCTGAAACTAGTGGAATAGTAGTAGGTGCAGCAGCCGGGGAAGGAGACCACATCTACCACCATCATCATCATCTACCACCATCACCAGCTGTCTGTCTACACTCTACTCTGCCCCCCAGTGATGGCAGTGCTGGCCACTGACAACTCCTCCGTGTAAGCCAGCACTAAGAGGAGGCAGAGCAAGAACATATACACTGTCAGCGATTATGGCGTAAGGGGAAAATAATTCGTTTTCTGAATGTCAGTTTTTGGTCACAGGAAGCCCATATTATATATATACGTACCTATACGTATATAGTTTTATATATAACCTACCTATATAACCTATATATATATATATATATATATCTATATTCAGGAAAACTTGGCTTATATATATATATATATATACGACATATATATATATATATATATATATATATATATATATATATATATATATATATATATAATATATATATATATATAATTTCCCCTTATATTCCGAGGTGGTGTTCAATGCAGATGTCCCACCACGTAAACGATTTTAATTAGTACTGGTCATTTTCAAGTTAAACTTAATGCCTAATGTTGATTTGATTTTGATTTGATTTGATTTGTTAGTATGAGTTCCCCAAACATGCTAAACACTCCACACATGCTTTTGTGCCAGTTACACTTAGGAATCCTTGTTCCTAATCCTGTTTTGAAGCTCTTTCTAGATGGATGTAATGTAACTCCATGAACATTAAATATATCTTTTTTTTTTATTCCCAGAGTCAAACTAAATTGATGCAAACATAGTATGTAAATAAAAAATCCAATACATGAACTCCTTCTGTATATAAGTAAACTGTCAGTCTATATTTTATTCTAAAGTAGAACAATGAAGTACCAGTACATGGGTTGGATAGGGCTTGGTCAGATTAGTTTAGATGATATCCATCCACCACTATGACTGGTTGGTACAGCAATGCTCTTAAAGCTTGTAGTGTTGGCGAGCTATTCCTGATAGAACTCACTTTTTTTTTCACTTCTTGCAAATTCTCTAAAGTCAATTAATTTGGTGCTAATAATAAAATATTCCGATTAATAAATTATAGTTTTAGTTAATTAAAATTATAGTTAATTAAAAGATTAAAAAAATATAGTTTTTCATTAAATATACGGTATTTAACTTAGTTTCAGAAATCACTCGTTAGGTCAAGGTTCTTGGGACACAACTTAATCAACCCATCTCAATGATCAAAATATTTAGCTGGTTTGATTGCACAAACAATACAAAATTAGTGAGCTCTCATTTTATTGAATCTTCCCTAAATTAAATATTTCCATAGAGTATTTACATATTATGTTTTTAAATCTACAGTCCTCGAAGAGGAAGGAAGGGCAACTCTAGAGCCTTGCTTAATGTAAGCGGCAGAGATGATGATGGTGACGATGATGATGACTTTCAACCTAACAATGTCAATCTTTCCACACCTGTAGCATCAGGCGGGAGGAGAAAGATGGTGTCTAAGAATAATTCCCTTCCAAATAAAGAAAACAAGCCAAAAAATAACAAAGCAAGTGATAATAAACTCCAGGTTTGATTTTTATTTTAGTTTCCAGCATGTTTGAGTTTGGTACCGGTAGAATTATTTAATGGAAAAATATCAAACTACTATATGTATGATTTGTAATTTTTTTTTAAATCATTGTGCTGTTTGTTATTTACATTTGTGCCTTGATAATCATGAACATTAAAGATTTAGAAATGCCATTTAACACTTGTAATTTGTGGATATGTATATTTTTAATTACTGTACTGTACTTTCAGAATAACGAACACAAGAACTGTGATATATTGGAAAATGTTGATGCTGAAAGATCAAGAGGAGGAAGTTCCATTAATTTTACTAGCTGCCACATTGTTCATTATTTAAGAAACATTACCCAAGGAACAAAGCCATTATTCCAGCAGTATCGGGTAAAGAAATGCAAATGTTAGTTTTGTGCAAAATTTTGTGCAGCAGGTAATGATCTTGTGCGGGTTATGCTATATGTAGGTTAACTTGACTGCTAAAGCATTTACATTTATATGAGGCAGGGTTACCTTTATTTAATATGGTCTAAATGAAATGCTGAACAATTCAATTCTTGTATGTAGGGAAACAGAGGCAATTCCAGTTAGGTGAGATTTTTCCTCATAAGGAAAGTATTTTGGAGCAAGAGACTGGACAGATGAATCCCTTACTGTGTGGTAGGTATGTTGAGAAACTCAAAGTTGTAGATCAAGTTATATAGAAGAAATGGAGCAAATTAGGAGTTGGAAGAAAAATGAATGAAAATATACATGAAAATGACTGAATTTTAGTGTACATCTTATATATAAGTATCTAGTATAAGTTAAATATATCAGTATTGTTGTCCTTTGTAATATTATCCTTACATTCTCTGTTTTCTCTTTCATCATTTCTCATATCAAACCATTTTATTTAGTGTAGTCAAGAGTAAATCATTTTTTTTTCAGAGCTACTGTATAGGCAAATGTAAATTTAAGATAGTTATTGATATTCATTTAATACATAGATGTTTCTCCTCAGGCTCTGAACACCCCTGTGATGAACGTAAGTAAACTGTTTCGAATACACAAGACATACATGGGATTTGATCGACGCACTACGGCTATTACATGGCATCCGACAATCCCACATTTGGTAGCTGTGGGATCGAAGGGCGGGGACATCATTGTGTGGAACTTTGAGAGAGATGGAGGAGAACCCCGGACAACTATAGTGGGGGTATGTAATAGGGTGGTGTATGATGATGTATTGTACGTATATGGCACTTGCCATGCCTGTGTTTGTGTTTGGTATTTATTGTTTTTTCAAGAAACATTCATTTGGGTTTTATTCTGGAGCATGTCAAATGCAGCAAAAAAAAAAATATATATATATATACTATACACTACTGTATATACATACAATATATATACACTACTGTATATACATACTGTAGTGTAAATTGCATTTTCTTTTTATGCTTATCGGTAACTAACACTCCCCAGTAATTTAATATATTACTGTATATACTGTATATATAAAGCTTTGGGAATGTTTGTATATGAAATAGAAAGTTTTATTCATTTATATAAGTTGTCTTGTGTTTTTAAACCAAAAACTGGTGATACAGATATTGATGTTAGGCATTTATAGTTTAGTAGGTCAACGTACCTTGGGTGGAAGTGTGTTAATGTTTTAATTCAGGTTTTCCAATTCATTTGAACAGCAAGGTCCTGGTGGTTCCATTCAGTCACTGAAGTTTGATGGACGAAGCGACGGCTCCAAAGTATATACAGTTTCTATCGACGGAACTTTGGCACTCCACAATTTTCTGGACGGGGAGAAAAAGAATTTTCTTAAAACTGGAGATATTGAGTAAGTTAAAAATTCAGTATTTAGTTTCTCAACAGGAATATACATGAGTATATTCCTGTTGAGATGCAATGCCTGTATATTGTTGTTAAAAGTTTTAACTATTTTGTCATGCATGTTTCAGTAACATTTACCCTACACACACTTTCCACATACAGAACTTGCCTTCTTAGCCAAGACAGTTCCCTCATTGTAAAACCAGGTTGTTTGGTGACAGTTCTTTGGAAATCTGGCTCTGGTGTGTGTAATTATTCTTGGACTTCTTCACCCACAGTGGCGCTACTAAAAATTATATATGATGTGGTGTCACTAAGGCAAGATCTGGACTATACGGATGACAATAAAGATCCCTCCTATTCCCCTAACGTAGCATGGTTAAAATACTGGAGGGGCCAGGTCCCAAATCTTCACAGTAAAATAACAATGTACTGGAGTGAACGATATGGAAGAAAATGCAAGATTGAACCAGTGAAGAGCAGAGGTGCCATAGGCACAATCAGAGAGCACTGTATAAACATCAGAGGTCCGCGGTTGTTCAACGTCCTCCCAGCGACTATAAGAAATATTGCTGGAACAACAGTGAACATCTTCAAGAGAAAACTGGACTGTTTTTTAAGAGAAGTTCCGGATCAACCAGGCTGTGGTGGGTATGTGACCCTGCGGGCCGCTCCAAGCAACAGCCTGGTAACCAAACTCACAAGTCGAGCCTGGCCTCAGGCCAGGCTTGGGGAGTAAAAGAACTCCCAGAACCCCATCAAGCAGGTATCAAGCAGGTATGGTATCTTGCGATTGTACAACATAACACCGAGTTTGAACCATTTGACGAACTTCTCCTCAAGTTGGCATTCCCTACAAGTCCACTGATTGTTGCAGCTGTGGGCTAGATTTCTATAGAGCTGTCATAGATATACTGGCTCAATAATATAGCCATGACCCTAGTTGCAGTATTTGTTATGTTTAGAAGTAGTGTAGGGTAGGTGTTATAAGAATACATGTGTGGCATGTTTGAAATAATTTTGTTTTTATAGGCCCTTCCCCCGCATTGTGTTCTGATTACTTATACAAAAGTATAATAAATATAGTTTGTAGCAGTAATATTAAGTTTTGGTTTGACATTCTAATTTAAATGCAATTTTAAATGTGCTATGTTTGTTATACAAAAAGAACATTTCACTTGTTTAATTATTTAATTGGAAAGTGTTGATATGCCATGATAATCAAAATACACCATTATTTATTAAATATCTTGTTGCTCTAATTGTTTGTCTACTTACATCTGTAGATGCCTCATTTCCTCATAGATTTCTCTTTGTTCTGGAGTGACTTCAGTCAAAAGTACAATTATCCTCGAAGATCACAACTACCTTCATGTGGTAAGGCTTTTGTGTGCACGTGCGTGTGTGCCTGAAATATATACCAAGGTAATTGGTTTCCCTTTGTTGGGGTCTGGAAGCTTGTTAGGCTTGTCGAGGGGTCCATAGTCCAACGACTGATCTTTCCCAGGATGCAACCCCACAACAGTTGCCTAACTCCCAGCTACCAATGTACTGGTAGGTGAACAGAGGCATTTAGAGTAAAGAAACGTACACAAATGTCTCGTCCTGCGAGAGATTTGAACCCAGCACCATTGAGCTGTGAACTGCGTGTGCCACTTCCCTGCTCTGTGAAACAAGATAGTAAGGAAGTCTTATGATGGCTTCAGTACTACAGGTATTCTCTTATTTTACTATTCGAGTGGAATAGTAAAATTAGAGAAACAGGAAATAACAAGAGAGCAATTAAAAAAAAAAAGCTAAATAGGGGAAATGTTAGTCATTGAATATGCAGTATGGATTAAATGTACTGTATCTGTAACTGTTATTGTTGAATTGTAAGTGTTGTCAGAAAGGAGGCTGTAGTGGGGGATTTATTTAAACTGTTTAATGTTTGTTCTACTGGCATTGTGTTTCTATTGGTGCAGTGTTTGCTTATCTGTGTATGGAGAGTGAGATGTGGCTCATAAAACCTGCCTCTACTATTTATTATTATAGTGTTCTTAAATTTCTCAACATTCTTATTTACTGTCAAACTTGCTCTTGGCGCTGTGGATAGAGATGGCATCCATTCACAATTACTACTGTCAGTGCATTCTGTTTGAGTACTTGCTTACATCTCTCTTGCTTATTTACATTTCAGATCCATATTTTTGCAATATTTTGTTTCTCTCGTTTGGAAAGGCTGTCTCAATTCCCTTCAGTGTTTTGTATATTGTAATCAGGTCTCTTTAGGTCTGTCTTTCCTCTTAAGGTTGAACTTTCCCTTCCTGTTTTATAGCTTAGTTCTCCATGATTCCCCACCCGTTCTTGTGCCAGGTAAGTCCACTACAGGCTCACCATAGTCTGCTACTTGCCCTGCTCTTGTGCCAGGTAAGCTACGGGCTCACCATAGCCCGTGCTACTTGGAACTTGTTCCGAGTAGCTGAATCTATAACAACACAACAACAACATCCATGGTTCTTCGTTCCTGTTTTTTTTCCCTCCATGTACTGTAATTGAACCATGGATTAATCCTCATTTTCTCATCAACTTCTTTCGTTAGTAGGATGAACATTTTTGCGATCTCTGTACACTTCTGGATTATATATTCCCACAATTCATTTACTGTACTGTATTTCCCTATAGGTTATTCTTTCAAGGAACATTCTGTGTGTAAGCCCTTGTCTCTCCTTTGTAGACAAACATTATAATTAATTTATTACAAGCCTAATTTATTAGGCTTGTTTCAAGGTCCCCCCCCCCCCCGTCCTAAGGTCAATCTACAGACCCTCCCCAGGATGCAACTCTATAACAGTTGCCTAACTGGAACCTATTTATTTATTTAGCCTATTTTAGAAGATTATGCGTAAACAAAATGTAGAGAGCATAATTGTAATGTTATTAGAAGTTGGTAATGTAAGTCTCAGTGTTGTATGTCATTAAATAAGTTGATTATTGTATTGTACCTGACTACATGTTTAGTGTTTTGTATTCCCTTGCTTATATTTTTTGACAGGCATCCACACCAAATAACTTAGCTTCCATAGGCCAGTTTTACAGCATAGTGTGAAAAAAAAACCATGACGACCTGGACTGTCGGCACTATGTTATCCGAGAACAGGAGCTGTCGTTATGTCCGAGATAACTGAAGAATTACGGAGATACTCGGCCCGATCCTTTTGATTTGAGTTATTCTTGGTTGAGCTTGCCTTAACAACCTTACACTTGATGCCAAGCTTCAAGGATTGGACACAGGTTAAGTCCAGTCGGGGATGCGTTAAATTGGCCACATACCTGTCGTAAAACTGGGCTTACTCTATAAGTTCATTTATATTACGGTAATAGCAGGACTGGCAGGTCTTTATTACTGACTTTTGGCATGTGTCAGTCAAATCGCAGCTGTCAGTGTTTTATATATATATATAAAAAGGCAAGTAAAATATCTGTGATATCTATTTAAATATATATTTTAAATGTTAAATTCTTTTTACATTTACTTTTTTGTCTCCATGGATATTGTCACCATTACTTATAAAAATAAGAGGACATTTTAGCAAAAGAATCTAACACTGTGGAAATCATAAACATAAAAAATAATTACTGCATTTACACATTTTTCCCATCAATTTTGCATCATATTTGGATTTTTATTATTATTATTATTATTATTATTATTATTATTATACCAGCCCTATTTACAATTTGTTCATGGCATTTCATTTCTCGTAATTAATTAATTCACGTAATTAAAAAATAAGTAAAACGTATTTCACGTTTCATTTCATTTTTACTTTTTCAGCCATTGGTATACCTCTTTAGACGTGTCTGTTTCCGGCGGAGTAATGATTGTCGGAGACAACAAAGGTTATGTTAATCTTCTCACAATTGATGGTGAAAAGCTCTGGGAAGAGAGACTTCATAAACAGAAAGTTACACACATAGAATTTTGTCCAAGGTAAGATTTTGTTTTTAATTTAGTATTGATGGACTGTGCAGTATGTATATACTCTATATTTATATATTACATTAAGTTAGAGGTGATTTGCAGTGGCTTTGGCAAATAGGATGGTATTAGTGATGTATTCATGATGAGCTGATGAAGAGTAAAAGGTACTTGAAAAGGTCAAGAAACCCTGCATTGAATGTAAAGAAAGCCCCATGCTAGTAGAGCCCCTCATGGCTCCCTGAAGCTATCTCATTGAGATGACAACCCCCACTACTGAGTCACATCAGTCACAGGACTTGTGTTTGGTCTACCAGTGACGAGAGCCAGAACCTGGCCTTAACAATCTAACAATCTTCAAAATGAATACATGCATATTTTCATACATATTTTTGTTTTGTACAGTATGCCATGGTGTTTGGTAACCACTTCAGTGGATCACACATTGAAGGTGTGGGATGTACGAAACATGAAGTCTCGCACCTCGTGTCTTGTGACGCACACCCATGAGAAACCGATAAATTCAGCACACTTCAGGTATAAATTAAATGTCAGTTTATAACATTAATTTTTTTTTTAACTTTTATTGTATGTCTACAATGCTTGTGGATAATATAGTTAATGTAATTTTCAATTAATATTTGTAGTTGATACGGCATTAGCATTTGTCATGCATTAATTTTTCAGTTTAATATTTATCAAACTTCCTTGTTATCAACATAGTTTCTACAGAAAAACTATGATGTACTATGAGAAACTATGGCATTTATAATCTACAGATTATAAAAAATCTGCTTTTGACTACAACTGAACTAATTTAAACATTGTTTCACAAGGTTGGGAATGCCAGTTCACATTCTTCAAAATTATTTTTTTATACATTTTGGCAAATGCAGCTGTTCTTTTAAATCAAATACAGACATTCCTCCTGTGCGGTGAGGGTTTGATTCCACCCTTTTATGTAAATTATGTGGTTTTGGTATTTTTCAGTACATATTCAATCTAAAATCTTGTCACCTAAAAAAATATGCTAATACTGTACATACTATTAATTCATTATTAAGGCAGAATGAGCTGGCATACTATATTTTTCTGTAAAAGGAAATAAAGTTAGCTGCATTTATTTCTCTGTGTTCATTTCAGTCGCACTGATGGAGGCCGCCTCGTAACTACAGATCAGCTAGATGAAATCCGGGTATACTCTTGTCCCAGCTTCGGTCTGAGCCAAACCATACCACACCCTCACCGCCAATTCCAGCACCTCACGCCAATTAAGGTGCCCTTTATGTTGTTTCTCTTTCCAGAGTACCACCACCACTACCATCATCGTTACTATTACCAATATTATCATGACTACCAATACTTCCTTCCTCCCCACCATTACTAATATTGCCACCCGATCACCATTACTACTATTACCACCACCATTACAACCTCATTCATTACCAACATTACCATCATTTGTTAATGCAGCAGAGTGCATAGTTAAGTGCATCAAATGTTTTTAATGTAACATTTATGCTTTAAGAATACAATGTAATGGAAATTTGGCTCTAGAAATTTTTCTCATTGGGTTGTAACCGTAGCTGAATTTCACTTTAAAATAATAATAACAAAATTGGGGAAGTAATGTAACTTTATATAAAATACAATATTTATTCATTTAATGAAAGTTTCTATGAAAATTTGGAAAAAAAAAATATTACTATTCTTCCTGACATATTGCTCTTAAATGCAAAATCAGTAAAGTGGCAATTGTTGACGTTAAAATATTTTTTTGTTCTGTTTTACCTAGAATAACTGTGACTTGATGACCAGACCACACACTAGAATGTGAAGGGACGACGACGTTTTGGTCCGTCCTGGACCATTCTCAAGTCGTCGTCCCTCCACATTCTAGTGTGTGGTCTGGTCATCATACTTTAGCCACGTTATTGTGACTCATCGCCTGCATAACTGTGACTTAGTGTTAAATACCCTTCTTGCTGAGATTGAAGTGTACCCTACAGCACTCTTTTCGATAAGGTTTAATCTTGTGTGTTTTCAGGCAACGTGGCATCCTTTAAGAGACATCATAGTTGTTGGACGGTATCCAGACCGAAATTTTCCCGGCTATGTTGTAAACGAGCCACGCACTATAGATTTCTTTGATGCCTCAACGGGGAAGATTTTATATCAACATATTGATAGAGGGTACTGCAACAAGATCGTTTCTCTTAACTTGTTCAACCACACCGGAGACAGATTAATGTCGGCTGCAGGTTAGAACTCCATTATTGTATGTTTATTTTATTTATTAACAGACTGTCTTGTATAGACAAAAACGTGTACAATGGATTCTTTCCGTACAGATTTGAGTGATATGTTTATAATTTAAAAATTCATTATGTTTGCCAGTTACCAGTACTGGACATGGAATTATTATTAATATTTTTATTATTATATTATTTCATTATATAAAATATGGCTATATCCATATCTCTTCCCTGTGGTGAAGTGGCAAGTACACTAAGACTTGCAAGCAAACATTTATGTAGTGGGTTATGTTTCTGTAAAAACTGTCAATAATAAAATGCACCAATCTGCCTTAAACGTTCTGAATATAAAATGAAATAGGTTCCAGAGACCTCAAAGAGATAAATATTTCTCCTCTATTTCATCAAATTCATATAATAAGTCTCCTGAGTCTGATGGATGCCTACTACTAACTACTACTACTAAAATACTAGACTTCAGTCTAGCATGCTTGGAATGTGATTGAAGAATATAATACAAAAAAAGTTGAGCGAAATTCAAAACTGTAGCGTATGGAAGCCCATTACACTTCTGAGACTGCAGTTGACCTGCATATTTAACATGGATTATTCACACTAATTCATGTTAATCCACACACACATATCCTGTGTCTGTTACAAATTTAACTTTGATATAAAAGTGCTTACCTGTGTTCCACTGAATCACGTCCTCCAACGCTATTCAAAATTGCATATTGCCTCTACCATGCAAATTGGAGGGTGCTTGTCTAGTTAAGCATGCTCTTTGTCCTTCACTACATTCAACAATCTATTGATTGTTGAATTGATTTATTATTATTAATAATCTATTGTTATTAACAACATTCAACAATCTATTGATTGTTGAATGTTGTTTTGATTGTTGATCTATTGAATGTTGTTTTTGATTGTTGTTTTGGTAGGGACGCGAGTCTTATTTTCCTCGGCGTCACCCCTTTTATATGAAAGGAACCATCGGAAATGCATCCAATCAACAATCTATTGATTGTTGAATGCTGTGATATGGAGACAGTTTCCTTTGAAGTTAATTACATTTATTACTATTACATCCAGAGTGATGAATAATAGTTGAAGTAATTCTGTAAAATTTGTGTACAGTTTTGAGTCTCAAGCCCTTGTTTCAGTGACCTTTCTCTATAAATTTCAGGAAACATTGTATGGTTATGGAAACCCAAATTTGACCACCTGGATAATAAAGAAGTAAAAAAGATGGACGACGACGATTTAGATGATGACGATGATGAAAATGATGGTCACAATGCCAGAAAGAATCCTTGTCATCATAGAAGTGCAAATGACTTGAAAATTAAGAAGATGAAGATTACCATAGATAAAATCTAATATTTTTTTTTTTCGAGGTATGACCTTTTCTTGTTTTAATGTTATAAAATAATGTTTTTAAAACTTTCAGCATTTTCAATATATTTTACAAGGAAAAATTAGATTACAAGATGTGTTGTGAAGATTTGCTTGGAAAACTTGTCATTTGAAAGGCCACACGAGATCAGAAGAACTGTGATCCTGGCAGATCCTTTGCTGGATCTTTTGAGGAGTCAGTCTTATGCTTATTTGATTTGCATAAATTAATAATGTATTTTAAGTGAATGTAGTTTTAATAATAAATACAACCATTATTTGAAGACAAAAAATTGAATTTAAATTTACCATAACTTTCCTTTCACCATTCAAGATTCAATAGATCTAGATTTAAAGTACATGAGATTTTAAATTTCTTAAATTCATGGGTCAGAGTAGTTCTGAATGTTAAATGTCTACGTTTATAAGGCTATAATTTGTAGAATCTTCACGACAGTTATTTGAACCAACTGTGGCTATAGGGAAGGAGGCAGTAGTTAGTACAATAGACTCGCATCTGATTGGTCTTTGGTTCAATTTCTGGGTAGGAAGAGGCCTTTGGGCATTTTTTTTTTTTTTACACTTTCTTGATAAATTTGAGACCATAGAAAAAATCCAAAGCCTTTTGTAGTGGCACTGTAGATATTTGACAGTGTGGTCTAATTACAGTTATCCGATTGTTAAGAGGGACTGTCAACTGGTGGGGAAATTTGAAGGCAGAAAAATGATTGTACCATAACTTAACTATCTTGCAAACTGGTACTCTAGTAAACAATACAGTTATTATCTGTAATTGTACCAAAATAGTTAATATTAAGTATCCTTCAAATTGGTTCCATAATGTGGCTTGAGATGTTTATCCCAATAATGCAAACTAGCACAAAATCTCTTGAGGTGCTCAGGAGTGTGATTCCTGGAGAGCATTTCCAGTCCTTCAGAGACCCTTGAACTGCAGACATCTGAATTTTGATGCTAAAATTCTAACTTGATAGAGCAATGGCCAAGTACTGTATTTTGTAATATAAATTTCTAAACTACACTTCGTGAAATTTAAGATTTACCTCAATATTTGTTCAATTTTGTTTGACAAATATTTTACAGTACTCAAATGCCACACACACATACATACTAGTACATATGTTAATCTTGGTTGAAAATCATTTAGATAAGCTCCCAATGATGAGCAGTATATAATAAAATTACCTCTGATATGGTGTTACCACTACAGTGAATGGATCACCTATATATCATCTGCTGATCCATTGTTGATGAATGATAGCTGAAATCCAATTGATGCTTTCAGGCACATCTCTTAAATCTGACATTTCATTTATGTCACACTCTGGAAGAGGAACCGTCAAGCCCCCTTACAAAAAATAGTTTTTGAGACTATGGGATGTGGTTGGTGCATTCATGTGTTTGAATGTATTCACTCTTGGAGTAATGTAAAGGCATGAGTTATGCCATTAAGATGATATTACTATACTGTATTTAAAACTGAGGATTAGATAGTGGGGGCTTTTAAACACCATGAATTCATTTCATCTTTGACTATGGTTTGTTTTATTTTCCAGGCATAATTTAACAATGAATCCACAAGATGACGGTACAATGGTAAGATGAAGATTCTAAATAAGTGTCTTCTCAAAGCCTGGGGTTGTGGAACACATTGTAGAGTTCATCCAAGTTATGAGCGGCCTTCGGATGCCAGTTGGACTCGCAGTAACGAGAAAATTTAACACAGGAATAATGAGCTTCAAAAGCAAACATTATAGCTGACAACTGTCATCACCACAGGCCGTGAAAATATATATAATGGGAACAAAATGCATTCCAAATGCCTACAGATGATGTCCCATCAGGAAAACCTTTGTGTTTGAGAAACTACCTTGAATTATTGTCAGAAATTTTAAGTAAAAACAAAACTCAAAAGTTTGTTTAATTATACTCACCGTTATTATACTGTATTTGTTAATCCTTCTATGACGAAAAAGACTTGTTGATGGTGCATAGTTATCTATATGGTTTGTGTGGTGGATATTCAATGAGATGACTGTAGTAACTGACTTGATGCACGTCCCTTAACTACATAAGCCGACTGCTTTACACTTTATATTTCTATACTGTATATTGATGGCTGGCTGGCTAAGGTGATTTGAAAGTGGCCATGATGTCATGATATGTATACTGTACTTAATACCGTGGTAGCTTTAAAATTGCTTTAGTCAGCCATCAATATACAATTTAGTCGGTAATGTTCACTGACGTGAAATTCTCTGGGTCTGCCCATGAGCACCCAGCCTGCTAATGGCTTTTTTATTTCTACGTGCTTCTGCTAATATCGCTTCTACATAGCATCAACACACTTCACCATTACTCACTGGCTTTCTCCAGTGTATTAGTTTACACTTTGATTTTGAGAAAATAGTAAAAAATGATCAATTTACCTTTAATATCAGTTGCATCTTGCTCATTTGGTACCCAATGAACACATGGTCGAACCCTTGTTAGAATCTGACCAGATTGTCAATTGGGTTAACCCATGTGTTAGGTTTCCACAATAGTCACCCAAGTTAAAATCTGTAAATGCCCCAAGAATATTGTTGAAAACATCTTTATAACTTATTAAACCAAAAATACAAAGTTTTTTAATGTTAGGCTAGGTCAGTGTTTTACCACTGTGCCATGGGTACTTTATATATATGGGGCAATTTTGAACGTTAAAATCGGCGTTCGCTGATTTTAATCTCTATGGCAACTCGAGTGATTGGTAAATGAGGCCTCTTACTCCCACTGTTCAATCACTCGGACAACTCATGGCATCTTTGCTTGGAGAAATACAAAATAAGATAGAGTACATGCGAATGAGTAATTTGTGTCCAGAAAGTATGATTGTCTCGGCATAAATACAGCTGAGCCTTATAAATATAACAATGTGGTAGTTATGTTCCTGGAAAATCATATAAAATGTGTTGCAATATAACAACACATTATTAGGATGAACGACATCGAAGATATCTGGTTCACAAAGGATTTTATAAAAAAAAAGTGACAAAGGGATATAATGAATACTGTACCCAAAGTTTGCTAGTGCAGGTTAGTAGACTAGAATTTCATTTCATATAAGACCAACCATCCTGTTCTCTGCTCTATGGGAAATACAGTCTATTTGGTTTTGTATATTTCTGTCAACTCTGAAGCAAAACTTCTCAAGCAAAATGTTGGTATTAATAAAGGTCTAGTTTTGAGACATTTCTTTAAACAAAATATATTCTATTGAGAGTTTCAGGCAATTTACTCAAGTGTTATGATTCTGTGGTAAAATAAAGGTGGGTAAGATTATTTAAGAACATAAGAACTGCCCGAAACGCTGCGCGTGCTAGTGGCTTTACAAGACTGTAATTACCATATTTGTATCCTCACATTCCTTATGTACATTCTTGTATATGCATAAATAAATAAATAAATAAATAAAATAAACATAAGAACAAAGGTAACTGCAGAAGGCCTATTGGCCCATACGAGCTGCTAACTTAATTTAATTACCAAATCTCAGGGTTAACTGATTAGAACAAGCAGACCTCGTGGTGTAGTGGTAAAGACACTAGCCTGGCGTTTCGCGAGCGCTTTCTCCTGGGTTCGTATCCTGGCCGGGGAGGATTGACTGAGCGCCAATTCTTAACTGTAACCTCTGTTCACTCAACAGTAAAATGGGTACCTATTTATTAAACGATTTTTCGCGGGGGTCGTATTCCGGGGACATAGGATTAAGGACCTGCCCGAAACACTAGGCGTACTAGTGGCTGTACAAGAATGTAGCAACTCTTGTATAAATAATTATACATTTAGCAGTCTCCGTGGTGTAGTGGTAAGACACTCGCCTGGCGTTCCGCGAGCGCTATGTCATGGGTTCGTATCCTGGCCGGGGAGGATTTACTGGGCGCAATTCCTTAACTGTAGCCTCTGTTTAAGGCAACAGTAAAATGTTTACTTGGATGAAAAAACGATTCTTCGCGGCAGGGGATCGTATTCCAGGGACCTGCCCGAAACGCTACGCGTACTAGTGGTTGTACAAGAATGTAACAACTCTTGTATATATCTCAAAAAAAAATAAAATAAAAAATAAAATAAATAAATCAATAAATAAACAAGACACCAAACACCCCCTCTCTTCAAGCCACCTTGATAGTTGTCTAGATATTTGTGATGGTCTGAAAGCATATTACGATTCAAATAATAATCTACTTGTAAAATTGCAAGTGAACTTTCGTCCTAAACAGAGAATATTCTCAAGTTATAAATCATTGATTTAAAATAGAAAGTTTATGTTTAATTTGTTTTCTTTGAAATGGTCTGAAAAATTTGGTTTTCTATAAAGGAAATAATAGGATATACTCAAATAAATTTTGAATTTCATATTTCACGTGAAAATAATACACTGCAATGTAACTAGACGTCAACAATCCTTACTATCTAATCTTATCTAAAATAATCTCACCCTAATCTAAACATGGAGACGGAGTATATATAAAAACACTAATTGCATTGCGGTTAGGCTATTTATACTCTCCATGTAGTAATTCTGATAATTAACTGTTTATGTTTGCTGGATCAGATCTGACGTTACCAGTCTACCTGACTGTATGTATACTAATCCTTCATTAATAACTGGGAACAATAATGATCGACACACGAGCCTAGGGCAATGTTAAATGGGATTCTTGTATTGTGATTTGTGTATTTGTACTCTGAATTTGTGCGCCGCTTGAGGGACAGTTACAGCACCGCTCCTGTGCCAGGTAAGTCCACTACGGGCTCACCATAGCCCGTGCTACTTGGAAATTTGTTCCCAGTAGCTGAACCTTAAACAACAACAACCTTGAGGGACTTGAAATAGAGGGGGGAAGGGGGGGGGGGAAGAAATAGCCTAAGCTACTCTATCCCTTTGAGATGTATTTTTTTCTTGTCTCAATAAACATACTTGAACTTGAACGAGCCTCAGGACACTACCCACGGGAGACATCTCCCGTCACGCAGGGTGCAGTCGCACCTCCACAGATCTCCAGTATCAGCTCTTGATACTGGTAATGGCTCAAAAGGGCCACCACTTACGGGCTATTCATGCCCGTGCCACCTCTTGGGTGGCTTAATCTTTATCAATCAATCAATCGAGTGTAAATTATGTAGTATGCCGCACGCCCACACTTTAGAACATTATGTAAGTGTCAACTTATTGATAACTATTGACATAAGGAAATAAGTAGTGTACCACATCAAATTGTTTGGATGAGTGATAATGGTGTGATAGACAGAATACTTAGGAGCTACAAGCATTTTGCCCCAAGAGTGTAACACTTATATGCTGTGCTTACTATATTAACCTGCAATGTTAAATGGGATTTGTGTATTTGAACTCACTGAATTTGTGCGCCCCTTGAGGGACTTGAAGTAGAAGATGATAGAAATAGCTTAAGCTACTCTATTCCTTTGAGACGTATTTTATTGTTTCAATAAACGTACCTGAACTTGAACTTGATATGCTTAAGTACTGTGAGATCCTCTAAGATTATAGTGCACCTGTCATTTCTTGTTCTGGTAAAGGTAGACTAAAGTTGGAGAAGGTACAACATTTAGCTATGAGAATAATTTTAGGATGCCCAAGAAATGCTATGATTGAGATTATGCGGTAAGAATTGAACTTACAGACCATCGGGAATAACATTTCTGAGATAAATATAGCCTCGGCGATTAGATTAATGAGAGGTGGGGGGGAGGGGGAGCTAATACATTAATCCACTCCGTTTAAAAGGAATGTATTTTAAAATATAATAAGAGAGAATATATGAGAACCTTGTGTTCTAATGTTTCAAAGCATGATGTCTTGCACGAATGCATTGCATTGCCTATGGAACAATTATTGCATTGCCTAAGAAACAATTATTTATGCCCGAAACGCTTTGCGTAATAGTGGCTTTAGGCATTGTATGTACTAGCTATACCTATAAGTCAAACAATCCTTGTAAATATTTATTGTATGTATGTACCTTACCTAAATAAAATTGTATTGTATTGTTGTATTGTATTAATAACACGACCACGTGAAGAATGTATAAGATGTAACGCAGATGAAGTGATTATTCCAACCACTTGGGGTGGACGGTAGAGCGACGGTCATGCTTCATGCAGGTCGGCGTTCAATCCCCGAACGTCCAAGTGGTTGGGCACCATTCCTTTCCCCCGTCCCATCCCATATCCTTATCCTGATCCCTTCCCAGTACTATATAGTCTAATGGCTTGGCGCTTTCCCCCTGATATTTCCCTTCCTTTCCCCCTGCAAAAGAGTATGTAAGAGACAGGAAAGCTGAAGGCAATATATGACTGTATAATAAGAAAAATACCTCAATTAAACACTACATGTTTATTGTGATGGCGCTATAGGTAAGGGCGGAATGGCAGGATGTGGAGCCTTGATTAGGGAGGACATCAAGAGGAGATATCATCAGCGGCATATGCTAGTTGGCCAACATATGAACAGCCTTTAGAAATCTATGTAAGGAATAATTTAGAACCTTGTATACCGCATATGTCAGACCAAACCTGAAGTATGCAGCACCAGCGTGGAATCTGTATCTAGTTAAGCACAAGACTAAATTAGAGAAAGCTTCAAAGGTATGACACCAGACTAGTGCCAGAGCTGAGGGGTATGAGCTACGAGGAAAAACTAAGTGAACTAAAGTTCACGTCACTGGAAGACAGTCAAGGCAGACATGATCACCACATACAAGATTCTCAGAGGAAGTGATAGGGTAGATAAAGACATATTATTAAAGACGGGTTGTACACGAACAAGGCGACATAGGTAAAAACTGAGTACCCAAATGAGCCACAGAGACATTAGTCATTAGAAAGAAAGTTTTTAGTGCCAAGAGTAGTTAACAAATGGAATTCATTAGGCAGTGATGTGATGGAGGCAGACTTCATACACAGTTTCAAATATAGATAAGATAGAGCCCAATAGGCTCAGGAATCTCTCCACTAGATGGTTGAACGAGCCCACCAATGTACCTAATATGTTTATTGTTTGTGATGTGTGTCTATGTATATATTAACACGATGTACTGAACGGGGTGAGAATAGCTTGAGCTACCTCATCCCTTTGTGTGTATTTTACCTCAATAAACTTATTTCAATTTCAATTTCAAAACCAAAGTACCAGATGGTCACCAGTACCCACCAAACTCTTTTGAAAACAAAAGTAAAGTAACAAAGGCAATTTCTATAATAAAAATATCTCTTATAGAGAAAAATGAAGTCATGGACTTTCTCCTATAACTCGTAGAGCGGAAAGTTATGCTAGAGGTAAACAAATTAATTACATTTATAAACAATGGAAATATAAACTGTGCTAATCAGATCGTTAAAACTCATTAAAAAAATTGGAAAATTTTAGATTTAGAATAAATTTAGGTAAACACTAATTTGAAAATACAGCCGTAGGCTAGAGTGGAACATTCAAACAAAGACATTGGTCAAATTATCATTCTTCATCCAGGTACTTTCTTGAAAGCAATTGACCTTATACGGAGGAATAGGCTTTTGTGATGTGATGAGTTTTTGTGATTGAAACATACACAGGAAAGATACCCCCAGAATGGTCAGATTGGGATATACAAGAACAGAATAAGAACCTTTTTTAGTTTGAGGGATACAGCCAGAGTTTACCCCAGCTTGTATGATGTATGATTACACGATTATTATTATTATTATTCATCCTCATACACAGAGAAATCCCATTATCGTGATATATCAAGGAGAAAATCCATAGGAGCAGTGGTGAGGATTCGAACCTATGTGCTGGGCTCTAGTCAACTGCGCCACGACTTGGTCAAAGAATTGCAACCTGGGGTACTCCTGGACCTCATATAATGTGATTTATGTGTATGAAAGAGAGGCGTCGGGGGTAAAATTACTTGACAGAGCCAGAGTGCATGGGGGGAAGTGTGTGAAACTCTGGTTCAACTTCAGTGGAAGCCTCGGGAATCCTAGTGGGCCCAGTAGTACTAAAGGTTGCAATTCTTTTGACCATGTCGTGGCGTAATAGTTTAGAGCATGCATCTGGGAATAATACCAAGCGCATAGGTTCGAATCCTCACCACGGCTTCTGTGGATTTTCTCATTCATCCTCATTACGGCTCTGTGGGTTTCCTCATTATTATTACTATTATTATTCGGAGGTGGGGTCTGTATTGTGTTAAAGATTGATTGATTGATAAAGATTAAGCCACTCAAAAGGTGGCACGGGCATGAATAGCCCGTAAGTGGTGGCTCTTTTGAACCATTACCAGTATCAATAGATGATACTGGAGATCTGTGGAGGTGCGACTGCACCCTGCGTGACGGGAGATGTCTCTGGTGAAGCGTTGAAGAGATTGTGTGTATTTCTGGGTCATCTAAGTGACTGATTGACGAAGATTAGGCCACCAAATAAGGTGGCACGGGCATGAATAGTTCGTAATCATCTAAGTGTGTTAGAAGGTAGTTAAGTGTGAAGAAGGAATAGTGTGGTGTGCACAGTGTGTTGATATTCTGATTATTTGCTTGTCGGCTAGGATGTTCCAGTATGTCATCTCCCTATAATATTACGGGTGTTTTAATATGTATTGAGTGCTTGTACATATCCTGTCTGATGAAGGCTTTCATTGGTGACGCATTCCTGTTGAAACCACCATCTTAGTGCATTGTTTTATATACACTTTAGTTTCATTTGGATTCTTTTAGCTGCTAGGGAGAGTGCAAGTTTTGCGTCAGTGATGAGTATCAGAGATTTTGTATAATTGTACCTTCGTGTGTGTTTGTGCATGTATTCACCTAGTTGTGCTTGCGGGGGTTGAGCTCTGGTTCTTTGGTCCCGCCTCTCAACCGTCAGAGATATGTGTTAGTCTGTATTTAGTTAGTCTGTAATTAGTCATATTTTGCTATAGAAATATGCGATTATTAACCTTCTCGAGTTTGTCTGGCTATGCCAGTTATATTCCAAACGTGTGATTCAAGTTCAAGTACGTTAATTCAGACAATAAAATACATCTCAAAGGGATAGAGTAGCTTAGGCTATTGTGTGATTCGACTCATAAGTTAGGCTGCTAACAAGTTCAAGTTCGTTTATTGAGACAATAACAGTTGCACATAACGCCTGGGGATTAACTTTTATAATCCCCTGAACGTTGTCTAGCGAATTTATGTCAATTCTAATGTTCTTATTGGTGGGGCTGAACGGTAGGGTATAAATAGTAGCGCCCTCGGATGTAAACAGTATTCTAGTGACGTTATCTGGTATAGTGCGGTCGGCGCGAGGCTTCTATAGACACGGAAGTATTACTTCAGTACCCTCATGACAACAGTGAAGACTGTTGTCTTTTGTTCAACAGTGAAGGCTGCCCAGTGATTGATTGATTGATAAAGATTAAGTTACCCAAGAGGTGGCACGGGCATGAATAGCCCGTAATTCTCTCAGTGCCCAGTGGACCCCCGGTTATATATATATACAAGAATATAACACGTCTCTTGCCAGCGATTGACTAGTTTTTGAAATTTTAGTCCCGCGTTTTTGGTTTTGTTTGCGGCAAAATAAGGTAATTTATTTACTTATTAAAATTACTACATTTATACAGTAAATGCAGTAATTTTTTTATTAGTAATTCTAATCTTTATTAGAAGAATTAGAATTCATTGATTTTTCTGGCTACAACAAATATGCATCACAGTCGACCTGTCTCACATGCAAACTTTTCGCAAAAATTTAGTGTCTTCTGCTAATTTTGATTCTTGAGGTTCATTTAATTTCTAGGTTATTTTTATTATGAAACTTGTTTGACCGAATTTGGGCACCCGAGTCACCCGGGGTATTACGATAATTTAGTCTGATGATTCCATAGTTAGCCATTGTGTTACAGGTATTTATAACATGTTTCAACTTTGTTTAAGAGACATCAGGACATAAATCAGGGGCCTGATTAGGATTTTGTTGGTCCCTGGGCTACAGGTACTGTGAGGTTCCTGGGCTACAGGTACTGTGAGGTTCCTGGGCTACAGGTACTGTGAGACTCCTGGGCTACAGGTACTGTAAGGTTCCTGGGCTACAGGTACTATGAGGACCCTGGGCTACAGGTACTGTGAGACCCTTAGCCTACAGGTACTATGAGGACCCTGGGCTACAGGTACTATGAGGACCCTAGCCTACAGGTACTATGAGGTTCCTGGGGCTACAGGTACTTTGAAGACCCTGGGCTACAGGTACTATGAGGTTCCCGGGGCTACAGGTACTTTGAGGACCCTGTACTACAGATACTATGAGTTTCCTGGGTTACAGGTACTGCGAGACCCCTGGCCTGCAGGTACTGTGAGAACATTAGGAGTAAATAATCTTACCCAACCCTGTGAATAGTACTCAGGACCAATCGGGTTTTCTTTGTCAACATGACCTAAATTAAACTATTTTTTTGTAACAATTTCCTCATTGTACAGAGAAAAAATTTGTCATTATCAAATCCAACATGGTCAGCGGAGATTCCCCCGACATGGAGTTTTTCATAATGACTACTGAGGACTACCACGAGAGTATGGCACTTCTCCACAGCGAGTACGTCGGTAGAAACCCATTGGTAAGAACTGCCTTTCTTACCCTAACATGTTTTTCTAAGACGTCATCATCACCTTAACGTTCATATGGAATAGGAATTTGTCCAGCTGCTAAGCTTTCTATTAAATTAATTAGGTTGATTTATTAGTCTATATCATTATGTTATAATATTGTAAGTATGTAATGGTAATGTCTTCTCACAGACATTATGACATAGGATAAAAACCACGCTTGTGTATTTGTGAATTTTTGTAAGGAATTTACACAAAGTCTTTCGCACTCTCCTAAGTGCATTGACAAAGTCTGAGTGTGTTGTTTTAGATTCATCTACTTAGAACAAAAGTTCCAAGTAGCACGGGCTATGGTGAGCCCGTTGTGGACTTACCTGGCACAGGAGCGGGGCTACAACTCGTCAGGATTGATTGATTGATTGATGAAGATTAAGCCACCCAAAAGGTGGCACGGGCATGAATAGCCCGTAAGTGGTAGCCCTTTTAAGCCATTACCAGTATCAAGAGCTGATACTGGAGATCTGTGGAGGTGCGACTGCACCCTGCGTGACGGGAGATGTCTCCCGTGGGTGTGTGATTAGGACGAGACATATCTTACCTTCTAATGAGGCTTCGATCGATGATGATGATGAAGATTAAGCCACCCAAAAGGTGGCACGGGCATGAATAGCCCGTAAGTGGTGGCCATTTTAAGCCATTACCAGTATCAAAAGCTGATACTGGAGATCTGTGGAGGTGCGAATGCACCCTGCATGATGGAAGATGTCTCCCTTGTGAATGTGTTAAGATGAAGATGAAGCCACCCAATAGGTGGCACGGGCATGAATTGGTAAGTGGTGGCCCTTTTGAGCCATCACCAGTTTCAATAGATGATACTGGAGATCTGTGGAGGTGCGACTGCACCCAGCGTGACGGGAGATGTCTCCCGTGTTTTAAACAGATGAAGAAGATGAAGATGAAGCCACCCAAAAGATGGCACGGGCATGAATAGCTCGTAATTGGTGGCCCTTTTGAGCCATCACCAGTATCAAGAGCTGATACTGGAGATCTGTGGAGGTGCAAGTGCACTCAGCGTGACGGGAGATGTCTCCCATGAATGTGTCCAAGATGACGATTAAACCATCGAAAAGGTGGCACGGGCATGAATAGCCCGTAAGTGGTGGCCCTTTTGAGCCATTACCAGTATCAAGAGCTGATACTGGAGATCTGTGGAGGTGCAACTGCACCCTGCGTGACGGGAGATGTCTCCCGGACCAAGTGGTGACCAAATGGTGGCTTCAAACCTGGGTTCAATCTTCTTATCCTTCTTAACCGTCTGACCATGTCACCTCTATTCCCGACTGCCGATGTACTTGCGGTAATGTCTTCTACGGAATTATGGTCACGTGTCCTCTCTGTAATCCTGCTATTCTGGGAACTGGGGTTGTTCATCTGAATGCTACCCCTCGTAACCCTCCATACCTCAAAGGAACGCGGCTAATGGAACTGCTTTCATTCATCCATTACATAAATTTCACAAATACACTAACGTGAGATTTTATCCACTGTAAGCATTTATGTAAATATGTTTCAATTACGTTTTTAACAATCTAAACGGCGCTTATTTATAAATACTCTATATTTTCCATAATTATTTGGTTTCCAAATTTCTGTCAATGTGTATTTGATATGAATAAACATGTGACGTTTACAGTGCAAGGCGTGTGGAGAGACCGGCCAGAATACATACACGGAGCCGCTCATGTCAGACGTGAGGAAATGTCTGGCGTCGGGGGCGTCTATTGGCGTCAGAGACAAGGCGTCCAAAACTCTGGCTGGCGTATTTCTAAATGCCCCTCTCAACATGGACGAAGCCTGTGCTTCGAGCAACATAAATACGGTAAATAAAATGATGTACCAGACCTTGTTATTCAATCTATTATTCTATATCTATATTAGACTATCTAACAATCTATTCAATTATATCTATTTTTTAAATTTAAGTAAATTTTTAGGGACTTGTGATTTTTAATTGTGGTGGAGGTGGGGTCCCTCGATTGTTTCAAGCGCGGGTTGGACAAGTATATGAGTGGGATTTGGTGGTTAAAGATAGGAGCTGCCTCGTATGGGCCAATAGGCCTTCTGCAGTTACCTTTGTTCTTATGTTCTTAATTGTTCTGTTTTCCTTTCCTAAGCAAATGTTAAAACATTATGTATAAATGACAGGATAACCTGGGCATCGAGTACCGTGTGCTGAGGCGACTCACTGCCGACACAAGACTGTTGTTCCAAGACCAGGAGGTGCACCAGGTGCTGGACCTGTTCGTGTTGTGTGTACACAGAGGCTATGGCGGCCGCCGCCTCGCCTCTACCCTCCTCCAGGTCAGTTTAATGCTGCGCTGCGGCAGCCCCGACGATGCTGTGCTACTCAGAATTTTGAGTGATGCATATTCAAACTTTTGCTGCAAGACTTACTTCATAATATTAATTTTGTAGATAAGGTAGCTTATCATTCCTCGGGTAGTCGTAAAAAGTTTTCACATGGGTGCAGTGTTGAAATGTCTTTACCTTTGTCCATGTGTATTACAAGAGTTACAGGCGACGAGTCACAATAACGTGGCTGAAGTATGTTGACCAGACCACACACTAGAAGGTAAAGGGGCGACGACGTTTCGGTCCGTCCAGGACCATTCTCAAGTCGATTGTGAGAATGGTCCAGGACGGACCGAAACGTCGTCGTCCCTTCACCTTCTAGTGTGTGGTCTGGTCAACAAGAGTTACAGCCCCGATCCTGTGCCAGGTAAGGCCACTACGGGCTCACCATAGCCCGTGCTACTTGGAACTTATCGTTCCAAGTAGCTGAAACTGAAACAACATGCATCACAAACAAACTACTCTACTACTTTAGTGCACTACTCTCCACGTAATGGACAATTTGAAAGTAGAACAATCGACTGGAGAATGGTCCAGGACGGACCGAAACGTCGTCGTCCCTTCACTTTCTAGTGTGTGGTCTGGTCAACATACTTCAGCCACGTTATTGTGACTCATCGCCTGCACTTGAAAGTAGAATTTGGTATTATTGATTCTTAAAACAAGCCGGGAATGGGTTTTGTATTGTTACTAATGAATCAAATCCTAGACTTAATACACGTTATCTAAGGCCTAGTACATATATGTGTGCTTTACTAGGAATATTTAAGTTTGTTTTATATCTTTATTGTTTCCGAACTAAAGTGAATAGTGCCACATTCTTCTATATAATTGTCCATCACGTCAATATATGTACGATGGGCCACATAGTTAGAAAAAAGTACTATCTAAGCAAGAGGATGGACTGCGCACCGACATATCATTGAAAACATATTTAGACTACAATAGGATCGAACTTTCATTCCCAAAAAACTAATACACACGCATCATACCGACTAGACTATGATCACAGTTGCGTTTAAACGTTGAAATTATATATATCTACACCCTAGAAGGATTCGAACCCAGACAGCCAGGAGCACAACGTACCTTGGCTGTTTGGGGGGTCGAATCCTTCTGGAGAGGGGGGAGGTGGAGTTTTCGGTTGCATATTGGCTTGGGAACCATTCAAGCTTGTTCGCATTATATATACAGCATATATATATATACTTTTTCTTTCAGAAATCGCTAAGGCTGGGCGCGGAGCAGGGGTACGAAATGGCAAGTGTCCTGTCCACCAACAGTGTGACGGAAAAGATTTGTGCCCGTCTCGGGTTTCAGACAGTGAAGAGCCTTGACTTGACCACACTGGCCGAGGAATTCAGCATCGACACCTCCCTCATTCCTGGCGAGACGGAGATGAAGATGATGACCAAGAGGCTACCTCCTCCTCCTCCTCCTTGCAATAACTTTACACTCTCTCGCTCCACCTAATATAAACTAACAATAAATTGACCTGGAAACTCTCAACGGCAATGCAATAATTCTTTTAAATTAAAGATAATTGTTGGAAATGAAGTAAAGCGATTACAGATATTATACGACACTGATGAGAAGGGGTAGAAATAGCCTAAGTTACTCTATCCCTTTTGAGATGTATTTTTATTGTCTCAATAAAGGTACTTGAACTTGAACGATACTAAATCGAGCTTCGAAGATTTTTAACTCTGACGTTATTGTATGGATTAATTTAAAAGTTTGTAAATAGTTTGTAAATAGTGAATGTTTCAGTTTACTAAACTCCTCAAATTAAATCAAACTTATGAATTACCGTGCAATTTAATTATAAATGAATTACCCAATTTCACCAACATTTTTTGATATAAAGTCATTTAAGAATCTTACCAGAGCAGCCGTGACGTCATCATCACACTGGGGATAATATCTTTCATATTGTCAACAATTTTATATTGTAATGCTATATTATAAATTTCGCAATCTATTATTTATATAAAAAAATGAATACCTGTATGTCGGTAGCATCCATTTTTGTACACAATGAAAAAAACTTATTTTTATTTTAAATATCATCATGATTTAATATCATATTGTATGGATTAATTTCAATGTTGGGAAACTCCTTGAGACAGTTTACTAAAATCCTCTCTGCATCTTTAATTGGCATTAAATATGCATTTTTGGAGAAAAAAGATTTGTTACAGCATGATAGTATCTGAATAACTATTACGTAAATATAAGGAAAGTTAAGATGCTTGGTTATAAGCAAGATATGTTTTTATAATATTATTTTTTTTTACTACAAAATATATGTCATCCATAAGGTGGTTAAACATTTTAGAAATTCTAGTCCTACATTTTAATGTCAAAATCATATATTGAAGACTAAGATAATGAATTCTAATTAAGAAAGTCTAACCTAACTTCTTGTATGCATTTTACTGTATAAACTTTAAACTATCTCATCCAGAAAAATACACAATAATGAATGATAAGAACCAATCCTTACTTAGCCTCAACTTGGCTAGTATTTATGTACAGGAGTACAGATTTTAATGTGATCCAAACTTGTCTATAATCATTCAGTTCATATTGTTAATTTAACAGATTATATCCTATGTTCTTGTTAAAGTTTCATCTAAAAACAATGGTCATATATAGTATGAATCCCCTTAGCTGAGTACTTGACATTAAGTAATTGTTATATTTTAGTACTGTATCTGGAAATTCATCTTTCTAAATCAGAAATCTAATAATTTCCGAATACATTAATAGAAATCTAATAATTTCCAAATACATGCTTCCTAGTCCAAATAGTTAATAACTTTAGGCCTCTTAAAAAAAAGCTTCAGAATAAGCTATATATATATATCACTAGGAAATATATAACTTCCTATAACTTGCTTCTTGTCTTTTATAATATGTATACTGTATTAATGTCATTAGAATTGAAAGAATTACTGTTGTTTGCAGCCATTCATTTATTCAGTATCAGGTCATATAATGAGCATTGGCATTTTTATGCAATGCATAATGATAATAAATTTAGTTGATTTATTATGCACCCTCTTGTGTCACAATTGATAGGGTTTACCCTGCACACCGCCCCCCATCCAGTGGGCAGCGGTGGATAAGTTACAGTCACTCAGTTACTACCTAAGGTTAGCAAACTGGAGATATTTGGCTAAGATTTCTGATAGCAGATCATTTTGAGTGAAAGCAGGCGATGAGCTACAATAACGTGGCTAAAGTAAGTTGAGAATGGTCCAGGACGGACCGAAACGTCGTCGTCCCTTCACCTTCTAGTGTGTGGTCTGGTCAACATTTTGAGTGAAATATTTATTATAGAATTTGTTATAGAATTGTTATAGATTTCTTATAGAAGTGTCTCTGAATTCACGTATCATTTCGCATTCCGCGAATAGGCAATATTACAGCATTCTTTCTTTGTATAATAAGGAATTTTCCTAGGTTTGTAAAGTTAATTACGAAGGCATAACCATTTATGAATAGCTATAGAATGGTTGACTAGTTCATTTAATGTATTTGATGCATACATTCATACATGCATACATAGATGTTCATTTGATGCAATGTAAAATGAACTATTTCTAATACATGAGTTATTTATGAATAACATAATTTTAAAGTGCTGTATTTAGATTTCTAGGCTTACCTAACCAATGAAACTTCAGTTGGATCCATTTTTTTTCATCAAAGTTGCAAAAAAAAGGGTTAATACTTTAGCACGGAATATATTTATTTACTCTGTCTCTTACCATATCAAATCCTCTAAATTTAGAATTTAATTTAATTAGAAATTTAGAAATTAAAATCCTCTATTGATTACCAACACTGGATTTGGTGTCTAATAAAAGGTTATTTACATCTAGACGTGTTTGTTATTGAGCTTGTTATTAATGCCTATCAACTGCACGCTAATGGCCACAAATCTGAAGATGGAGTGGTTCAAGACGGACCGAAACGTCTTCCCTTCACCATCTTCTGGTGTGTTATTTCATCATCATATCTTCAGCCACGTTATTGTGACCCGTCGTCTGCAGGGGCATGATGGTTATTTAAGGCTGTAGCAGTAGCTTCCTGAGCGACTAAGTAAGTCTACTTTTATTCCTTAACATACTCCAAAAAATCAAGTAAACTCTCAACGCATTTATGTCGATAAATGGGGTAGACATTTCGGTGAATATATCATCTCCAAACACCACCCATAGTCCCTTCAAAGCAATTCTCTTTCTCTCCCTAACAATATTTCAACTACTAGAGAGAGAGAGATATATATATAAGGCCTCCACGGGAGTTTATTAGCCGACTAGCAATCATATTTTATTCCTGACAATAAATTAGGGCTAAATAAACTCTATATACTCCATACCCCGAAAAGTGAGGTAAGCCCCTCTGTGAATATGTGAACTGGTTTTGTTGATGCCTATAAAACGTATGTGATTGACCAGTTATTCAGCTTGAGCCGGTTAAGTGATTGGCAAAACGATAAGTTAGACAATGTTACTTTCACTCTGCTTGATCAAACTGAAAGCTAGTTTAGTAGTGACCTTTTAGCGAGAAGTAGGTGAACCCAAATCTAATCATTTCGTAAGAATACCTCCCCTGAATCTTGCCTTGGGGTATCACAATTGCGTGATGCATCAAATGAACAAAGCTAGCAAATTGACAGGGGTACCATGTCGTAGCCCAGTCGATTAAGGCAGCGTCTGGGATGCTCTCGGACGCAGGTTCGAATCCTCGTCACAGACCTTGTGGATTTGCCTTGGGGTGTTCTTCCAGCAGCCCGTCCTCATAAACAAAGACCAAATGCTTGTTAATCCCGCCGCTTGATCCCGTTTATGAATGAAAAACACATTACACACGACTCACAAGTGATGATATATTTGCTGACGAATCATGTATTCAACCTGTCCACAGCCTAGGCTCGTTAAGGCAGCAGCCAACCCCAAAGACGCATTCATCAATTTTACTGCGTATTCAAAATAGTTTTTTTTTTCAAATATATTTTAATATTACTATATACTAGAATGTGTTGAAATGTTAGAGCTAACTTAGGGTAGGTTAGGTAAATTCTTAATCCACATACTACAAATACTACAAATTGTCAACAGAACCCAAGCTAGGTCTAATTATTCAACATTCTAGAATGTAATAATATTAACTTATTATCATATGCTAACTTCAAGTTAGTTACGGTAAATACCTAGTCCATATAACGGATTTAAACTAAGGCAAAATTTAAGGTAAAGGTAAGGTACAAATAAAAGGGATAAGGTAAAATTTAAGAGATAGATAAAGCCAACAAGCCTGCAGTATTTAAGTCTTCAGCAAAAATATATAAAACAACATTGATCAGCAAGAGAAAAAATCTATAGAGTTAAAAAATAGGAACAGTTTGAGGATGTAATTTCAGACTAAATTACATACACATTAAAAAAAAGACTGCAAAAGCGGAATTATGTTACTAGGTGTTTTTTTTATGCACGGTAGCTTTATGCGGATTTATGTTTTTTTTTTTTTTAGATTTTTATTATTTTGTTCATAGGAGTTTGATCATAGCCTTCACGAGACGAGTGCCTCCCAAAAGGGAGAGATCAATGCCCAGGTCATCGCTTACAGTGGTCAGGTCGAGAGACTTGACTGTGTGGAACCCCAGAGGAACACAGATCTTCTCCGTGATGCTGTTAGTGGTTTGAACACACGCAGCCTGGTGCCCCTGCTCTTTTGCCAGTAGTAGCGATTTCTGAAATTTGTTTACAAACACGAATTCTAAGGACTAACAAATCAACAATTTTATATATAACACATACAGGCTAGTGCCCCTGCTCTTTTGCCAGTAGCAGCGATTTCTGAAATTTGTTTACAAACACGAATTTAGAATTCGTGTTTGTAAGAAACACGTGTTCGTGTTTGGACTAACAAATCAACAATTTAATATATAACATATGCAGCCTATACTTGTGTAAAGGAGGAAATGTATATGTTTATCTCTCAGAATGTTTGGTAATATGTTTTTTGTTTGTGATGTGTGTATATGTATGTATTAACACGATGTACTGAACGGGGTGAGAATAGCTTGAGTTACGTCATCCCTTTGTGTATTTTACCTCAATAAACTTATTTCAATGTCAATTTCATGCAGCCTAGTGCCCCTGCTCTTTTGCCAGTAGCAGCGATTTCTGAAATTTGTTTACAAACACGAATTCTAAGGACTAACAAATCAACAATGTTATATATAACAAATATACACAAAGTATGATTCGCCGAAAGTACCTTCCTGAATTAAACAAATGTGTAGCTTCACACTTATGCATTCAAATTCGATAATCTATAGGAAGGTGTTGATTTTGTGAGGACCAACGATATGAATTAAGTCACCTTAACCTACAGGCGATGAGTCACAATAACGTGGCTAAAGTATGATGACCAGACCACACACTAAAAGGTGAAGGGACGACGACGTTTCGGTCCGTCCTGGACCATTCTCAAGTCGACTTGAGAATGGTCCAGGACGGCCCTAAACGTCGTCGTCCCTTCACCTTCTAGTGTGTTGTCTGGTCATCACCTTAACCTACAATTCCTTTCTACGATAGTTGCCTGTGTGGTAATTAATTATTGTTTGCAACCAGACTTACCTCTAGCAGTGTCCTGGCGAGGCCGCGACGTTCAAAGTCCTCGTGGACGCAAAGAGTGAACAGGTCCAGCACCCGCTGAACCTTCATGTCGTTGAATACTTGTTCGCCAGTGGAGAGCATCTCCAACACACGGTACACTATGCACGATGTATCCTGTCAAGAATACAAGATGCATTCCAACAGTTTCCATTGTGTACATAGGTGACAATGCAACTATTCAACAGGCAAAAATGTAAGCTCCAACACCCTATGCTCTTGCAAGAACCTCGAGCCCTCTAACTAGCTAACTAACAGGGTTCGAGCAACGCCTGGACGAGCCTAATCTGAGGACAGGTAGATTTTACAGTTTCTTGACCCCAATAACCCCGTGTATATTTGTGTCTCATTTCTCTGTTATTTCAAATAATCTAAGATGTTAGGAATATAACCTAGGATTTTACTAAAAATGACCTTCAAGTGGTACTTAAATGTCCCCCGGTAATGGAAATTCAGCCCTTCCTCTAAACAAAAACCCAAAGTCCATTCCCTGCACCCGCCAGACCCTCTGTTTATGAATGGAAAAATGTTAACACACGACTCACAACTGCTGACGTTCAAACACTTCTTGAACAAGGCTTTTGTTCGAACGTAATTAGTTACGTTCTGGGATTGTGTAGTGTCCTTGTATGATAGTGTCTCACTGCTTCACCTGGGTGAAGCTGTAAATGCTTCACCCACGTACTACAAATACAAATAATCGCCAACAGAACCTAAACACCTTACCTAACCAGTGCCTATATATACACAATATGCCAATATTGTGGCATATTGTGCCACAATATGCCAATACAATATTGTGGCATATTGTGCCACAATATGCCAATATTGTGGCATATTGTGCATATATAGGCACTGGTTAGGTTAGGTTAGGTTAGGTTAGGTGTTTAGGTTCTGTTGGCGATTATTTGTATTTGTAGTACGTGGGTTGAAGCATTTACAGCTTCACCCACGTGAAGCAGTGAGCACCAATATGCCAATATATAATATTAATTTATATTTGAGAAAATTCCCGTTTTGAATGAACAGCATGTTAAAATTTATGAATGCGTCTGTGGGGTCGACCGCTGGATGTAATGGACTTTGAGTCGAGGACAGGTTGGGTCAATTTATCTGCATGAAAGAATGCTAAGTTAAAGATTTTGCAGTGAAGTTGCTCTATTTTTATGGTTAAAACCGATATATATATATATATATATATATATATATATATATATATATATATATATATATATATATATATATATATGACAATGTCAGACCACGGAGGAAAAATGAAACAGGAAATTTCCTTAAGTACTTTCGTATATTAAATACATCTTCAGAAGGTGAAGATGTATATTAAATACATCTTCACCTTCTGAAGATGTATTTAATATACGAAAGTACTTAAGGAAATTTCCTGTTTCATTTTTCCTCCGTGGTCTGACATTGTCACATTCTTAATCACGTGTTTATTTTCGTGATATACACACACATATATATATATATATATATATATATATATATATATATATATATATATATATATATATATATATATATATATATATATATATATATATATATATATATATATATATATATATATATATATATATATATATATATATATATATATATATATATGAAAAAAACTTGAGGGGCAGCAAAGACTAGCAGGTCTCAAATACATTTATACATTCCAGTGTCAATTTAAGAAACTTTAATATCAGCAACAACTAATACATTTCACTAATACAAATATTCATGATACTACTGAGAATAAGTCACAATAACCTTGCTGAAAATTAATACCCAACCTTACCTTGGTAAACAATGTTCAGAGTTTCTTTCACCCTATGCCCCTGTTACCTAGCAGTAAAATAGGTACCTGGGTGTTAAGTCAGCTGTCACGGGCTGCTTCCTGGGGGTGGAGGCCTGGTCGAGGACCGGGCCGCGGGGACACTAAAAAGCCCCGAAATCATCTCAAGATAACCTCAAGATACCTAGAGGTGCTTCCGGGGCTTAGCATCCCGGCGGCCCGGTCGTCGACCAGGCCTCCTGCCCCCCCCCCCCGAAAAAAAAATGAAAAGGAAAATAACAATCGACTTGAGAATGGTCCAGGACGAACCGAAACGTCGTCGTCCCTTCACCTTCTAGTGTGTGGTCTGGTCGACAAGGAAAATGACATTTCGGTCCATTTGTTCATAACAGGAAAGTGACTTTCAAATACTTCCTGTAAATCTTACCAGGTTTACGGTGTACTTGGTCGAGATCTCATCCACGCTGAGGGATGAGTTGAGGAAGACGCCAGCGAGTGTCTTGGCGCCGTTGGCTCTGGCGCCAATAGACACGCCTGACGCCAGACACTTCTTGATGTCGACTACAAGCTGCGGGCTAAACGACTCGACACTCAATTGTTTTGCTGCAACAGACTGTCCGCGGGAAAGCAAAATTTGTCGTAGGATCAAAATGATACTAATTAATCAATTCTTGTCAAGAGTATAGAATATATTAACAAGTTTTCAAAATGCTCTAAACCAAAAATAAAGTTAAAAGCCGTTAGTAGAGTGTTCTACCAGTGCAACCCGTCCTCCTTAAAAATAACGTCACTTTTGGCTCGTATGCGCACTATGGCCAAATTTGGACATAATTTGAAATGAAATCGACTCACAAAAGTGACGTACTGTTCCGTTTTCTGCTTGAGTCGTTCGGCCGACTCTGTAAGGTTAGAATAGATGACTTTCAATTCACGTTTTTCATAACGTTTTGAAACTTTATGAGAATTTCCTGCCCACCTAACCTATCAGAGGACCCTTAACTTACTGTTGTTGAAAAAAAAAATCCCAAATTTATTTTCATTTTCAAATTACGTCCAAATTCGGCCTACCGTGAAGGGCGCGAGGTTCCAGTATGTCATGACAATGTTGCAAAGTTTTGAGAAGTCTTACCAATGGATTTCTCCTAAAGAAGTGGTTGTTCAAAAGAGTTTCAGTGTCCTCATAGTCACCAGGTGTCATCACGAAGAACTGAACATCTTGTAAATCTCCAGACATGTTGACTCTTGTGGTGAGCTACAGACAGAATACAGAACGTGTTAATAAATAAGAACATAAGAACAAAGGCAACTGCAGAAGGCCTATTGGCCCATACGAGGCAGCTCCTATCTATAACCACCCACTCCCACTCATATACATGTCCAACCCGCTAAATCTGGAAGTGTAATGTAAAATCTGGAAGAACGTTCCACCAAAACAAGATACAAATGTGTAACGTTCTTCTATGCACTCGCGCACACCAAATTAATTCCCTGACACTCCCCGCCTTTCCTAACACTTGATACGGATTGATGAGTGATAAAGAGTAAGCCACCCAAGAGGTGGCACGGGCATGAATAGCCCGTAATTGAGACGGAGGGGTTTAGGGTCTGGGAACAGCTCAGATCGACGGGCTGTCGATTAGAATAGGTTCGACAATTTAGCACATGCTTATTGTGACGTTGTGACCAACTCGATTGGACGGGTTGCTGGGAGTATGAAATTGGGAATGCAAACTTTACACTAACAAGGAAAATCCGGATATAAATGAGTCTTAAAGCAATTCAGCTGTCAGAACTCCTAACAAATGCAGTGGGTCAGGCCTACCCTGTACTAGGCAAGAGGTAAGTAGGGAAATTACTAGATCGTAAGATAGTTGATGTAAAGGATGCAGGCTACATAAATAACACGTCTCCGTGGTGTAGTGGTAAGATACTCGCCTGGCGTTCCGCGAGCGCTTTGTCATGGTTCGTATCCTGGCCGGGGAGGATTTACTGGGCGCAATTCCTAACTGTAGCCTCTGTTTAACTCAACAGTAAAATGAGTACTTGGTTGTAAAAACGATTCTTCGCGGCGGGGATCGTATTCCAGGGACCTGCCCGAAACGCTACGCGTACTAGTGGCTGTACAAGAATGTAACAACTCTTGTATATATCTCTATAACACCATAAACAGAAAAAAACACCATAACTATAGAAAACTCATGATAGTAATAACAATATACAACATTAAAAGGTTGTGAGTGTGTGTGTGTGCACGCGCGCGGAGGGCACATTCATAATGAACGATAAACATTTGATAAAGGCACCCATTTTAACCCACTAATCTCGTTTATAACAGTTACCAAGTACACTTTAGTTGATACACTCAACCCTGCCAGACTACACGATACACTCGTCCTCATGTACGTATGTACGATTCCATTCTATCCATCTATCTCACAAAGAAATGACAATGACGTGATGTATCACTGAAAACAAATGGCGTTGTGGGTAATGAGGTGACTTGAAGTGACTCCCACTTAGACCTCCCAGACACTTAGACCTAAGTGACTCCCAGACACTCAGACACTTAGACCTAAGTGACTCCCAGACACTCAGACACTTAACCCTCCCAGACACCTGACTTAACCCTCCCAGACACCTGACTTAACCCTCCCAGACACCTGACTTAACCCTCCCTGACACCCGACTTAACCCTCCCAGACACCTGACTTAACCCTCCCAGACACCTGACTTAACCCTCCCAGACACCCGACTTAACCCTCCCAGACACCTGACTTAACCCTCCCAGACACCTGACAACCCTCCCAGACACCCGACTTAACCCTACCAGACACCCGACTTACCCCTCCCAGACACCCGACTTAACCCTCCCAGACACCCGACTTAACCCTCCCAGACACCCGACTTAACCCTCCCAGACACCCGACTTAACCCTCCCAGACACCCGACTTAACCCTCCCAGACACCTGACTTAACCCTCCCAGACACCCGACTTAACCCTCCCAGACACCCGACTTAACCCTCCCAGACACCTGACTTAACCCTCCCAGACACCCGACTTACCCCTCCCAGACACCCGACTTAACCCTCCCAGACACCCGACTTACCCCTCCCAGACACCCGACTTAACCCTCCCAGACACCTGACTTAACCCTCCCAGACACCTGACTTAACCCTCCCAGACACCCGACTTAACCCTCCCAGACACCCGACTTAACCCTCCCAGACACCTGACTTAACCATCCCAGACACCCGACTTAACCCTCCCAGACACCCGACTTAACCCTCCCAGACACCTGACTTAACCCTCCCAGACACCTGACTTAACCCTCCCAGACACCCGACTTAACCCTCCAAGACACCTGACTTAACCCTCCCAGACACCCGACTTAACCCTTCCAGACACCTGACTTAACCCTCCCAGACACCTGACTTAACCCTCCCAGACACCTGACTTAACCCTCCCAGACACCTGACTTAACCCTCCCAGACACCCGACTTAACCCTTCCAGACACCTGACTTAACCCTCCCAGACACCTGACTTAACCCTCCCAGACACCTGACTTAACCCTCCCAGACACCCGACTTAACCCTCCCAGACACCCGAGTTAACCCTCCCAGACACCTGACTTAACCCTCCCAGACACCCGACTTAACCCACCCAGACACCTGACTTAACCCTCCCAGACACCCGACTTAACCCTCCCAGACACCCGACTTAACCCTCCCAGACACCCGACTTAACCCTCCCAGACACCCGACTTAACCCTCCCAGACACCTGACTTAACCCTCCCAGACACCTGACTTAACCCACACAGCCCTAATAGGTAAAAAAAAAAAAGCCTATCATCTCGTGAATTCATTGTGTGTTCAAGGCTTCCAGAAACCTGCCATTGTGATTTCTTGGTAAGGAGGGATAAGACAATCTCCTTCCAGCCTCCTCATATAACTATACACAAACTTTAAGCAAGATGATCTCTGATCCTTATATATCAAATTAATAACTATCGGACATTTTATATTTAAGTTATATATATATATATATATATATATATATATATATATATATATATATATATATATATATATCCCCGATTGTTGCTGAAATTTAAATTGTATACAAAAATGTATTCTTTATTTAAGTATAAGAAAAAAGTATATTTGATTAGTTTCCAAAGCACGAATGTTAAACATAAAAGAATCTCGTATATATTTATTATGTTTATAAATAAAACTGGTTAATTCATTAATATGCATCTATATTTCGCTTTACATTACAATAAAATTTTGTTCAAACAAGTTTCAAGATGTCACAGACTTCGTCATCGGTTTTTGTTTTTAATAACGAAATAATAGATGACTGAACAGGTAACGAAGCTATCGAATAGTCCACTATTTAAGGACTTTGGGTTAGTAATTTACAACACGACTCTTGTAACTTGCCTGATAATACTGACGGTCAGCTAATGGAGGGTAAAAACAGCTATTAATGTATATATAAATATATATCTTTTGAAGCACAGCCTAAACACATACACACAAAAGAAGGCACGAGGAACTGGCAGATATCCCCTGACGACGTGCGTACCGCCTCGTGGATGGAGGCAGACTGACTGGTGGCCTTGCCGCCAGTAGCTTAAGGGGGCATCTCTTCTCAAATCCGAAAAATTTCGAAAATTTACAAAAAATTCTGAAAAATACTACAACGTTCTGGCAACACTGTGGTGAAAACCGTTTCATGTTATCTTGAAAAATAACGTTATTAGAGTCAAAATTCCTGCTGCAAGTTTCCCCATTCCGGTTCTCGCGGGCTGGGTGCGCCGTGGGGTATTGCGTCTTACGTTGTAGCTGTCTAATATTTCGTAATAGCGTTGAAAATAACGTGTGATGCATAAAAAAATATAAACTCACTTATTGGCAACAGTCGAGAGTCGAGAGTGAGGGAGGGATGGGATTGCTAACATAAGTCAGTCACTCTCTGTGTCCGATAGCGAGCAGATCTATCGTGGACGCGCGCTCACAATATCTCCCAGAATTATCAGTATTTGTGCTATTTTTACTGCAAAATGACGTACAAAACGAAGATGAAGAAAACTCTGAAAGCTAAAAGCATGCTAGCTGCCCGTAGAAGGTGCGAGCTGGCTAGAATCCATGGATTACGCACTTTGACGAGTGAAGATCGTGGAGGCCTCTCAGCCGCGAGTGTGAGGAACCAGCCCGCTACCCCCCCCCACCACAATCCCACCCTCTGCCACCGCACATTCTCCACCTTCTACTCCAGGGACTGGTACTTGAAGAAAAAGGACAAGGATATGCAGAAACCAACGAGACCCACAACCAAACCAAGAAAGGCCCCTGAGGGAGCTGACCCCGGCTATGGCGCAGGTGCCTACTAGTGCCACTCCAGTGCCATCTTCAGGACCCATATTTCTGACCAATTATATTAGGTTAGTATGTTTTAGTGTTATATTGTGATATTACTTCATATATATTTGTACATATAAAACTGGTGGCAATTTTTATTTTTTTTATTTTTTTTTTATTTTTTTTTTTATTTTATTTATCAGGCGATCTGCATGGAACTTGCACACCTTACTGAACCCATGCCTATCTACAAGGGTGCAAATTTTGAATGATATCGGTCAACATCAATCTCAGCTAAAGGTGGCTGAACTTTAACCTCCGTTTGTGCAGGTAAATATTTTACAATTGTATTTGATTTCACAGATTTTATTTATTATTCAATTTACATGAAACTTGCACATTATATGTAAAGTTTATGCCTCTAAAACATTGTGGTGGCTTTTCTTTCTACGTAGATTTATTGATTTTATAAATATTTATAAATATCATATTAGTGCATAGGATTTTTGGGAAATTTACAAAATCTGTATTATTGCACTAAATACATCTGGGATAAAAATCCACCACACAAATCTTTATTATATAGTAAGGTCATAGCTAAGTGTCATAGAACTTATTTCGATTCACAATTGTGGGCTGTGAAATGATTTGAACATTGGTGAAAAATTGTCTAAAAAAACTTTTTTATTTTTTTTCTCCCTCTCTATTTAGGCTGCGATGCTGAAACTTGGCCCAGTTGCAGCACCTTTCACATGTATCAGGATAATAAATTTTCAATGCCCTACAACAACTTTCAATTTCCATCTAGATGCCCCCTTAATAGACTTCGAATCTTGCCAACTCTGATGGTTCCAGTTGCCATTTTATTTATTAACACATTTAGGTGCATCTGCACTTGTGCAGCTGTTCTAGACTATGTGAAGGGGAGTACAGTGTGTGTCAAGAACTAGCTGCCCTAGACTATTTGAAGGGGAGTACAGTGTGTGTCAAGAACTAGCTGCCCTAGACTATATGAAGGGGGAGTACAGTGTGTGTCAAGAACTAGCTGCCCTAGACTATATGAAGGGGGAGTACAGTGTGTGTCAAGAACTAGCTGCCCTAGACTATATGAAGGGGGAGTACAGTGTGTGTCAAGAACTAGCTGCCCTAGACTATATGAAGGGGGAGTACAGTGTGTGTCAAGAACTAGCTGCCCTAGACTATATGAAGGGGGAGTACAGTGTGTGTCAAGAACTAGCTGCCCTAGACTATATGAAGGGGACCACAGTGTGTGTCAAGAACTAGCTGCCCTAGACTATATGAAGGGGGAGTACAGTGTGTGTCAAGAACTAGCTGCCCTAGACTATATGAAGGGGGAGTACAGTGTGTGTCAAGAACTAGCTGCCCTAGACTATATGAAGGGGGAGTACAGTGTGTGTCAAGAACTAGCTGCCCTAGACTATATGAAGGGGACCACAGTGTGTGTCAAGAACTAGCTGCCCTAGACTATATTTTATTTAGGTAAATGTTTATTTAGGTAAGGTACATACATACAAGAAATTTTTACAAAGATTGGTGGGCTTATAGATAGAGCTAGTACATACAATGCCTAAAGCCACTATTACGCAAAGCGTTTCGGGCATATAGAGATGTGTCAAAAGACTAAGTGATGCTAAACATCCCCATCACACAGGGTGTTAGTCATACAGGGCCATGTGATCAGTAGCCTACACTGGCAAACTCTGGGAGCATTATGAGGATATCATCATGAATACAAGAGTGAACAAGACAGCAGTGATACTGAGTCCCAATCTCACAGGATGATTACATATCGCACCGGTGTCATTGACATGTTTTTTTGCAAAACAGAGGCTTTACAAACCCTGCAGAAATAATAATAATAATTTCTTTACAAAATATACATTAGGATACAATGGCTGTATAATACTATATAATATTAGGGTTTGCTGCATAATGCTTGCAGTTATGATCACTAAAGTAAGGATTGCCATAGGTACTTGACAGTAGGCTTAGTTCAGGATCCTATTTGATGGCATTCACAGCCACCTGATCGAGGGCCAGTTTCTCAGGCGGACCCCAACAGTAAGAGATTCCGCAGCAAACAACGACCCCCACAGAGGAAGTGGTGACCACTAGGAGGCGGCTAAAGTGCGTACACACCAAACATGTTATATAAGCATCAGCTGACATGATGTTGTTGTTAAGATTCAGCTCCAGGGAACAAAGAGTGGCAAGTAGCACGGGTTATGGTGAGCCCGTAGTGGACTTACTTGACACAGGAGCGGGGCTGTGACTGTAGCTTACATGCGTGTTGTTTTAAATTTAGTTACTCAGAATGAAATGTTCATGTAGCACGGGCTATGGTGAGCCCGTAAAGCTTACATGCAGTTGTTGTTGTTATAGATTCAGCTACTCGGAACGAGTTCCAAGTAGCACGGGCTATGGCGAGCCCGTAGTGGACTTAACCCGGCACAGGAGCGGTGCTGTGTGTGCCGTATAATTTGGCTGTTGTTGTTGTTTCAGATTTAGCTGCTCAGCACGAAGTGTCCATGTAGCACGGGCTATGGTGAGCCCGTAATATAATTTGGTTGATGGGTTGGTATAGATTCCTTACAGACAGAAACATAGACATTTATAAGTGTGAGGTTCATCTAGCTCTACGGTTCACCTAACCTCCTTAATCCTGGCCGGGGAGGATCCTGGCCGGGGAGGATCCTGGCCGGGGAGGATCCTGGCCGGGGAGGATCCTGGCCGGGGAGGATCCTGGCCGGGGAGGATCCTGGCCGGGGAGGATCCTGGCCGGGGAGGATCCTGGCCGGGGAGGATCCTGGCCGGGGAGGATCCTGGCCGGGGAGGATCCTGGCCGGGGAGGATCCTGGCCGGGGAGGATCCTGGCCGGGGAGGATCCTGGCCGGGGAGGATCCTGGCCGGGGAGGATCCTGGCCGGGGAGGATCCTGGCCGGGGAGGATCCTGGCCGGGGAGGATCCTGGCCGGGGAGGATCCTGGCCGGGGAGGATCCTGGCCGGGGAGGATTTACTGGGCGCAATTCCTTAACTGTAGCCTCTGTTTAACGCAACAGTAAAATGTGTACTTGGATGAAAAAACGATTCTTCGCGGCAGGGGATCGTATTCCAGGGACCATAGGATTAAGGACTTGCCCGAAACGCTACGCGTACTAGTGGCTGTACAAGAATGTAACAACTCTTGTATATATCTCAACAAAATCGCAGGGAGTGCCGAAGGACAGTGTGAGGTGATTGTTGTCTGACTACAGTTTCTAGTTGTCCACCAGGGGGGCCAGATTCACGAAGCAGTTACGCAAGCACTTACGAACCTGTACATCTTTTCTTAATCTTTGACGGATTTGTTTACCTATATTAAACAGTTAATGAGCTCCGAAGCTCATTAACTTCTAACTGGCTCAGCAACCTTCACTTATCCCCCAGTCCTCCCCACCATCCCCCGTCCCCTCCCCTCGTCCTCCCAACCATCCCCCTTCCACTGTCCCCTCGTCCCCATTATCCCCAACTTCCACGTCCCCTCGTCCGCCCCACCATTCCCCACTCCCTTGTCCGATGCATTCCCAAATGATCTGATGTTCCCATAAAAAAATTGGGAACATCAAATGATCTGATGTTCCCATCACTGAAAAATAAGAACAGTTATAAAAACGCAATGAAAACAATGAAAAAAAATAAACAATACTCACGAAATGAACGGTACGATAAACAACACAGCTCAATTCCAATGCAATGTCACACAAAATAATTAAATCAAAATGAAAATAAATCAAAATCTGTGAAAATTCAATTTACCAATGAAATCGGAACATATTTAGTATAGCGTGTGTTACTCTTACGTGCAACAGATGGAGCTGTTTAAAAAAAAAAAAAAATGTTTTTACTTGTCGCAGGCGTGGCATCTATATAGTAGGTATATAAAAACACGCGCGTATTCAAATGGAACGTTGAGTCAAAATTTCAAAGCAATCAGTGAAGAGTTTTCGAAGATTTCCCTTACATGAAAAACACATGGAAATACAGTTAAAAAATAACATGTTTTTTACCGTGTGTGTGTGTGTGTGTGTGTGTGTGTGTGTGTGTGTGTGTGTGTGTGTGTGTGTGTGTGTGTGTGTGTACCGAGTTGAAGAAAAGCGTCATTAAGGATGAGGAAGAAGCCTTGCATAAATTCACAGTTCTTTCTTCTTTGTGTTATCTTCCGCTTCCTTTAGTCCCCCCACATTCATTCCGTTTTCTTTTCGTGCCTCAACACCTATATCAGGGGGGGGGGGAGTGTTGACAGACCCGTGGGTGGGAGTCAGACAGGCAGCAGCGGTACTGTCTATTACTGTCAGGTTGGCTGACGTTTGCTGTCTCTCTCTCTCTCTCTTTCTCCATGCCTGTTCCACCTATACGCATCCATAACAATCCTCCTCTTTCACTCCCTACAGATATCAAAGGCCTTTCTGTTCGTCTCTCTCTTTTGATCAGGGGAAAGTCGCCCCCCACCCCCTTCCTGTGATGCTTTCTTTCCACCTTATATTCTCTTTTGTATATACATGTTTTTCGCTTTTTTGTTTTATCTTTCAAATATCTAAGGTTTGGCGGTAAAAAAGAAAGTTCTAAGTTTGTTTTCGTGCTTCTAAATTAAGACATTTGTAGTCATAACTTTTTTGTTTTGTTTATGTTCGTATGCATGTATTTGTGGTAGTTTTAAGCCTGTTTGGTACAGTATCAGTTGTTAAAACTGTATGGTACAGCATCAGGTATTGAGGCTGTAGGGTATAGCATCAGGACCCAGATTCACGAAGCAGTTACGCAAGCACTTACGAACGTGTACATCTTTCCTCAATCTTTGACGGCTTTGTTTACATCTATTAAACAGTTTACAAGCATGAAAACTTGCCAATCAACTGTTGTTATTGTTATAAACAGCCTCCTGGTGCTCCGGAGCTCATTAACTGTTTAATAATTGTAAACAAAGCCGTCAAAGATTGAGAAAAGATGAACAGGTTCGTAAGTGCTTCGTGAATCTGGGCCCAGCTCTTCAGATTCCGTTAACCCCAAGGAATCCTCAGGTTTGTTTATCTCAAGTGACTGATGGTAGAGAGGCGGGACCAAAGAGCCGAAGCTCACGCCACACACACACAACAACAACTAGGTGAACACCAACTCCCAGAATGCACCTTCCCTTAAACTATCACTTACAGCCTGGTGTAAATTTCCCTTCGAACATTTCGGCGACCCCCAGATAGCCTAACCCAGGCCAGCGGCGCAATAAAATAAAAGTTTGGCAGGCGAGGCTGCTACGCCATAAGACTTGAAGACTATTGTTTTGTAATGGCTGCATTGCATTCTTGTTTGTTCTCCTTGTAGACTGCATGAACAGGTGATTGTTCTCCTTGTAGACTGCATGAACAGGTGATTGTTCTCCTTGTAGACTGCATGAACAGGTGATTGTTCTCCTTGTAGACTGCATGAACAGGTGATTGTTCTCCTTGTAGACTGCATGAACAGGTGATTGTTCTCCTTGTAGACTGCATGAACAGGTGATTGTTCTCCTTGCAGACTGCATGAACAGCACATGGAGCTCCCTTTTTTATGGGAGACAACGTGTATATGTTTTTACACATAATACACTACAGTTATAATGCTTTCTACCACAGGGCTAAAATCCTGGTGTTTTATGTGTGAGGACAGGTAGAACAAGTAGATGAAGATATTAACTTGCAATTGAATGTGAAAAGTAATATATATATATATATATATATATATATATATATATATATATATATATATATATATATATATATATATATATA